TAAAGGTGCCCCCTCATTTCCTTACGCGTGGGCCCGATCTAATCGTTTCTTCTCTTATTTTTCCTTCTTTTTCTGCCCACGTGGAAAACTATTATTTCCTTACAATTACTATAGTTGGAATATCGCAGAAGTGAAACCACACAAATGGGCGACATTTGTTAATAATAATAATTATTATATATATATAGATTTACTCATGCGCAGTTTTGATGATAGGTGGGTGTCGTCGATATCTCGGACGGCTGGGGTGCGCACTCTTGTTTTCCGCCCTCTTGGAGTTCTCGGATTCTGCTTAAGGTGTCAATAACCGGGACGTTTACCCCGCGATACGTATATATATATATGTCTGTATATACGGCTATATCTATATAGCCGGATCCCATGCACCGGGTGCTCGAGAAGTAATAAAGAACGGCAGGACCCGTCATTACCGGCATCCAGACAAATGAGGTCCCGGCGTGACCAGGATGTCGACACAGCGGAAGACGAATGCTCGACGTCAAAGGGAGAATCGAAAACTTATTCAAATGGGGGACTCCCGCGAGAGGGATGACTCGATAGGAGCAGCACGGAAAGGGAGAGAGAGAGGGAGAGAAAGGTCGAAAACTTATTCCGGGAGGACGGTAAATAATGTATTACGAGTTTCCTCGCCCAGACGGATTCCGCGAGCGGAACCAACGCGGAGGATGAAATCCCCTACGGGGCATCAGCGGAATGCCGCTTTATCCGAGCCCGATATCAAAGGTCCTCGAAAGTCATCGGGAGAAAATGGCGCGTGATTGGTCGGATAAAAGAACCGGGATAAAAGAAGTAAGGTATAAAGTGTTTAATGGCAGATAAGAAGAAACACGTGTCGCTTAGATTTTCGTCCACTATAACATATTATAAAAGAAATGAAATCGGAGAGATACCTTCATTAGAGATACCCCATTAAAGTCCCAAATTCTTGGTGGTGACCTTCCTGCTCGCGGGCCAGCTAGAGACTGCCTCTTTTCCTGCGCCGCCGCTCGATGGCGCCACTGGTAGCCGTCTTAAATTCTAACGACTTACACTCGAAATAACGGAAGATTTTTCGTGCGAATCTATTCCTACGCGGTAGGGAATTGGAATGAACTTGTGAATCGGGTCCTAGGGTAGTGTGGCGGTCGGTCGAAGGACAAATTCCACGGTAAGGCAAGGAGGAAGCTCCTCTGGAAGTTATTCCGGTCTTTTCCGAGGTAGGGGGGGGCTGGAGAATTCCCGGGCGGAAATTCACATTTTCCCGCGCGGCGGGTGTAGGACTTAACCTCGAAATTAGTCTCCGTGAGATCAAAGTAAAGTGACGCAAGATGGCGGCGGGCGGGCGGACGTGCGCGGAATGGCCGCCGCATGCAAATGCCGCTCGCGGCCGTTAGCTAATGTGTCAGCGCGACCGTTGAGAAAGGAGAGAGACGAGGCGAGGCGACGAAGGGAGGTGAGAGAGAGACAGATGCCAAATTCAGTTCTGATTATTATACCACGGTCGGATTAAAATAATAGTACGATCCGGTACTGGGGAAAAAATAATCCTACTATTTAAAAGCCTCGGATATTAAAATATTTCAACCCAAATTTTGTTTAATTAACGAAAGGAAATAGGGAATTACACATTGAGCAATTAATAATACTCAGCGGAATATTAATGTCGAGGAGTTTATATTCCATTACCCAACTGGACGAATGTAAATGTCTTTACAAATAAACCTATATCCATCGGTAGGAACTAAGACTTCCGGTTTCACATTCTCCTGAAATAATGGTACAATTCCCGTATTGTTATCGTTGTGAAAATGTATAGGACACGGGACTAAATTAATAGTAAATAAATTTTATAATTATAGCACGGTTGGGAATATAAGACGGCCGAGGAGTGGGGGAAGGCTCGAAGCGCTGCCGCGCGGAGAATAGGGGAAGTTCGCGGATGACGTCATCGAAACTTTATCAGGTCTCCGGCAGAGGCCCGCCAAGTTTCCACGAGCGAAGCCGGCCTGAAAAAGGAAACTCGTAACTGAATTTATTTATCGCAAGGACACGCGTGGAATAATGTTTGCGCGCTCATTGCGGCGGCTTAGATTTTCCCGAAAGCTCGAACCAAAGCCGCCGCGGAAGTAGGACACTCGTGGGCGAAATAATCGATTAATCGATGAATCGATGCGCTAACTTACCTTCCGCCACCTGATTACTAAACCACGGACTGCCGGAGCAAGTTTCGAGGCCTGCAGCGCCCCCAGGAGTCGCTAATTTCCCGACATTTTGGGTAATGGCGACCACGTGATTACCTCGTTAGTCCCCTCGATTTATTCCTTCATTTACTTAATTCCACTTTTTTTAACGTGTAGAGTAAATACTCGGTGTAAATGCCCTCGCAAGACAAACAATCCTTATGCTACGAAAGGAACATAACCTCAAAATTTCACATTTCTATACCCAGCGGTTTGGGCTGGACGATGATAAGTCAGGGGGTTAATGATATTTGGATTTTGTGTATATATAATATATACACCCTGTATATATAGATTGCAGTCAGGATTTGAATTTTCCAAAAGGGCGCTTCTGGAATCTATGCAAGGTCGCTTTCAAGACAGTCATAATTGGCCGGAAGAAAGATGGCGTCCTTAACGACGCGTCTGGCGTCTTTCGTGGCGGCGCCGAACGTGGCAAAAGAGCGCACTAAATCCACGTTAAAGCTCGTCTAGACCCCAGACGAAGTCCATCTCGCCCGACTGGTCAACCAGGCCAGTTTCTGCAAGCTCTTCGGACGTTTCCCTTCCACCCGTTTGGAGAAATCTTCCCGGAAGGACGCGATGCTCGCGAAATTTCATTTTTCACATAAAAAAAAGAATGTGATTTTCGGTCCAGTCTAGGATAAATTAAAAGAAATTTCTTTGAAAAATTACATTTCACCACCATCGCGTTTTGTCCTTAGGGCCTCCATAATTTCCTGACAAAGTTTCAAATGATTCGGTGCACCCAGTTTGGAGAAGAGTTTTATAAATATTTTAACGTTTCATACATAGAATGATCCTTTAATAAAATTCATTGTACATATTTTAACGTTTCATATGTAACGTTTAATATATAGAATGACTCATTCGTATCACCTTAAATACAACGATTCGCGTAATACCTCCGACACCTGACCTCAAGTTCAAGGCTGCCGCCATCTTGGATTATTCCCCGACGTCCCAGCGGGCTTCGGCGATGTTTCTCATTACCAGGGGCTGTAAAAAGGCAAAGTTACTAGGCGCCGAGTTTTAACAGTCATATAAACTCGTCCAGTAATTCCGGGGGCTGCATAATTGAAATCCCAAAGTCGTAATTCGCGATCGCAGTCCGAGGTACGTGTGCGGAATGGGCGTCGCGGCCTCGGCGACGTAAAAGTGCCGATTAAATTATTAAAGCCGTCCCTCTTTAGAGGAAGTCCCTCTTGCGCTTCTCAGGTGGCGCGTCGGTCTAGGTTAAGTTAAGAACCCTCGCCGTTCCGTTCCGTTTGATTTCTCTCAGGGACTATAACGTCCGACGGGCCGCGAGTCCGTACCAACCTTAACCATCCAGTTACGCTTTTATTCCGCCACAGTTGGCTCCCTGGCTGACTTGCCGGCCTCATGACTTACCAATGAAGCAGTTTCGTCCGCTCGTATCCTCCGACCTCCTGGCGTATGTATGATCCCGGGACGCCCGACTAGGACGTGTCGCCGGCATTTTCTTATTTCCTAAGAATACCTTAAGATCACATGAAAGGCGCTGAGAAATTTAATCCGAGAAATTCTAACGACCGTTTAGGACCAACGTCGCCATCTGTGACGGTTAGCTGCAACTAAACTTTTGCTCTAAAAACACGTGTCAGCATTATCTTGCAATCGTTAGTGAAAATATTTTCTATATTTTATCGTGTATTATTAACTGTTCGAGCTACGTCCTGAAACTCTACATTTCGATGGTAAACCTTCAAGATTCGTAAAACATCGAAAATGGGCACGAAGGCAGCCATGTTGGATTATTACGAAGAGCACGATGTAAAATTATTGAAATCCCGTGAATTAATTATTCTAACGACCGTTTAGGACCAACGTCGCCATCTGTGACGGTTAGCTGCAACTAAACTTTTGCTCTAAAAACACGTATCAGCATTATCTTGCAATCGTTAATGAAAGTATTTTCTATATTTTATCGTGTATCGTGTATTTTCTATATTTTATCGTGTATCATATAACTGTTCGAGCTACGTCCTGAAACTCTACATTTCGATGATAAACCTTCAAGATGCGTAAAACATCGAAAATGGGCACGAAGGCAGCCATGTTGGATTATTACGTGGTGCGGATGATCGCTGTGTAGTCCCTCTGCGGTGAACAGGACCGAGACGGGAGAAAATAGTCTATCTCGAGTCTCGGCTTGTCTGTAGGCTGATAATGTAATTACTCAAGCAGCTATTCCGAGCACGTCCTTAATAATGTCTTACCGAAGACGAGTCTCACCTACGCTCGATCCACCCCACCGGAACTCACCCCCGGGCGGGGTAGCTACCCCAGGGGGTGAGTACCTCCGTAAATTAGCTCTGTTTTGCGCGACTCAAGAGTACACGTCGACGAGGGGACATTTTCAAAAGCGACCCTAAGGAAACGAAACTTTACCCGAGCTCGAAAATGGCTCGCTTAAATATCGTTTTAAAATAACCAAGTAATAATTAAAGGGATGTGAAAGTGACGTCAAAAAATTAAATTCAATGAGGGTCAGTCTCCACATTCGCGATAAATCAATAAGGGGTCACCATTGATATCGAACTTCCTACTTAGCTTGAATTATTGCTTGTTAATTTATTTATTACCTTTTCGTACGTAAGTTGACAATGTGAAAGGATTTATCGATGAAACCGAAATGATTAATCTCAGGACGGAAGTATAAAAAACCATATAAATCGGTAATGTGATATTATTTCCTGATAGCACCCATTTGAGATTTGGATTTTCCTTGGCAATCGATCAATCGATGTTCAATTGTTTAAAGCTACCGTCGACTCCGAACAAATCGAACCCGGAGACTGATTTCCCTTGCCTTTTGGATTCATCCACTCGATATTTCTCATCTTCCAAAAACCATTCGCGATTGTCGATCACTTTCTGCTTCCACTCGGCTGAAACGGAATATCTCGAAATTAAATTTACTCTTATCATTAACACCATTTTTAATAATTTAGGTATTACGCCCTAGTGTTTTATTTACCAGTTAAGGTCGCGATGGATGGCCCCTCGCCGCCGTAATCAGAAGGCAATACCTTCCTCGGTAAATATTTAAACAATGACTCCATATCAGCGTGAATCATTACCTGAAAAAGTGATATCACATTGGTAACGAGATTTCAGCCATTTAAATATTTTAGTATTAATTTATTATTAATATAACAGATATCCTACCCTTTTCTTCAGCTTCTCCTTCATGAACATCTTGAAAATGCTGTAAATCATGTCGAAGGTTACCGGAGTATTAATGTAGTGCATAGTCTTTGATCTGATTGGATAAGCATCCTAAAAATTAATAATTGCATCGTACAACCCATTCTCAGCTGGACGAAAAACGGAAATTACGTCTCCTTATACTAATTCCTGAAAATCTTTTAACTAATTTACCTGAAAACAGGTGAGCACCTTCTTAACAATGGCCGGGGTATAGAGGGAAGTGTGCTCGAGAGTACTTCCGGTCAGATCCAATAACGTATCCTGTCCGGCAACCCCTAGCCTTTCATGACAATGAAAGAAAAATTATTATTTATCAATTATACATATGTTACCATTTATATCAATTATACATTTGTTCATCAAAAGTATAATTTTCTCTTTGAACGCCACATTCGATCATTTTGTATCCTTCATCATTAAAAAAAAAAAAAAGTAACTTGCCAAACAATATCATTTAAACTGCTAATGAAAATATATATTGTCAAATATATATTGTAATCAACTGACCTGTCGTCTCCGAGCACGAGGAGGTCCATTATCATGAAATAGACCCGTGCCATTTCTAGAAAGGTGTATTTGCTAGGGTCAAAAATGGCTCCTCTCACTAGAACTATCCTAGGGCTTTCTGGAGTCTCCGTCGTTGGCAGGGGCAAGTACGACCTGGTTAGTCAACAAGAAAAATATTGTCAACAGCAAAAACAAAGAAATAAGTGAGGATGTTTTGCAAGAGATTTTTTGCAACTGGATAGATATGTAATTATGCATAAATGGATGATCCTCTCCAATGTTCCGATATACCATTCAAGAGTCACTCTATCTATTAAGGTGAAGTGAAAACCCCCTCAAACCATTCGATTTTAATAGAACACTTCTTTTTAAAGGTATTGGACCAAACTGTCCGAAACTTTGACACATGACTAGTGATCATGTAAAAATTGTTCTGACATTTTGAAAATTTGGATTTTCGACAAACAATTATTTTTAGGAAGCCCTTTTTTACCGACGTCGATCAAGTTACTGAACTTACATCCAGAATCCCGAACATGTCCTGAACATCTCGAAGTCTATTGTAAAATTCGATATATTCTTCTAAACAATGAGTTTGTACTGATCTATATGCGTACCCTAGGTCAAGGATTTCTTGGATCTTGGGATCGGCGGGATCTCTTCCCGTGAACATCTCCGGAAGATGGGTCCTGATTGTGTGATAAGTCTCCAGTTTTTCCTTCGTCCTCTCCAAACTGTGCTTGCAGCCCCTAAGAAAGCCTACCAGCCATTGTTGATCGATTCTTGCGCATATATGCGGCTGTTTTCCCAGCCATTCCGTGACGTAATGGACGTCCTTCTCGAGTTGTTTCTCGTCCTCGTTAAGTTCTCGTTCTGCGAGTTTTTTAAGAGCCGGTGGCAGCTCTCGAATCTCCATAGTTTGAATTATCCCCGGAGATGAACACCAGTTGATCACTTATGCGCAAATTGGAGCTCTACGAGACATCGGCCCTTTGAAACCTGAAAAATTGTAAAGCGACCTTGCCATTTGCATACTCTCCACCGACAAAAATCCAGGTAAATTAACATGAATTTTTACACACTTATCTTGTTTATACTTAAATTTCAGAAATGTTCGAGGACAATTTAGAACACCCTGGTAATTAATAAACTCCCATTTGAACGAGTCAAAGTCAAAAAAAGTGTCTTACGCGCTTCTATGCCAAAACCATGGGAATACGAGGTCTCGGAGTGAAACATTAATTAACCTGAAAAATCACAGATGGCGCAGGGGGTCCCTTGCAGTGAACTAGGGCCGCAGAAATCACGAATCCAAAGGATTTCCAGAGTTTAACTTGAATTTCTTTACAATTATTGCATGCCATTTGGTACAATACCCAATATAATTCGACAGAGCTGTCGATATGAAAACCAACGTCGTAAATGTAAGTATTTAGAATATTCTTCTTTACCGACGTCGATCAAGTTCCTCGACGTGTTTCACTCCACCTTTAGAATTCCTGGCAAGAGGGCACCCTTCGGGGAGGTCCTCGAAGATGGCCCCGCGATATGGAGATACTACACCCCAGTCGGAATCGGTACGTAGAGGAGAGAAGAAAAAGGAGGAGGAAGAAAAAGCAGGCTCAGGGTAATGCGAAATTCCGCGGTACCCTCCGAGTAGTACTTGTTAACCCCGTCACGTCGGCGCTATATGTCAACGTTCCTTAGGCAGCCGCCTTTCGTACAACCAATTTACTTGCGCGGTTCGGCCCCGCTGTCATTTCGCATTTTTCCCGGGGCTTTCAATGCGAGGGAAATAACGCGTCGCGGAATGTCGAATTTACCATGGGGAATTTTCTACCCAGGCCGCGGAAATCGCACGCGTAGCTATGCGGAAACGTGTTTCCGTTCAACTTGTTCGGAACAAGTGCGTCAATTGGCGGGAATCGCTGCTTCCTCGAATACCTCCAGATTCCGGGGAAAAGTTCCCCATTAACCCTTTCCCTGCCACGGCAATTTTTCCGATACAAATTTCATATCATAAATTTTATTACGATACAAATTTCATATCATAAATTTTATTATGCCGAAGGACTGGGAAATATATTTCAATGGCGGTACCATCTTCGCAATGGAGCAATTTTCTTACAGTACTGGATACATACCCAAGTGTCCGCCGCCGATCTTACTGATTTTCATATATGTTGAAGAACACAAAAATCTAAGAGACACGTGTTTTTTTTTTTATCTGCATCGTCCACATTTAAGGGTGGAAACAACCCCCCCAAGGTTTGGCGAAAATTCCATTTTTATATTCATTTTCGTTTGAGCAGGGGAGGGATTTCGACGAAACTTGGCATAAACGTTCTAGCAGATGTTGCAAACTAGCAAACGTTCTTTTTAAAAATTAAAAAAGAAAGAAAAATGAACATTTTCATCGATGCATCGTCACGGCAATGGCATTGAAATCTCCGCTGTATATTAATTTCCCATTTTACGAGGAGTCGTTTAACGCCCTTAGAAGAGAATTAATATCCAAATTCTCAATGAAATATGAATCGTCGTATTGAAAATGAAAAATCCACCGATTCGTTAGGAAATTATTGTCATCCGATGATAGCGATGATGCGGCACCGGTTGTCACACTGACGGCGCCCAACAATGGCGCCGGGAGTTCCTTTATTGCTGCTTCCCGAGTTACTTATCACCTTCCTCGCGAGGGTACGTTTAATCATTGTCACTTCTCGAGGTTATTAGGATAGATTTTGAGGAATCTTACCGGAATATTCGAACAGGAGTCCTTAAACTGTCTACGATCGCTCCTATTGCCACGTATCGTCTCGCACTGCTGTTGGAAAAACTGCTCGAAAGGAGACCTAGGCCTCGATACTGCATGACTTACGTCACGACCACGTGACAGTCGGTACGATAAATCGAGTAGTACATCGGAGCAAGACCGCAATATCATTTCGCTTTTTTTCGATTGGCGGCAGAGGTCAGGCGATCAATTCCAATTACTAAAGGAAAAAGTTGGTCGACTCAAGGAGAAGAAGAAAAAAATTTAGAAAAAAATCCTCCGATCATTTACATTGTCAAGGTACACTGTCAAGATATACGGAATTCGTTATGTGGATTCTTAATGCCGTGGGATGAACATTTTTCATTTGTCTAGTTTAATCTCTAGTTTGGCATAAATTTAACGTTAAGCGTTAAATGTTGGAACCTGTCCTTAGAAACGCTTTTAGGAGTCCTTATCGGACAGATAGGTTTATCTTATCGAGATTAAGAGAGAAGTTTCGATTAAGCCGTAAGAAAAATCATTTGTAAATGAATGCTCCGAAGTTAACCTAAATTGTTATGAAGAACCAATGTCTTGCAGTGGTCTGGAAAAATTGAAAAAAAATAATTATCCCGTGCTTAAGTTCTTCTGGTAAAACGTCAACCCCCTGATAATTTCACGTTTGAAATACGGACTTTCGAAGAGGTATCATTTGTTCATAATGGAGAAATCTACTGTACCTACCGATGCTACACGTCCTTCGAATGTAAGGACTATGGATCGATGATAAAGCCTCAGGTCTCTTTGCTAATCTGTAATACCGATTACAGTTGTCCCACGATTTTCAAATTGACCATACCGACTGATGTTAAACGTTATTTTTAATGGATTAAAGTCTATACACGGTAATATACCGAGTGCTGGTAAAATTCTATTAAACAACTCATGGTCGAACGGCGCCGAATTTCGGCACTTCAAATTGACAAACATTAACAATATATCCGTCGGTTATCTTTACCAATAAGTACTGAAAATCGCTGTAATTACATGGGATTGAAAAAGGGCCTGCTCTCGTTAATGCTTTTATTTAAATAAAGCCGCAGACAGTTAAAGTAACGTAACACATTTAACCGAAACTATTGTTAACTCATTACAGAAGTTTCATTACCGTGAAGAAAAATGACTATTGCAACATAGACGTAAAGATGTCATAAAAACTATTAAATAAACATAACAATAACACTAGCTTCGTATAAACAAGCGATACATTGGAATCGTCCACGATAAGGTGATTGTTTCACGATACACCTTGGATTTGTCTCTTATCAGTCATCCGATTAATTGTTCTTGTTCCGCAATTATGACGTTTATAAATAATCATTCCATCAGAGGCCTATTTGAAACTCACATTCCGTATATACAAGTCAATCGTTCTATCGCTACGTGCGGTCATCATGACAAAACGCACGTAAAAGCTAATCACTTATCAAATCGAATCGTACGAACGAGATTACAAGGATCAGAGATCCGAAGGTCGACTCTTTTCGAGCCCAAGAATTAATTTGCATATCGGTCCACGTCTTAAACCCCATTTTTTGACTTCCCATCGACAAGACCACGCAAATCGATAAATGTCGCCACCTTTATTCGTCTTCGAGTAAAGCTTGGCGTCTCTTCATCGTTCGCAATGATGGTCAAAAATGATTAAAAAAAAAGAAACAAAAAAAACGAGCCGTCGCTCATCGCAATCGCATCGGTACCGCCATTTTTGGTTCTCCAAGAAGAAGAGGACCATCGTCAGCAAACCGAGTTTCTTAATTAATTGCTGGCTTTATTCATCTTTAAGTAAAGCTTGGCGTCCCTTCATCGTTTGCAATGATGATCCATGATGACAAAAAAAAATTAAAAAAACGAGCCGTCGCTCATCGCAATCAAATTGGTACCGCCATTTTTGGTTCTCCAAGAAGAAGAGGACCATCGTCCAGCAAGTCGAGTTTCCTAATTAACTGCTGGCTTTATTCATCTTCAAGCAAAGCTTGGCTTCCCTTCATCGTTTGCAATGATGATCCAAGATGACAAAAAAAAAATAAAAAACGAGCCGTCGCTCATCGCAATCGCATCGGTACCGCCATTTTTTGTTCTCCAAGAAGAGGACCATCGTCCGACAAGTCGAGTTTCCTAATTAACTGCTGGCTTTATTCATCTTCGAGTAAAGCTTGGCTTCCCTTCATCTTTCGCGATGATGATCCAAGATGATGAAAAAAAAAAACACAAAAAAGAACGAGCTGTCGCTCATCGCAATCGCATCTTTACCGCCATCTTTGGTTCTCCAGGAAGAAGAGGACCGACCATCGTCCAGCAAGCCGAGTTTCCAGATTAACTGCTCGCTGGGTCGACGACTTCCATCTGGAGTTCCTCCTTGGTGGGTTCTTCAGTTTTCTCTCCAGCTGGTGCCAACTTGACCCTCTCCGAGGGCTTCTGATGCATCAGGATGAACGGCAGCTCCGCGGCCAGTTCCCCTCCAAGAGCGCCCAGGTACAACTTCACCTAGGTCGACATAGATACACATTCTAGTTAAGGCTAAAATTTCACTTCAATTTCATTTCAGTGAGATATTTAACGAGGATTATAAGAAAAAAATATGAAGAAAATATTCTGTGCTGATTATTTTATTTTTTTGATTTTTTATATGTAGAGCATGTACAGACAATGAGGCCAAAAATCGGATGGCGAGGCGAAAATTCAAGAAGAGGGTAGAGATACCTTGACGGCGTAGGAGACGACGATGCCGAAGGAGTCCCTGACGTCGGCCGAGGTCAGGAGGGTGCTGGACGCCAAAGCCGACTCTTCCCTCTTCATACGTCCATCCATAGCGATTCCCCTTCTGTTCCTGTTGTTCTCCAGGTCGGGCTTAAGATACAATACCTTCTGCAGGTTGGAGCCCGGACTGATGGGGCACCCATCCTGGGTCTCGACGGCGTCGATGACCGTCCTGAACTGGCCATTCTGGAAGATGACGACGTCTATGCCCTGCTGGACCAGCGCCTTGATCTTCTTCACGAGCTTGTTGCTGTTGTTCCTGACGGATATGTTGACGGCGATCCTCTCCCCATGGTGGTACAACTGCTTGTCCAGGGTGACTTCCAGCTCCAGTTCACCAGGACTGAGCAGGAAGTCCTTCCGGACGACCGTGCAAGGCTGACGACCCTGTTTCGTAGGCGCGTACTGGATCTTCCTGATGCCCAGGGAGACGGTGCTGCGACGGTGGGTGGCATCTCCGTCGTTCTCCCCGCTGAAGACCTTGATGTAGTAGCTCACCCCACAGGGTTCCCCAGTCTCGTCAGGACCTGGTTGCAGGGTGACGCTGGATGGCGAGCTAAGTGGGAACTGGAAGGTAAAGGGCACCGCGTTCGGTCCCAGCTTCCTCAGGAGTCGTTCCTGCAGCTTGGTCAGGGTGGCCTCCCGCTTCTGCACCGGGAAGACCTGCTCCGAGACCAGGTAGAGGTCCTTCTGGAAATTCAGGCCCATCACCTCGTCTTCCTCTCGGCCGTAGCGGAAGCTGCAGACCAGCTGGCCCCATATCTTCCGCTCGCTGTTCACGTAGTCCTGGTCCAGGAGGATGACTCCGTCCACCGGCTCCACCCCCGACAGGTAGTCGATGAAGTCTCTCTTGCCCAGGTAGACGGCGATCTTGCCGTTGGGCGAGCACTTCTTGAAGACCTTGAAGTTGACCACCATGGTTCCCTGGGTGCTCTTCGCCGGTGGTCCGGGTCTGGGAACTGGCCTCCAGGGACTTCGATCAGCCCCTTATATATCGATGCGCCTCTTCGTGACGTTGCTCACTTCCCGTGCTTCCTAATCCTTTCAGCGGATGAAAGCTGGCTGTCCGGGTGTTCTCTCAACTGGCAGACCTTTCGGCTGTTTCACTTCTCCTCGGCAAAGTTTCTGGTACCGACGTCACCGAGACCGTAGAAATCCTGGATTAGAAGCTGACGGTCCTGCTTAACCCTTTCGGACACGGCATGTTAGAAAATAAAAAGGCTCGCGTTGCGGAGAAATTTAATTTCTTTTCAAATTGAACAAAGTCGCGCATTAAATTTATTTTCATTTATTTTCATTTATTTTCATGCCTCAGTGTTAGAGGCCGAAAAGTGGACGCCATCTTGGGTGGTTTTGGGACGCGGCATTTCTTTTTTCTTTTATCTCGTCTCGTCTTCGTGTCGGTGATAGTGGATTGGGATCACCAGGGGATGTTTTACATCAAAGCTAGGCGTAATGTCTGTATTTCAAGGCTCCTCTTGCTAGACTAATTCGGAGCTGGTCAAAGGCCCGAGGTTGGGGGCGATTTACTACTTCAATTAACTTCAATTACTTTCACCCCTGGAGGACTCGTTAACGGCTTTTGACTTCGTTGGGTGAAAACGGCTTTCCTTCCCTCCACCCATGCACGCGTTACTTCCATTGCCACTGATCTTGCCTTTTGGACAAAATTGCTACCACCTGAAGAAAAAAAGGATCAATTAACCGATACAAATAGATACATATGTTTAGACACATTTTTAGATATTATAGTAATCTATGATTATGCATAGCCTATTTCATAACGTGTCTTCTGTGTTTAAGTGCAATTGCACTTTTTCTCCGCATTTTTAGTGACATTTAAGCGGCTGTAAAACGTGAATGCCGCCAGCCTGCGGAAACGACATTGGCTCGGAAATGCGAAGCTTCCCTCCACTTCCGCACTTGAGGAAAAATCGACCATACTGGTGAGACGGTGGATATGCAAATGCAGTCGGTATTGGCATTTCAGGGACGCTCCTACTATCTACCTCGGGAACGAGGAGATAGCAGAACTTCCTTCTGTACAGTGATGTACAGATCTCGGTTATTAAAAAAAAGCAATAACAAAAAAATAATTTGGAGGCGCCGGGTATCGATCCCGGTACCTCTCGCATGCTAAGCGAGCGCTCTACCATCTGAGCTACGCCCCCTGATTACTTTATTCTTGTACCTTGACCAAGTACACCTCAAAGTCTATTTACACGGTCAATGTGTTCCACTAATTATTCCACTTATCATTTCTAATGCCGGAAAATCGATTTGCAAGGCTAATTCCATAACCGCAGGCACTCTCATAACAATATTTGACCTTAGACGAGATCGATTGCATATTTTTTACTAGATATGAGACATGTCCAATTTAACTTAATATTTATTTCTTGACATTTTGACGTTTTCGATAACTTAACTTATTATCGAAGTAACACATCATATTTTATTTCTTATCTTTCTAGCTTACTCTTAATATTTTCCCTTTATTCGAAATAATCGTGGAATGCAACATTGCGCAACAGAAGGCAACAATCTTCGGGTGATTGTGTTCCCAATGGAGGTCTAATATCGACATGCGACAATCGATTCCCTAGTCCATGAGCGGATTGTTATTTCTTTCGTAAGCAGTACATACAAGAATTACTGTCAAGGCGAATAAAACCGCGGGATTTTGTAATCTCACGGATCTTTCAAGAAAAAGCACTCACTTGAGTGAATTATTTCCCACGAGTTCAGGTTGGGAAAATGTTGAAATTTTCGGTCCGTTCAATTCATTAAATGCATGCTGCATCAAGTAATTAGTCGACGGTTATTCTTCGACCCATGATGTCCTTGATTATTTTCCCCGATTCCTTAAAAAGTGGTTTGCACTCGACATAAGTGGACGCATGTCGTGACGCAAGGCACGGAATTGCGAGATGCTTTTTACCTTTTTTTTTTTTTCCCATAATTGCGAGGTACAGGCCCCTGGCTACTCGAGTGCACCTGAGATACGTGGACGGCCTCACGTATGACGATGTCCGAAACGAGAACTTCCTACGGCGCCGCCATCTTGAATTTACAAACTGGAAAAGTCGTCCCCTTTGTGTAGCACTGAGGGAAAGAATCACTTTTTAGAAAATAGGAAACCCTTATGTCGAATAAATACTTGATCGACTGTAATAATAAAATTGATTGAAAGAGCACCTCGAAGACATTAAATACGTAAACGATCTCACGTTGCCAAAGTCCGAAACGAGAACTTCCTACGGCGCCGCCATCTTGAATTTACAAACCGGAGAAATCGTCCAGCTTGTGTAGCATACACTGATTTAAAAGATCACTATCTTAAATAATAAGTTACACAGCCAATAATCTGCAGATCTTCTCAGCTGACATCGTTTATTGAGACGACTCGCAGAGTGATGTTCCTCCATCGGAATTCGCAAGGCACGTCTACAGAGTCGCGTTTTTGACACCAATTGACACCAGGAGATCAGTTTTACTTTAACGAGATGCTAAAGCCTCGATATCCAGACACTCGTTACATCGTCAAATATACCCTGAGACATCTTCTCCTGGAATATCAAAGTTGGGGTTTCTGACAACTGGGCCTGGAAATTAAACTCAATTAGAGATATATCGTAAATAAGGAGGAATAAATTACCAAGGATTTAGTGCCAAAATCGTGTAAAAATTGAAAACGAGTAAACTCGTCAACAACAACACTCCATAAATAATATCGTCTCGGTTGATTAGATTCGAGTTTTATGACTCGATGTCGACGAACTTTCTCGCCGATAATTCACTCCTTGTCGATACACGACGCGACATCAGGGATCTGCTTTATCGACCTGCAAACATTTGAAATCCCCTTAGGGATATAATTCTTATATAGAAATATATATGTAATACATAATACACTTTTCTCCAGGTCGGTGAGATCAATGTTTAATGTTTATTCTGTTTATACCACCTTGCGCGTACTTCGTGAATGCGCCGAATATAAACTCCCTGTTATCAGAGAACACAGGTCGAGTCGGGAAGCTTTTTATCAGTTCATTCTCATCTCGGGGTGCGAACTGCGCTATCTTTAAATCCTCAAACTTGGGGCTATTGCCGAATGACTCAACTAGGATCACGAGTTGACATAACCTCCTCTTCTCCAGGAATTTCCATTAGTACCTCTGTCTAAATTTATCTCCAGGTTATACGGCACTGTAAATACATGACTTTTTGACTAAACCATCTCTAGATTATCGTACGAATATTGTTTACAAACCTTTATACCATTTCGCCGAAAATTTGCAACAACGTTCCCTCCACCTGCGCATTCGAAGATTTATTAGACGTTTACTAATCCTCGCTTGTATTTCAACGGTAATTAAGGACATACCATTTCAGTTGAACGAAGTGATAATATCTTCACAATCGGTGTTGCGAAACAATGTATGTCTGTCTTGGCCATTTAGTAAAATTCTGTATAACAGCTAAATGGTCAAATCTTCGTTCCCTTAGCTTTATTGTACAATCCAGCAAGCCTTTTTCTAAGCGATCTTTTTTTTTTAAACGCCCAGACACGCTGTACAGTAAAACTCATTAAATAACCGCTAAAAAGCAACGTCGGCAATGTATATATTTAAAAAGATCTTCAATATCAACGTCGATAAAGTATCTCGACGTGTTTCACATCACCTTAAGCGCGGAGAGTGGGAAAGAGTTGGAAGGGGTCAGATAAGTCGGTAAAGGAGAGAGCGAGAAAGAGGAATATAAGGATAAGATAGAGAGATGGGGGATAAGCAGGAGCGAGAGAGAGGGAACGTGGCCACAGTAGTGGCCAGTCATGTATAATACTTTCCTCCAGAGACCGGTCTGGTCATTCGGAAAGACCGCGTGCCTTGAATCGAGTGTCGTCGGAGAAACGCCGTACGAAGACTCACATATCGTAATCTCCCGTAAAAGATAAACCGATCGGGTAGTTAATAATCAAAGAGAATAATTTACCCCAAAATATCGGCATCTTACATCCTCGCGAGCGTGAGAAGTTCCGAAATAAAGTTCCTCTCGGCGGAAATCTGGTACGGGGTGAAGAGGCAGCCGCCATCTTGGAAAAGCGTAGCCCTCTGTAGGTGCACCGATTTCGGTTAATTCTGACGTCTTTCGAGTTGCACAAGTGAAAAACTCGCCAGTAAATATCTCGAAAAGGTCCAGAAGGTGGATTGTGTAAACCTGGATAACCAATCGATACATCCGCGCGGCTTAAATCCTGCAATTCCTGCGGACGTTTCGTAATAAGCGGGGATCGAGCAGTGCGCAGTAAGGTGCGCAGGAGAGCTAAACTCTTCGCGCAGATGGTGGATGGAAAACTTGAAAGTGATCGATGTCTTCCCGTTAAAGGTACATTGACATTCGGGATTAATCGAAGATAAGCCGATAAATCGCCGAGGGCTTCTACGTCCACACGAAGCGACGTTAAATATTGGTAATTCGATAATATTCGAGGCCTTGGAGAAGAGCGATTTTCGCGGGCCTCATTTCGCAAGCGGCATCTCAGGTGACGGCCTGCGCACGAGATCTGCGCAGTAGCGCTTAAAACTGACGGAGGTGAGTCAGACGGTCGGAAGCGACTTTAACTTCGACAAAAGGAAAGGGAAAAAGAACCACGCCGACTCGTAAACACACCAGTTGGCACTTCTTGTACATACAATCTCTGGACTCCACGTAAGAAATAAAAAGAACCACTTTCACAGGCTAACATTTGTCGGAATAATTGTTACAGCCACGTGGTTAAGGAAACCTGCGCTCGGAAGCAGGATCAGCTGATGAAGAAAATCCCATATCGATTCGTAAACTAACTGGTAACTCGATCTAATCTAGTGCGACCTTGAAATTTTTCCGACGCGAGAAGAATTCTGACGTCCGCGCATGATCTACTGCGCATAAGAGGCACGCAGTGTGACTAAACCTGGCGGGAGAAAACCAGGAGGGACTGTTCAAATCTACGGGAACGATCCCACCGGCTCTTGAACGACCTAACCTAACCTAACCTAACCTAACCTAACCTAACCTTCTATTTTGTACAAAAAATCTTCCTCCGCGGGGGAACGATTTTCCTGTGCGCGCCATCTTTCGCAAGAGGCGCGCGGGTGGTGGGTGCGCATAAGTCCTGCGCAGAGGGGCTAAAAACGGTGCGGCGAGAAATCGAGAGTGCCGCGAATCGATATTAGCCGACTCGTCTCGCGGGAAAGGCAAACGCTTCGGCGGGACTCGCGTCGCATCGTCGTACTTTGGCGGCCCGCGTCTGGGAGACCGCGTGTGGGCGCATGTGTGCCTTCGCCTGCGTGTGTCTGTGCGTGCGCGCACACTTCGACCGCGTGAGCGCCTTCGAGTCCTGCGCGTTCGGCCTCAGCTCGAGCAGAGCTCTGCGGAGGACCCTAGAGGGATCCAAACTGTGCAGCGCGCCACCGGACGAGGACCGGCCGGACGGGGAAACGAGGACGCCGTTCGTCCAGTGAAAAATCGACCCGCTGATCATTCCTCGACGGTGAACTCGGTGCTAGACCCAAGATATGAAGAGAAGTTAAAATCCGGCGGAATAGGGACCATCAGTTTTGGGAGTGGATTTATGAAATCAAGAGAAGGTAAAAAAAGGTCATATAGGAATCATTAATTCTGGGAGTGGATTTCAGAAATCAAGAGAAGGTGAAAAAAGATCATATAGGAATCATTGATTCTGGGAGTGGATTTCAGAAATCAAGAGAAGGTAAAAAAGGTCATATAGGAATCATTGATTCTGGGACTAGATTTTAGAAGTCAAATGGAGATAAGAACGCACCAGTGGGAAAGGAACCATCAATTTTGGGACTAGACTTCTAGAATCAAGAGAAGATAAGATTACACGGGTGGAAAAGGATCCAGCTTGTGGCTGGACTTCAGAAATCAAGAGAAGAACGTACCGGTAGAAAAGGAACCATCAATTTTGGGACTAGACTTCAAAAATCAAGAAAAGTTAAAAACGCACCGTGAAAATCGCTGACTCCTCGACATTGACTTCCTGGTAAACTTCGATCCTAGGCTTCAGAAATGAAGAAAAATTAAGTCTGATACAAGGGAAACCACCAATCCTGTACAAAGAAGCTTGTTAAAAAAGCACGTGATCGGTGGACGAAGATTCCTGGACGCATTGTTTCCGAGTTTTGTCAATTAGAACATCCGTGAATAGCGTCCAGACAAGATTGTATCGGATTTTGGATACATCCTTTCGTCGAAAGCAACAGCTGATATCGCCGATTCCTTGACATTCGCTTCAGGGATAAGCTTGAAGAATCGAAAAGTTGTTAACGCCCCGGTATATCAGCCTCTTCTTTGGCAACCGAACCCTGATAAAAGCTAATTATTTTCGAGTTATTTCTGAATTTCATCAGGTAGAAATTCTGAAAATAACGTTTAAACAGAAGTTTCGAGAGGTCCGAGTATATGCGAAAGGTAGAGGCTTGTTTGAGAGTTTGACTGCCTAGAAGGACGAGGACAATAACAGCCTGCTGAAATTCCCGATTCTAGGTCGTGGTACTCGGTACACGTACTTTGAGAGGATATATTTCAGCGATAGCTGAAAGTTCCTCCAGTACTTGAAACCGGAAGTCTGGAACACGGTGACGAATTTTGGTTACACGGGACACCAACGTACGGATGTCGGGCCGAAAAAGTTAGGACGCGAAGAGTTGTTTGGACCTTCCGGACCTTCTGGGAGCAAACACTTAGAAGGTAAACACTTCGGAACGACGCGAGGAAGGAAACGAGACGTCTAACTTGCACGCTACGAAGAAGAGCCACCAGGGAAATCCATACACGAGAGCCCCCCTCGACTCTAAATCGGGAACCAGGAAATCCAACCCGAGTAAACGTGCAAAGTGCTGATCAAGAAATCCGGTAGGCGAGGAACTTCTACAAAGAGCTGACCTCCATCAACGCGAACATCATTGGGGACCTAGAAGACCTTTAAAAGCTTCGAACTGGTTCCAAAGAGCTGACCTCCATCAACGCGAACCTGAACAACCTTCGCTGGTATTAGCGGCAATTTGCGTAGCTGATAGAAGTAGAGGAATCAGCTGCTGAAAACAAACTCGAAGTGTCGATCAGTTAGGGGTTCTGGAGATCATCGAGGACCTAGAAGACTTTTAAAAGCTTCGAACTGATTCCAAAGAGCTGACCTCCATCTACGAGAACCTGAACAACCTTCCCTGGTTTTAGCGGAAATTCGCGGAGCTAATAGAAGACCTAGAAGACCTTTAATCATGGCTGCTGTCATGAACGTTCCCAATGTTACCCAATTGACGATGGAGTCGATCGAGCGAGCCGTCGAAGGTGGTCTCGAAGGCAACCTGACGCTCGTCCAGGTCGTCTCCGAAATGGTTCAGGAATTGGAGAACAAGAGGGAGATGACTGAAGCTGAATACGAACAGTTCCTGGCTGACGTTTGGGTGGGAGTGGTGCTGACCCTAATGGTCCTCAGCTGTGTTTGCTGCATGTGTTCCTGTCTTCTTTACCACAAATTTCAACAGTGGAAACGCCATGGTAAGCCGAAGACATGACAACCATTGTTTCCTCCCCACCAAACCGTACAATCGCTTTAAATATAAAAAAATATATATATATAAAATGACCCTTTCATATCACCTTAAAATTTGAAATTATTCAGTTCATTCAGTTTGTAGGCAATTTTTGTATGATAATTTCACTTTTAAGTATATACAAACTGGGGGAAATAATATGATACTATAACACGTGATTATGGAGGTCTTGAAACTAGCAAGAAAATGACACTAAATCCCTAAAAAAAAATTGGAACTTATGGGTAACCGTAATATTGTCAATAATTCCCCCAAAGTATTCAATGAACAGTGAAGCGGTTCATTCGATTATTTCATGAATGTCCGAGAGAATAACGTTGAATTTGTTGGCCTCGATATGACAATATCGGGATTGTAATATAATTATGAATCACGCGATTGTTGGATTAATCTAGTGGTCCTATATGCGGAGAATGACGGTTAACGTTCTCGACCGGCGATCCTCGTGGCGGATAATTATTCATTGCCATTGGGGCAATTAAACTGTAGTACAACACTGAGAATGTCAAGTATCTATTCCGATACTGCTCGCTTCGGTTTAACAGCCGACGTCATTGACGGTAATGCCGAGTTAATCGAGAAGTAGCCATAAGCGGTGTACTCGAACCGAACATTGGCCACGTACGTAATCCCGCTAAATAATTTATCAACAATTGATTTTACCCCGAATACCTACGGACAAATTTTATATTCCCCTCTACTATATTCTACCATATTGTAAGGAAAGGAAATAAGAGAACACCTTGTTCAATTTTGTTGCCTCCATAGATTAGGGTGTGGGGTCTGTACATCCTATCATCGTATATCATCTTATATCATCCTATATCATCCAATGTCATTCTATATCATCCTATATCATCCCATATCATCCTATATCATCCCATATCATCCCATATCATCCCATATCATCCTTTATCAATAATTTACGCTGCGGAGATTTCGTCGCCCATCTTGGTCATACTTCGCACCGAGTTCATTGACTAAGTCAATGTCACGCCTTCTTGGCAGACCAATGAGACGACCTGTCGATAAATCGGCCCGTTTAACGAGCCGCCGTTTACATTTCCTATTAGGGAGGGGATTTATACCGAGCGGCTTAAGGCAAGCTTCGTTGTCACCGCGTTATCACCGGCGCCGTGGCGAGGTGAACAGGAAGTGCTTTGAAAGTTGCCGGAAACGGCACTCCATTTTCGGAGTGAAGACTTAAACCTTTGAGGCACGGTATTTTAGAAAATAAATAGACCGATGTTGCACGGAAATTTTCTATTTAAATTGACAAAGTTGGTTGATTTCTATTAATAAAGAAATCAGATATATATATGCCAAAAAGTGCCACGTGCGTATGACATTTTCATGTCAGTGTCAATATGGAAACTATAAGGAAAGTCTTGACGCATGAATGACACGTGAAGTTTTAATTATTTAATAAATTGTTATACAGATATTTTCTGGCTTTTACATATAGCGATGTTTCATGAGTCTCGAGACCTTCCTTATAGCCTTAATATTGATATTTAAACAAGCTGGAGCTCCTGGGCTGAACTTTTCTTATTAAATCTTGTTTTTGCGATAGGAAATTTCAGACCGGCCTGTGGGGAGATTGTAAATACCACCTGAAAGGTGGCGCAATTCGCGTATCAGTGATAACACTTGCCAAATGCTCGCCAGTGGAAAGCTACCATGAAATTTTCCTTCCAAATTGTTCCAACCATTCCAGAAAAATATCATCTGAAAATCCGTCCACGGAACGTATATTTAAAATAATAAAAGCACGGATGTTAACATTCTTTACTGAAAAGGGATATTTTTTAATCTTCCTTGGCAGCCTTTAGTCGATAAACTTTTCTTTTTTCTCGGTGTAGCAGACCTGCGGAGTATATCTCAGATCTGAGATCGAAATTAATAACAAATTAGATGACTGTGTCGAGCAGACCAATTTTCGGAGTACCTATCACTCGATAACATGTTATTGGATTTGATAAGGCCGAACGATCGAGACCATTGAAATCCTCTCCGAGGGAAATTATTAATCGACACGGTTCCGCTCAGTCGCCCTTGTTTTTAAATTTCTTATTTATCCTTGGCAGCTATCTTGTTATTGTCTTATGAACTTAAGTAATCTCGATATAACCAGACCCCACCTGCTTTTGTAATCTTATAGAACTCAGCCGAAGGGTTCTCTCAATTTCACATTTTCTCTTAAGGTGATGTGAAACGCGTCGCGGAACTTGATCGCCGTCGGTAAAGAAGACTTTTCTATATTCCTATTATAAATAGTCTGGGATGATACGTGACTATCCACGATCAGAGCAATCCGCCATATTGAACGGTTTCACGGGAAATCGATTAAACGGCATGACTTACGCGGCGCATTCTTATGGAAAGTGATTTGCGCAATGATCGGCCTTAGGCCTTTGTCGCACATCACAAAGGATAGCTCCGAGACGGCGACTGTGAGTTTATCACGGGATATATTCGTTATGCGGAATTAACTTTCTGGAAGTATTTAGGGAGCCGATAACGATGGACGATACCGAGAAGGTTAAGTAATCGCCGGAGGCGCGGCGAGACAAAGACATTATTCCCCCTTATCACATCACTGAAATTTCCCATCCGATTTGGAAACTGAAAGTAAAGGAAAAGAATTCCTACGCGAGTTAAAGTTGTAAGGGAATATTTTATATTCAAAGTTAAACATTAAATGCAGCTAAGCGTTCTGATTAGCTCTTCAATTCGGCATTTTTTACGGAGGGGGATAGTGTCATTGCGATTAATTTCCCGGCACCGTTTGCGTTCCCTAAAAAACCGCAGTCCTTACGGGGCGGGAAAAGTTCATTGAGGGATTTTCAGAAAGGATAAATAAATAAATAAAAATTAGTCCCGAGGCAGATAGACTCTCGGGGGGATTTATGAACCGCGATGTTACCTCGTCGGTCAGAATTTCTGGCGTCACATCCTTTTGTTCCGATAAGTCTCGGTAAAGTCGAAGGTCCAATCGATGCGTTAGGTGTTCCCGATCACCGATTCATCGATTCATTCTACGTATTACCGGTATACGGATTCCCGAACGTACGTAACACGCGTCTCGAATCGTAGAGAGATGAACCGCGAGTGACGAGTCCACAATAAATTAGCATATCTTGCAAGAGACAGGAAACTACGGGATCGAGATAACGCAGCGAAGATTACCGTAGATAGATACCAACGAGTCCACCTGTACAAGGAAAAGAAAAGACGAAAATTAATTGATTCCTTTCGGTTTCGAAAAGGGACATCCAAGTGACGTTTGAATAACGCGGGCTTTTCGGGGGACCACGTGGCCTTGACGTTTGGAAGAGACCACGTGACAGTCTCGCGCTACCACGTGGTGATATAGGACCACGTGGTCCAGTTCGTGAAAAGGATAAAGGTCCGATCTTTTCGACGATTTATCGATTCGTGGCACATAATCGAGCAGGGATTCCTAAAGACGTACGTCAGACGCCTCTCGGATTGTAAAAAGATGAAACGCGAGTGACGAATCTACTATAAATTAGCATATCTTGCAGGAGACAGGGAGCTACATCCCGCTACCTGAAATAACACAATAAAGGCAGCTGGGAGATACTCGAGGGCCCAACTGTATAACGTGTATGAGGAAAAGGCAGGAGAAAAAAAAAAAGCAGCGCAATCACTTGTCTTCTTGTTTATTCTTATCATACTTGCAGATACCTACTTCTTTTTCCTTATTACCGGTGCTGATTTATTCTTGCATCTTTAAAATCTCGGCCGTATTTGAACAAAGGCAGGGGTGAATGTTTAAATATTCAGGTGAACATTGAGGTAAATTAATCATTGATCGAGGCAAGAAATAATTATTACAAAAGTAGGGATGTATTTATCTTATTAGAGTCGCGGATACTGGAATTTTTAATACCTTACCGAGAAGACGATTAACCATCATGAAGGAAGGATTTACGAGAATTAATGAGGCATTACCTTGCGACTTTGACAGCTACGAGAGTCCAAGTGACTTTTAACGTTTGAGAGAGACCACGTGACTTTGACATTTCAAAGCGACCACGTGATTTTATCATTTGACAGAGACCGTTTAAACTAGATCACGCAACGTTTCAAATAAACCACGTAACTTTGACATGTATTAGAAAGGATGCACAGGTGGGAACAACGCATTTTTTTTTTTTTTTTTTTTTTTCAACAAACGGAATTACCCTATCGCAGAGTTTTGCGGTTCACCTTAAGTCAGAAATTTGAATTCGTTAAACGAACATCGATTTGAACGCTAGGTGCAAATCAGATGTAGAAAAACGACGAACGGGTCGGAAACGGAAATGGAAACGTCGATTGGTTCGTGGTAAAAGGGCCGGATTAGTGTCGGGATGAATATTGATTCGGTGCGGACACGAGCGGATAATTGATAAGATAAACCACTGGTCTTAGAGGGTTTAAAATAAATGCAAAGGTAAGGAGAGGCTTCGAGTACTTCGGCGAAGTGGAAGCAACAACAGGAGCGCCTTCTCTCATTGATGTCACGTTTAAATTCAGACTTTGTCTTAGGTACGTTACTCGCAAACAGATGTAATCGAAGCTAAACCGATATGTTCCGAAAAACAGATCCCCCTCTGAAAACAAGGAAATACATATTCAAATATCTATGCCGTGAAGACATTGCCGCAAATGAATTATTCATCGTGACAGTCGGCGATTTCACTTTCGACGAATCAAAACGATCTAACGAATGCTGTTCTGTTTACATTGTTTTTAATATTCCCGCGTTAACATTTATGCGCTAAGAGGCGTTTATTACCTAAGGGGTGCCGTTTATTGCACGTCTGCGGCATCCGCCATATTGGAAATGTCATTTACGTGCAAAAACCTGGAAACACGGGAAATTACCCAACTCTGGATATCCTCCACAATTTAAACAATTCATTCCTATCATTCTCCCTATCGACGATAATCTGTCGATGATCTCGAACGATTTCCAGCATTAAGATCCACGATTTCCTGAGTGAACGACCCCTCGGAAGAATCTCTCAATCATTTCCGCCGAACAATTACGCTTTGAATTCGTGATAAAATTCATTTCTCCCCGAGTGGACCGCGTGGAATTTAATTTCAGCCCTTTCACCTGAAAGGAAACAATGCGAAGTGAGGCCCTTTCGTGGCGTCCTCGCAAATCCCCGGATAATTTAATTGCCGAGTCCGGGAAATGGCGGAGTTTATGCAGCTGTAGACGGCGATCTTATTTCGCGTGCGAATCGCAAGGCCGCAGTTGGTCTCCTTAAATAAACGTTAATCTTCCTAGACAGTGGGACCGTTTCGGTATGAACCGCTAACCATTCGGAATTCTCGCGATTACGACTCGTTTGCGTAGCTGGTGTCGGCGAGGTCTCCATTTCTAAAATCGGCGAACAGGTAACTGATAAGGGACGGTACTTCGACTTTGTTCTTTCCTTCCTTCTCGTTATCTGTTTGTACTCCCAGGTCGTCGAACAAGTACAGTGGCGGACATGAATGCCTCCCCTGTAGATACGACATCGCCTGTGCAGGATGGGAGGGCATTGATGTCTCCCGGTGTACGTTCGCATGGTGTGTCATAACGCATGGGCATCGCTTTAAAAATTAGCCTAATTTCGGTCTCAACACAGATTTGATCAAATAAGAACTGCATATCGGTGCATTATCAATTTGACCTTATCTCTGAATTATTGCACGCTGATAAAAAAATTAATTCATTGAACAAAATCATCTCCTCTTAATGATTTCGTTCAAAGTATGTATGATTGTACGCAACAATTATACTCGGTGATAATAATGTTCTTTGTAGAAACGTGTAATTTAAGTAAATGCAGGTGCCGATAATGACACCTGCTTAGCAGGAGCTCGTGATCTAATATAATATTTATTGCCTTTTCGCAGAAATTCTTGAAATAGCATGCCAAGTGTATATATATGTATACATACACGTGTCTGGAAGAAATTCCACTCACGAGAAACGACGTTAGTACAGCTGTAGCATCTCACGAATGGCGATGAAGCTATACTACGAAATTAGAATAACATCCGCAATAAGGATAATTTTATGCCCGGTAATAACAGTTTCTTTTTCCACGGTTATGGTTTTTCTTTAGCCGTCGCATAAATGATCCTACATACAAGTATCTCGTAAAGCTCACATTCCTCTGACGAAGGCACGCAAATTCGAACCTTACCGCCGACATGGTCCTCGCAGCATACATTACTTATGTTAATTGCGATTTCTGCCTTAATGAAGCGCGATATGGAAAGAAACTTGTCCCACAAAAGTTGTGCGTAACAATCTGCGGAAGAACTTTTGTTTATTGAAGTTTCTTCTTCGAGGTGTCGTAAAAGAAGGAAGCCGCAAAAACTCATCGCAAACGGCAGAAGACTTCGCTGCAATTCTTTCGCTTAACGTGCCATATCGTGCAATCGTTTCGATTGCAGGCACTGCCAAAGGCCTTGAACGTTGACGTTTGTTTTTTTTTATTCATAAAAGTGGAATAATCTCTGCTGAGAGAATCCAATCAGCAAGTCAGATGAGCATCGTAAAGAACGCTCCCAATGGTGTCGCCTTCTCGTACCTCCTCGTCTCCCATTAAACATCAAACATTCGGCATTCTCCCTCGAATCCGAGATACCGCATAACATTAGGCACGTTTTCTCGAAATCCCAATTATTTCCATGACCTTGCTAACTTTTTAATCCCACGAAAGAAAGGAAGAAAAAAGACAGCATGGCCATGTCAAGTTAAACAAGAGTTAGGAAAAAATGTCCCTGTCCTTGCCACACAACATCACCAGTTAGGGATTCCCGACGAGTCCCTTATCCCTGTCCTGCCACACAATATCACCAGATAGGGATTCCCAACAAGTCCCCTATCCCTGTCCTGCCACACAACATCACCAGTTAGGGATTCCCGACGAATCCCCTATCCCTGTCCTACCACACAATATCACCAGTTAGGGATTCCCGAGATTTAAATTTCCCCCCAAAGTTGATCAACCGATAGTAAGTAGATTCAATCTGTACTGGAACTTTTAGGTGATGGATCCGTGTTTCTGTTCCAGTTATGGAGAGAAGAGCAGCCGCGGCGAGGGACCCTGAAGGCCGAGGTGTGGACAACGAAAGTCTTCCATCCTACACTTTGGTGTCCGGACTACCGAGTTACGACGAGGCCCTGGAACAGCTGAAAGTGATTCATGCGATGGGACTGAACTTGAACGGCAACTGCAGCGAGACCAAGTGCATGGAGGCCGGACCACAGAGCACAGCATCCGAGATGGACCACTCACCGGCATGTGGGAGGAACATGTCGCGACTGTCGGTCGCAGAGTTCCTCCAAATCTACAAGATGCAGTCCCAGGTCCACGACCAGCAGCTGGCCATAGCCATTCCTCAGGTCGCGATAGCCATTCCTCAGGAGAGTGCGAAGGTCTAACGATTCCTGCATCTATGTTGATGACAATTCAGTCCTACGGGAGATGGTCATCAGCATCGGGACGCGTACATGGCAATTAGCTTGGTACATGGCTTACCGATGGACACTGGAAGCTCCACTACTGGATGATCGTTGTCAACGTTGTGACGCACAAAAATGAGTAATCCAGAAAGTGAAGTCATGCAGTGGACTTATGCCAGGGTACTCATCCACTGGGTGATCGTCGATATTGAAACAATCCACGGCTGCTGGTACCATCGTGGGAATTATGCCAGCGTTTAATCTAGCTAGTCCAGCATCCCAAAGCCAGGACCAATGAATGGGTCTATCAAAGATAGGGAAAGATTAAAATCGGATGTTTTCCTGTCCAGGTCCAGTTTTATGAACGTCACGTCCAAAGACACTTTGTTGTCCACACCCTTGGGGTTACATCTAGACATTGACGATGATGAACAAAAAACCGTGGACCATAATGCCGACATTTTACTCTAAGTGTTTGGTTCTATGACGACGCATCGATTCGATGCGTAGACAAAGTTAATCCAGGACGATTTTAACAAATAATTACGGATGACGCTTAAATGTTCGCGGCTCTAGGAATAAACAAATCGAGAAGACGGACAATGTCGTTTGTACTAAACACGTAGGCTAGGTAGAATTCTTATTTCCAAAGCGACAGACTAGTAGGTGCAGTGGAGTTAAGTTGTAAAAAGTAGTTAAACAATGAAGTTTGACTTTCCAATCTACTGTGTTGTCGTTGTCGGACGTCGGTAAAGAAGATTTTTTTCTAAATACCTACGTAGCCGACGTTGGTTTTTATATTGACATATGTGTCGAATTATATTGGGTATTGCACTAAATGGCATACTCCACCTGTCGTTTTATCGCGTTAAGAGTCTATTTATTCCACACCAGGGCTCTGCCACGATTCGAAATAAACTTCGCGGAACATATTCGAAGTCCACTTATCGCCAGGGTCGGTGACGTATTTATTGTCCAATGAACGTCGTTCTTAACGCGAACTAAATTCCCGACCTTTGCGACGAATAGCACATAATATGCGGTAATGCCTTTTCCTCCTTCCTGTACTTACCATTATTGCCGTTACTCGTTAATACCGATTTTCCACGGATTTTCTAATACGGAATGGTGGAGTTCCTCAACTCTCGGAAGCAGTTCGAGAATTTCGAGCCACGGACTGATTACTGGGACGAAACTAACCTTTAACACATTCGCGAACCGCTGACGTGAATTCACGTCTTCTCAACTTCTATTCCTGGTTGCCGCTGACGTGAATTCACGTCGTCTTAAATTTTATTCCTGATTGCCGCTGACGTGAATTCACGTCCATGACGACACACGATTGATGTTTACGGCAACCAGTTTCAGAATTTCATTATTTTCGCCGGTACTCAGTATTTGAATATTAATATTGACTCTCGTTGCAACAACTGTTGAGCAGAAGACGCGTCCTTCGAGAGGAAAAATTAAACAATTCCACAATTAGCGGTAGTTTGAATGATCGCCATGTTGATTTTGATCATTGTATATTCTTTCGTTTTTCTGTGAGTAAGAGGTGTGTCGTTTTTTCTTCCTAAGGTTAAGACTCGAAATGACGTCCCCGCGACGTAAAAATGTGATATTATATTATATTTCTAGAGTATTGAGTTAGTTAACGACTATTATATTGTAACATTATTGTAACATCGAGTTAAACGACATCCTAATTAAGTTGACAATACTGTAGCAATCAAAAGAAAGTTGGAAAAACAAAATCGCCATTCCCTCGGTATGTGTTACATCGTTAAACAACCCTTACTATCCAGCGGGTGTATTTTCTATTGAAATCATGGATCTTTTGAATAAATATTCTATTAAGAAACGAAACTCCCTAAAATGAAGTTCCATTTCCACCGATAAATCGCGATGGTTTTAGAATACTTGGTTGCATGTATATATGGACATCATCATGCTTACCTCGCTGGTGCTGCCGTCGCCATCTTGCAGACGTAGTTGGAACTCCATTGAACACAGGAAGGTAGACAGGAAATCTGGTGTACCGACAGCCGCTCTGAAAACAATACAGCACAAATTCACTCTGCCAGATGTCGCAGGCATTGTCCAAAAAGAATTTTTAACTCAACATTCATAACAAACTCCACCAAAAAACCTCAGAAATAAGATAAAAGTTTCCCCTACATTATCGCAATCATTTTTTACCCGCAATTTATACAAAAATTGCACTATTTACCTCATCCCCACATTTCTTTCGGAATATTTATTTAACATGGATGAATTTATTCCGCAGCGTAAAATTAATCAATAAATTAATAGGAGAGAATGCGTCAATGATTCTTCGCTAATGCAAGATCCTGCAAATAAAGTGGTCACGAATGAACGTTTTTCGAGCTCTACTCTGGACAGAAATGCGATATTGTGGGATATCGTATTATGAGGTGGCCGTGTGATATTATATCCGTGGGTGTACGATAAGTTAATTTCAAAACAGAATCCATGTCTCAAAACATTCACTGTTCACTGGAAGTTTGTCTCGGGGGACTTCCCCGGGGACTTGGGTATTGTGGAATTATGCTTAGAAACGCCGACCAATGAGCTGCGAGGAAAGTGACGTCAGTCGACCAATCAGCTGCGTCGACGTCATCGACGCTAACACCTGATTGGCTGAATAAGCAATCTAAGGGAAGAGTGGGGTATCATGCAAGTGTATATAAAGTGCGAGACTGGTAACTCCGGTACATAATATCTGCATTGCGTTAGTTTGGCAGTTTCACAAGCGACATCGCCACGACATTGAAAATCCTTAATTTGGTCAAGTTCGACGAAACTATTATAAAGGTGTGTACCGAATTAATTAATATTTCATTCTTTCCATCGTAATATTTGCGACCCTCGGGATTTCAAGTGACTACGAACCACGAAACGTTGCTTAATGTCTGTCAAACTGAGGATTTCCTCAAATTTTTGCGAATCTCTCCTTCGACCGGTGCTTTTAAAGTGAGGGGGAATTAAATTTCACGGATTTTTTTTTTTTTACGAACGCGAACTCGGTACTTAGAATTGCTACTCGGAAATTAATGAAAAGGATTTCCTTCGTTGAGAATCGATTGCCTTCGATTTCATATGACAAAGAATAATGCAAATCGGTAATATGTGACGGTCGGCCTTAATATTCTGCCAACTTTTTGGCGATTTACAATGATTTCCAGTGATTTCTGCTTGCTCTTTCCGATTTCCGCGTGATTTCGAGAATTGAAATTTATCATTCCCTGAGTGAATCCCCCTCGAGTGCGTTCCGTTGGCTCTGTAATTACTAATAAGTTAGCTTACTAATAAGCTTAGTAATTACTAATGGTCGAAAATCTTGACTATATTTTCAGATGGACAAGGCTACGCGAGATAATAGAGCCAATCAATTAAATCCAGAGCACAAACCAACCGGACCAGGACGTCCGGCTGGCTACAAAGGAGATCCAGCAAACTTGGATAATCGGTCTACTCAATTAAATCCGAATAATGAATTATATAAAAAATAATAACATAAAGAGGATCAACATGATACTGTTTCTTTTTAACAACGTACCATAATCATTGTGGAATCATCGTGAATTCCCCTGTCAGTGTCATGTACATTAAATTCTTAACATGTATTGTCGAACATTGTGAAATATAAAAAGTTTCACCTTTAAAACTTGTCACCGTTTATTCGTTTCCATCTTTAATCCAATCGATGTATATACGAACATACCTACACGCATGCCCAATATTAGGATTAGAATTGCAAAACTTCCGATGCGCTATTGCGTCTATGCTAAGGCATAATGAGGTATCGGTGTCTCACTCTCTCTAATGCAGGCCATGTATGCTTTTCCTTTTCTTCAAAGGCACGCAAGGACAGCCATAGGCTATAATTTCACTTGAAAGACGAGAGCAAAATCAACTCGAAATCTGAAACCAACGTTAACATTGCGCTCAGAAGGTGTAACTACTTTCTCGCAATAAAAAGGAAGAGACAATGAACGCGTTCAACAATTGCAAGCCAACTCTCAATAAACAGCTAGGGAAGCTAACTCTGAAAGGAGCTATATCATCTGCAACGGTTACTCAAAAAAACTACACACAACCTAAAGGGAATCCCAGTGATGATTGCGAGAATGATATTAATGATTTTTTCCAAAAGTGGAAAAAAATAGTCGACGACAAATTGGCAGGGTAATAACAATCTTCATTGTTTCGTTAGTCCATCGTCTCTTATTCGCATCGATGATTTGTTATCGAACATGTTATATGTGTAGGAATTCGAAGGACGAACAGGAATCGACCGTTGCTTTTTCGCTGTCCAAAAGAAAGAGAGCACTTTTAGACGCCAGCAGTTCCCAATTAATCGATTCATTTAAAAACAATTTAAAGGATCTCGGAACTTTATGTACTCAAAGTGATTCATTGACTGCCACTCGGAAGGGAGAATCCCCTGGAACGGATTGTGCCTCGTTACCAGAGGAAAGCATGTACAATGCTTTCCTACCAGTCGCAAAACGTAAACCCAAGCTAAAATTAAGGTATTTTTCATATTTTATCTCACATTGGAAATACATTTAAAACACTAAAACTACAAACATATTATTCTTTCAGGAAAAGGGGTATGAATTCATGTTATTTCAGCAATTCAGAAACTGAGTCGGAAAGTGACCTCCCTCTGGTGAAAATGCGAAGATACGTTAACAAAAATATAAGGAATGTGACTAGTAAGACTGTAAGACTGTAAGACTCCGATAGCAGTCTGAATAATATGTCACATGATATAAAACATCACTTGTTACTGGACACCGTTTAGGGTATATCAGTTACAGTGCTCAGACGTTGAAATTTCAAGAAGACTGCATAAGTGGGATCTTGGACAATGATACAACACCATTAATTAATAGAGAAATTTAGAAATAACGCTGTTATTAATGAATCTCCCAATTATTCAATCTTGAATTTAAATTTAATTTCTCACTTATTCACGTTGGTGCATAAACCAGAAACGACCACGCCGTGCTAAAACATAGTTCCAGAAACGGCACATAGTTCCACTTTGGAATTAACGTCACTGACACCGTAGGCACTGAAAAATTAATATTTAATACTCGGGAAACTGTTAAATAAACATGTTAAAATATCTACAACAATTATTCATTGATCACAGACCCTACAGGCCGTTTTATTTAAAGTAGAACCTAATTCCATCGTACCGATTCTCAGCAGATTTTGGGCGACCCCGTCTGCCTTTCTTTAGCTGTGTCAGTCTTTAATTTCAAATCTCGCGTTGCTAAGAACGCCTTCGTGGACAACCGAAACGGCGAAAAAGCGAATTTGCTCGAGACTGGCCGTAATTTGGCGGAATATCAGGCGACTGTGCTTTGAGAGGTTAGGAACGGTTACACTGAGCGGAAAGGAAAGTTGGTATCGAAGAGGTTAGGGACGGCACTGACAAGATATCCGTCGTCCCCAAAGAGAGGTTAGGAACAACTGTTGAAGTCTGTTGATTTTGGCCGCAGTTTTGAGTTAACTGTTCATAACTTTAATCCTTTCAGATGTTTGCGATGCAGAGTTGCTGTATCAAGGGCTGCGAAAGTTACAAAAACATTGCGTCGAAAAATATCGGCTATTTTAAGTGAGTCGACTCGTTCCTTATCTAACGGCAAAATTACTTTCTAGGTTAAGCATTGTTTATCGCGTATCCTTGGTTAAAATTGCAACCTGATTGTACCCTTTACTGTTACTTACATATTACTTAACGTCAATTAACCTTATAGTCTTTGCTTTGCCACTGTCAAATCCCTTTTTTCATTTCCGATATCTACTGTGAATCTTTTGAAACGGTATTTCTGTTATAAATGTGCATTTTAGGTTCCCTTTACATGATGAGATCCTGCTAAATAAATGGCTCAAGCAAATCGGTCAAACCGATTGGCATCCGACGGATCAGGAGCAGATATGTGGTGCCCACTTTCAAAAGAAAGATATCGATTCGCATCCAAATCGGAAGTATCCGTGTTTAAAGCCCAGTGCCGTACCAACAATTTTTCCTGTACATCCAGTCGTCATTGAGCAAGGATATAAAAATCGAAAGCCGGTCGATATTAATGGACAGTCGGTAGAAATGAAGATCTTAAATTCGGTTAATGTTAATCCTAAACTAACTGGCACTTTACCTGTTTTGCCATCGAGCCCTTTGATTTTAATACCTACATTAATGAACCAGCCTCCGAATGTGAACCAACCTTTAAATGTTGGTCAATCTTTGATTCATTTAACTCCTGTCACTCAATCCAGATTAAGAAAAATTCTACCGAAACCAGATCACAACAGTTTACCGAAAACTGAGAACATCGTTATATTGCCTAAGAAGGATTTTGGGGAGCCTATTACTTCGACGCCGAAAGTGCACACAATTGTCAATAAGAATCCATCAAAGATGATTGTTCAATCTATTCCTGGAAACAAAAAACCAATACTGAAGATTACTATTAATAAAATGTATCGCAATGGCACTCGACCTAAAGAGATTGAAACTCAGTCTCAAACACTTTCTTCAATAGGTTCTAACAAAAGTAATCCAAGTGAGATCGTTTCAAAAGCAGCAATGGAAGTGAATGTTATTGAAAGCGAAAGATCAATCCCTGTAAAAAACGTTCAATCGATGTATCAACCACCTGTGAAGCCTACGGTCTCTATACCACCTTCTGAAAACAGTCCCGTAACTATGGCAGTCAATAAAATCGAAAAACATAAACAGGGAAATGAAACTATGACGGAAGTTCCAGACCGCACAAAGGGTGCATCTCAAGATCATGCGTATGTATTTACTACATTTACTAGCTGTAACTCTGCCAATACTTTGACATTAAAAACAGGAACCTGGACTGAAACAATAACGATTAATATGGTTTCGGTTCAATCTTAATTTTTTTTTAACGATTCGGATTCCAGTTTAATAAAGAAAAAAGGACTGATTCTATTTTTTTCTATTCCTTTCGGTTTCTTCCAATTCTTTTGGTTCCTGATATTCAGTTGTTTTAGTTTTAAATGCTCATATGTCGTACAGTTCTGAATCGTCGCATGTCTTATGAGGTTACGTACTAAAGAAATACTGAATTTATTATTTAAATAAAAATAACGATTTCGATTCGGTTTTTGTTTTTCAATAAGGTCCAGCTCCCCAGCGAAAAGTAACGAATTCAAATTTACAGCCATCTTTTAGTCAATTTCATTAGAGCAATATTTTACTATCATAGGTACAGCGCCTCGTCAACCTTGAAACTGAGGCACTTATATTCAAAGGCTCAAGAAGATTGCACTCAGTTGAGAATACGTCTGCAAATGTTGCGACAAAAACACAAAGAAGAACAAGAGGAAATTAGAAAGCTCCAGAATCATTTGATTCAACTCGGTAAGAGGGTTCAAACGACACCCGACGAGCCTAACATCTTGAACAATACGAAGCCTCAAAGGAAAAAGAGAGTCTCTTTATTGGATGACACCGAACGCGAGGAAGAATTTGAGAAGCTCCTTCGCGAAGTGAGGAAAATTAAACAGGAATTCAAGAGAAACAAGCAAGCGAATTCCAAGCCAAATACAAAAATAATCAAAAGTGGCATTAGACCTGAGATTAAAGAGGAGAATGACATCAAATTGACAAACCGACAAAAGGATCAAACGGTTCTCAACATCGACGAGAATGAGCTGTCAAAATTGTCAGATGTCGATGAGGGGGAAATAATTGGGGAAATCGATGACGACTGCGACGACATCATCGATGATCTTGACGACGACTCGATGGACTTGGAGTTCAATGACGAGGAAGAGGACATGGATTATCAGGATGAATATTTGGATTCAGATTTAATTGACGAGTGAAGGGGAGGCTGGCTTCGCCAAGGACAGTTTTGATTCCATCTCAAGAAATGGTGTAGTGTTTGTACTATCGGAATGCATATAATCAACACCGACACGTGTGTTCACGTGCACGAAACTGTGGCAAGTAAAACATCATTTTGATTTTATCTAAAAACTCTTAATTACTTCCCACCGTCTCGGAGCGTTTCATTGATCTATTTTCATCCATAATGAAGCATCTGATTTTTTGTAGATATAATATCTTGTCAAGTCTGTGTAGAATTCAATGCGAGTGACACAGTTTGACAAGCTGGACAATTTTTAGGTAGAACCAGCCAGATGTTTATTATAAGGATGATATTATTACAAAACGAAAGTTTTATAAAAGTACTATAACCTCTCTTCCCAAGTTTGATAGGTTCCTTCCGTCAAACTGTATCTCTCTTCGTGGAATGTATCTCTTATGTTGTACTTTGTTACGAGATGGTTAAGACTTTGAACAGTTTTTCATTATAACCAACAATGTGCAGCCTATAAGCAAACTTTTAGTCTGTAAGTTTTTTACAGTAGGCAGAGAATTCAATTAATGATCTGCTGCACATTATTGTACGACCCTTGGATTATTAAAGCATTCATTACGAACACTGCAAGCAGTGTTAGATTTATTACCTCTGCGGATATGTAATATGTTTGATCATATAAAATTCAGTTTTTTTTTACAATGGCTAATTCCTGTTAGCTTCTTAATTATTCATAATACTAGAAGTATCGATATTTGTGCTGTCACCAGTCAATTCTTGTACTTGTGATGCCATTGTTTCAGTTAATGATTCACTTGCAGTCATAACATCTTCCTTGACAAGATCTTTTGATTCGGTAAAAATCACTTCTTCCACTATTGGAGTACTCTGAACTCTCTCCGTTGTATCCGATTCAATTTTAACAATAGTTTCATTTGCTTGCGTAACTTTCGATTGATCCTTCTCAATCGTGGGTAATTTTAGTAATAATGAATCTTTTGTTATACTTCTCACTGGCAAAAGCTGAGCCAACGGTTCAAGGATTACCTTCTCATCCAAAAATGTAATTCCCTACAGAAAATAATTATGCATTATTAATGATCCATAAGGTGATATGAAAGTGGCATCCGAAGAGTCTCATTTATGAAACTTTTCTCCTAAATATATTGACTCGTTTCAAACATTACAGTGTGAAATCATATGAACCTCTTTTTGCAATTCTCCGACAGAAATGCCCAAATGGGTTGCTACTTCGTTCGGTGGAAAAATTGCTTGAAGACAGTACTGAACGTACGGTACCAAGTGTTCGCTCAATGATTCTGCAAACTTTACCATGTTTTCCCTCTCAGCAGCTGTAAATGCCTGTCAATTGATTCGACAAGATATATATGAATTTCTGTCACCTTAACAGGTTGTACATATTTTTTCAAATGTATCGATAATAACTTACTTGTTGTTCCTGCTTATAAAATACTAACATTGCTTTTGCTACCATAATTAAGGAAGACTGCAGTCTTCGTGTACACGGATCAGCTAATGCTATCGGAGCACATAATCTGAATTCATTAAACACGTGTATCAACCCGTTGCAATATTCTGCCAATGGATAGAACTCGACGAGCTGTTCAGGTGGATTCTCCTGCAAAAGGAAATAAATCGTGATCAAAAAAGTAATCATCGTTACAGTGAAATGAAACCCCTTGAACTAGTAGATTCGAATAAGACACATTTTTTTTTAAGGCTATTGCACTAAACAGTCTGTAAAGACTCGTACTGTGATTCATCGTAGCTCTTGCAAAGTGACTTCACAACTTACCGATTTAACTAGAGTGTGAGTCTTCACGTCAGTTCTTTGCAGCTTATTAATCAAAGTAAAAGTTTCCATGTCTTTCTCAAATTTCCTCGTCGCCCTGTATACATTTGTATCAAATTTATCACGAATCACGCGGACAAATATGTCGGACATACGTCCTGTGAAATCTGCTCCGACACGTCCAAATGACAGTCCGAAGTATGTGCACTGACCAAGAATAGAATCTATCGACGTTACATTAGGCAAATCGTGCTCCAGTGTCCGTAGAAACTGAGATATCTGGAGAAGAATTTTATATGAAAGTGTTTTTCAAGGGTAAGAACATTAAATACTGATATTCATTGTATACAATTTATTAGGGGTTACCTTTTCTTCCAGCCAATGGTAAAAAATCGCAGACTCGTTTATAGCAAAATCTCTGCTCATTGACAAGTGGCCATCATCGTTAAACAGTGCTCTGTATTGGGTTATTATGTTAAAAAGATGTATCCTCGATAGCTCGATTGTCTTAGTCAAATGAATGTTGGCTGGAAGATAATATAATTTCATTATCATATTTCTATTTAGATTCCGCTTATGTATTATAATCACAAGGTATGTTCCTTACGATCATCCTTCGGAATGGCATTCAGTAATCCCTGGAGCCAACTATCTCGAGTTTGAAGGAACTTAATGCGAAGTTCTGGTTCTGTAAATGCTTCCATAGAGCGCAGAAGTCCGACCAATTGCAAACATCTTGGAAGTGGTAAATCTCCTCTTAGAGATCCAATGACTTGTCTCACCATTCCGGACCAACTGTTTTCAATCTCCGCTACAATGGACTGAAATAGTACAAATGGTTATTTTCTATTGTGTAATTATTTTAGTCTGCCTCTCTACTCTACCAGTAATAGAGTATTGTCATACCAAAATAATCGGAATATCGGCATGTTTAGTACCAAGCTGTCTCGCATATTGAGAAAGCTCCAAGGCCTCATTGTACTGATTGCTCCGTAAACAGGTTTCCATTAACTGTGGCATTTCAAGAATTTCTAGCAACTCTGCGTTCTTTGTCAATGTCAAGCTGTTAAGCCTCCAGTGTGCATTAATTTCTTTAGAGGTTTCGCAAAATGATTGGCACTTATCCATGAATGCAGGAATCTTTTGAACGAGACGATCTAACCTCTCTTCGGTTTCATTGAACTTTAAATCAAACAATGTTACTTAGTAATGGAAAAAATTCTTTAAAACCTATTTATAAACTCAGAGCACTCATCTACCTGGTGAAATATTACTCGAGAGCTCTCCGCAGTGCGAATGAAGGTCTTATAATTTGTAAATGCTAACTCTTGCGTTTGGTGAACCACCATATTCTTTTCATCGGTCAAGTGATCCGGTTCCTTATCTAAAACAATATAATTACAGTTACAAAAGTGCTGCGTCTATTCTCTGCTTTCCACGTTTTTGACGTACTTAATTGCTCGAGGTCGAATCCACCAAGCTTCGACAGATATTGATAAAACTCCGGGCTCTCTTTCCAAGAATCTGCAGAAAATTGAGGTATTAGTGTAAATGGAGGAAAAAAATCTTAATAAATCTAATCCTTAATAAGCAAAATGAATGTAACGACATCCAGAATATCATCATATCAAATGATATGATCCCTAACCTCACCTGGTGCTCCATTTGGAAATAACAGCTCCACGACCTTTTCCGTCTCAATATCCATATTTACTTATTTAATTCACCCAACGATTAATATTATACAATCATAAGTTAATTATTACACTTCATTCTGCAAATTACAAGGAATATAACCAATGAATTCCATCTGTCAAATATTGCAGATTCTTGGAGGTCGCCATTTTGAAATTTCTGTCATCGATAATAATATCGAAAGATGGCTAACTGTAAGTTCACTACAGAAATCTATATTTTGCTTAGGTTAGTGGAGCAGCACTGAAAATGATAGCTGATTGCAAATCGCAAAGCAATCTTCCACTTTGTATAACCAACTAAAATTGTAGTCAATTGTAGTCTTCTGCTTGTTAATTATTGAAGAAACTACCTGCGCTATTATTAATGTTAAAACGGTCTTTTGACGTAGTACAAGTGAGCCAATGAATTAACTTATTGATTTTGAGGTTAACCTAAATTTATAGAATTTTGTAGTAGCCCAACTTGAAGTATGTTGAGAAGAAAACCACTGTGGACGAAAAGTTTAATAGGAAAAGTAATTGAATTTACTAAACGCAATGCATCCTCAGTTGCATCTGTTGGCACGGGCGAAGAGATTGAAAAAAACTGGAGAAGCGAATTAAAACATACAATGAGGATACATCTTGATTTTATTTCACCAGAGGAGGAAGAGTCGTTATTTCAGGAAGTGGAACCGTACATGAAACGTCTTCGATACGAGTTCGATCATTGGGATGATGTTTGTACATTTACGTCCACTTGGTCAGCCCGTATTAACTTGCTATTAAAAGAATCTGTTCACTTCCACAGGCAATTCATGGTTATCGTGAAACTGAACGTGCTAAATGGAATGCGGACAATGTCAAGATCATCGAAAGAGTAAGAAAAGTAGCTTTTCCACCCAACATGCCTCAACTTGGATTAGTACACGTCTTGGATTTGGCAGCCGATGGACAAATAAAACCTCACGTCGATAGCACAAGGGTAAAAACCATTGTAAGAAAATTTATGAGGATATCTTGATAGTCCTTCGTTATTACAGTTTTGTGGTGACATTATTGCTGGTATTAGTTTACTGAGTGATTGCGTGATGAGGCTTACAATGGTCGGGCATGAAGAAAAATGTAGAGAAGACTTTCTTTTACCAAGGAGATCTATGTACATAATGAGGTATGTCTTTGCATTATATGCCATTCCACGCATTAGTCTCTTAGAGTAATTTCCATTTTCAGTGGATTAGCGAGACAGAAGTTTAACCATGAAGTATTGGGGCCTAAAGATTCAATGTTCGATGGAAAAGAAGTACCTCGATCTCGACGTATATCCATAATATGTAGAAGTGAACCGGACAGTGAAACCAGCTAGTACAGTTTAGTCGAGTACAAGGGTTTCTGTAAATAATGTAAAATTGACTTGTACAGTAGACTAAGAGCTGTGTCGAGATGTATATAAATTGTTGCATGTAATTCGTGTATTACACACCAATTTATTCGCGCAGCACATGGCGAATAAAGTAATATACAGAATTTTATATACTCTTACGTATTAAGTTCACGGTATAAGATTTTTCGACAACCCCATAAAAATCGTTTAAAAGTTGTCTCATTCAATTCATATGCAACTATGAAATCAGTCATCCACATATATACTGATCCGATCTGCTGTGATTACTTCGAACGGTAGGTCAAATGAATCTAGAATCTTAACAGTGAGATATGAAACAACACTGATATATTATGCTTATAATTCATCATCGGTTTATCATTTAAATTATTTCGCGATTTTTATATTTCAGATTCAGCACTGATAAGGAAAAATTCCCAAGTGTCTGCCGTCGATCTTATTGATTTTCATACATGTCGAAGAACACAAAAATCTAAGAGAGACTTTTCTTTTTATCTGCAATGGTCCACATTTGAATATGAAATCAATATGAAAATCAATACGATCGGCGGCGGACACTTGGGAATGTTTCCTTGTGAGACTAGTCTGTCGAGTCTATAAGGGTTGCGACAATTCCATACCTTGTACGCTAAATCACAAATGAGTTTACCGCAGACCTAAATCGCGCATTCATGACTTCGCGTCTCGTTCGAACGACTCATCGGACAGTGATAGCAATCGAGCAAAAGCACTTTCCCTTCGAAGATACTTCTTGTCAAGTAAAGACGAGCAAGGTAGTGGCTGATCGAGGTAACTTAAATTTAACAGAACTTCCATCGGTTCCCGCATTCGTTACACATCACAAATGTGGTCATCGGTTCATCAGCGGATCGCGTTTGAACCTGATTGTACGTGCAATTACGCTTCTTGCATTTTCCACACTTGAGCAGATCAGTTTTCGTGCCTTGGACCGTAGCAAGTTGGGCGTCATTAATGGCTTCTTTTTTAAACTTGTCTCGTAGTTGCTTTATCTCGTCACTTGCCATTTCTTCTGCTGTCATTACGGCTAAGCGTGCCGGTGTAATAGCTCCGACAAGGAAATTCGTCCTCAGGGTGGGATTCTTGGCATCCCGTAGGTTGGCGACTCTGCTTCGTACCTGAAATTTCCCAAAATATCAGCTAAGATCAAAATAATTGTATCTTACTTTTGAGTATCATTGTATCCGTTTCAAAATAAGGTCAAAGAAAGGATCATGGGAAATAAATTTACCCTATTCTTGTATCTGTTGTCAGTGTTTTTGAATTCTGAGTAAATAGCTTCTTCTAACTCCTCGGCAAGTTCTTCAGGGGATGCACAGCCATCAAAGCTGGTGCCATCGACTCGTAACGCCGCAGCTAATAACTCTCTGCACTTCAATCGAACTGCATCCGTCGTAGAGAAGGTGGTAGAAGGGAAAGATGTCTGTTTTCTTGGTTGGTCCTTACTAGCCTTGTCTTCCTTCATTTTTACATCACCACCATCTCCAGCATCTTTATCCTTCTTCTGTTCGCCATCCTCTTTGCTCTTTTCGGACTTCTCCTCTTTTCTCTTCGAACTACTAGAAGAGGCGGTATCTTTACCATCCTTATTTGGACCTATCCAAGAAATAACAATTATAAATCCACCCAGTCAAACTATTTAAACCCCTACGAACATATCGACATTAAATACACCCTTCAAGGAATCACTTCACTAACCAGAGAGGAACTTTTTCCAATTTTTAATAAGAGTTTTGGACAGCGATATAACCTCTTCGTCCCTGCTGGACTTCCGCAGAGCATTCACGGTCATTCCGATTCTCGTTTTCGTAAGCAGCTCCAAATTGACCGGTAGTTTTTGTAGTACTTTGAGCAGCTCCAAGGCTTGTTCCTGGCCCTAAACCATCACATATAAATTAATATAATTAGCATAACTAATAAGAGTGGTACAAACACGAACTAATTAATTCTAATCCTTAAAAACCTTAAAAGGATTCCAAGATTTGAAGAAATAAATCCACAGAAATTAATAACAGTTGAAATTGAGCAACATCGGGGCACAATACTCCGTAAACATGTGGCAGTAATGAAAAGTCAAAAAATCTTTATTCTCCCGCCTTAGGAATATCCCGGAGCAATGTATACACGTTCTATACAGCGATCCCGCACTCTGTGTTTACAAGCATAGGAAGTATAGGAAATGGCAGTTTTAAGGGGGCGGGAGCGCGGCAAAACTCGTCGTGGGAGACTTTTTAGAGCAGCGGGATAAGTACGCGGCTCGAAAATACGCACAGAGGATCATAATTACGACTACTAGCGGAATATTCGGCTACATGGAGCGCTCGTAGACATCTTTTCGGCGATTATGCCGTGCGCGCTCGCGCGTCCCTCGGTGAGGCCAAGACCTACCCTTAGTTTACTCACTCACTCACCGTCCCGTCGCCGCTCGACATCTTGTTAAGCTTCTTCTGGATTCGTAATACCTCTTCTTCCGCACTCATTTTCCCCGAGTACGCTGACCCTTTCAGATAAATCAACGAAAACTCATACGGGGACGCCTGGAAAAGCGCACGAGCAACCACTGCGTACACTGCCACTCGGCCAACTGGCGAGGCTCGACGCTGATTGGCTGAGCCGCCCTAACCTCCTCGGCCAATCACGTGACTCCGTTTCTATCGGCTCAAGGTATCTTTTCATTCGCTACCTTGCTGCGAAATGAAATGCGAGAAACGTTCGCAGTTCTTTCCGTATCATCTTTGATAGTTAACTACCCATTTCCAAACACTCAAAACTGTTTCCCACGTGTAATTTCACGGCGATTCGGTAAATGAAAAGACACCTTCAAGTGGGTCGCGGGGTGCGACCTTTCGATGAGATGCGAGATGCCTCATGGATTTCCGAACGCAGCCAGCCCCCACTAGTGGCGCCACCTGGCGGCAACCGTCGCCGGCGGCGTTCGGTACGCTTAATAACGCGGAGTTTGATCCGCTGCTTTCCGTTCCTCCCGACAATATGGCTGAGCGAAGCGAAACGTCGCGAGTCCTCCGGCAGGAGAGTTCCCTCGGGGCGTAAGATAAAACCGCGGAGTTCCGGCGCGACGTCCGCGGCGATTAGGAGCGCACACCTCCACGGAGCCCGGGCTGGAGGATCCATGGGCAGTTTAACCTAACTCCTGGGGAATCTCGCCGAGCGGTACGCCACTCGTCACCGAGGATGTCTTTCTTTTTCGAGGTAGGACTGTCATTGTCGGGGCGAGCTCGCTGACGAGCACTCGGGAGCATGCAGTGACCCCGCCACCGCACGCATGTAGCGCGTCCGGAGGGGACTGCTTTCCGTCTCCCTTCTGGAGCGCCTGATGCGGAGATGGACACCGACCTGGAGACCGCCAAGGGCGAGGGTGGCGGAGAGACTGGCCCAGGGTGCTCCGGATACTCCAGCATGGTGCACAGCAAGAAGGTCATCAAGCATGCGCTACGCCAGCAGGCCAAGCGCAGGAGGAAAAACACCACGATAGCCTCCGGCAACTCCCGGACGCTGCCACGCATCGTCGTCAAACCACTGCCTCCTCCGCCTCCCAACGATCCACCCTCACTCGTCAACAATACGCAGCACAATAATACCGGTAATTCAATAACTGCGTATGCCGCAAAGGATCGACGTCTTGGTAAAGATTAATTTAAGGATTGGCAGACTTTTAAGAAATTTATTACGCTGCGATCGTAAACTTAGTTGCACCACTCTTTTGTGACTGGGGAACTTGTTCAAAAGTCATTGAAATATTTCCGTTACGTTTTGACAGTGCCCGAGGAACCTGCAGCTACAATGAGGGAGGTTCTGGCCAGCTTACCAGGATTCAGCTTGAAGTCAGGCCGGAGAAGATCGACGAAGAGGCTGTCTGCAGCGGCTCAGCTGGAAGCAGGGCTTGTGGACCTGGAATCACCAGCGAGTATACTTGCGAGTACCAGTTTGCGTGCTCTGTTGAATCGACATACCTTCCAGGGCCTTCCGCCTCTGTATCAAAGAAAGCTGGCACAGCTGTTACCTGCAGTCGATAGGCAGGTTCGTATCGCATAGCTGTAACCATGAAGTAGTATATAGAAATATAATGCCTATTTAGTTTGCCTCGACAGTTTAATAAATTCATACTTCCTGACTGTAACAAAACACTAAAGGAAATTGATACCTCATAGTGGAAGATTATTCACAGTTGTAAACTTTGACACATAAAACGTACTATCGAGATGTATTTTCAGGTTTTGTATAATAAATAATGTTTCCAGGACGCAGCAACCTCAGGACTGAATAACGAGTTCTTTGCCCGAGCCTGCTTGGAGTGGCGGAAACGACTGGCCGAGGGGGAATTCACTCCGGAGAACCAGCAACGACTGAAAATGGAGGCCGAGAGGGACAAGAACAAATTAGATCCGTGGAAGCTGAAGCACTTCGAGCCAATTTGGGGAGAGAAGCGGGAGCCCAAACTGAGGTCAGGGTTGCATTGTGCCCCCGAGCCACGAACAGGAGGAGCTGTGACAAGGGCGAGTTTGCGACTTCGTCTAGAGGCAAACCTCGAATCTGCCGAGCATGCACTTGCGATGGAGCATCCACCTGTAATAGCTCATCCACCTGTAATGGATCATCCTCCGGCAAGGGAACACCCTCCGATGAGGGAACACCCCCCTGTGAAGGATCATCCCCCGGTAAGGGAACACCTACCGGTAATGGAGCACGCGAAGAGGAGGTGTAAAACACCATCTCCGACGGTGGCACCGGCCGTGGCACCGACGGAAAAGGTGGAAATCGAACCGACGCCGACGCCGACGCCGGTTGTCCCCGATGTTCCGGAAAGTACAAACGAAGGTGAACAAGTGCAGCAGGCAGAGCCGTCGCGGGAGTACGAGGAGACCGACCGGATAGCCAGCGAGGACGAGGCCAGGTTGGAAGAGGCTGCGAATCTCGAAAGGGATAGGATCGAGATGGTCGTAGATGAAGGAACGTGTCCGGGTGCTCTGGAAGCTGAAGAGAGCCCGGACTTGCCCGAAAAACCGAATGGCGAAGAAGGGCACGAACCAAGCGAGCTCTATCAGAACAGGATAGCCGAAATGCCTGGAGAAGAGGTGTCGTCTCTGCTCGATGAGAGTCCTACAGAGACGGTGGACGACGAGGTCGAAGAACATCCTGAAGAGCAGTCGGCTTGTCTGCCGCAGGAGGAGCAATTGCAGGCAACCGTTCCATCTAGTGACCAAATGATGCATGCTCACGGTGGAGAGACGTTGCATGTTCACAGCGAAGAGGCGTTACATGTTCATGGCGAAGAGGCGTTACATGTTCACGGCGAACAGGCTATGCAGGCTCCCAGTGAACAGGTGATGCATGCTCCCAGCGAACAGTTGTTGCATACTCCCAGTGAACAGTTGATGCACGTTCTGACCGAACAGATGATGCACACGCCGAGTGAACAGATGCTGCACGCCCAGAGTTCACAGCTGATGCATTCCTCTGGCGATCAGCTGATGCACACTCCTAGTGACCAGTTATTGCATAACCCTGGTGAACAGTTGTTACATAATCCTGGCGAACAGATGCTGCACAACCCCAGCGAACAGATCATGCATGCCCCTAGTGAACAGGTGATGCATCCTCCTGGTGAACCGATGATGCATTCTAGTGAACCGATGCTGCATTCTTCTGGGGAACCGATGCTGCATTCTTCTGAGGAACAGATGATGCATCCTGGGGAACCGATGATGCATTCTTCTGGGGAACCGATGATGCATTCTTCCGACGAACAGGTCTTGCATGCTCCCAGTGAACAGGGGATGCACAATTCTGGTGAAATGGAGATGCACCCTACCGCCGAACGAGTCGACTGTGCTACCCAGATCTTGAGAGAACATGTTCCTCAACTCATCGATGAGGGCACGTCGCACATCCAGGAGGAACGCGTCTCGCAGATGGCCGACGAACAGGTGTACCACATGCCCGTCAACGAGGACAACTCCAGCATGGACAATACCCCACCTGGCGAACAAGTCAGGATCGCGGAGCACATGATCGGCGAAGAGCAAAGTATTATCAGCACTCAGACGGAGAGCCAGGGCGCGGCGGAACATGTTCAGGAAGGGGAACCACATATCCCCGAGGGCATGGAAATCGACAGCGAGACGCTGCAACGCATCCATGAACTCGAGGTGGAGTATCTCACTTTTTTTATTACATTTCAAATTGAAAATAGAACTTGTCTAGGAACAGAATAGATGTAGAAATAGTTGTATCGAATCCTTATTATTTGAAACTTTCATTGGAGAACGGAGGGTTAAATTTATTGTTCAGCGTACTTTGAGCCATAACAAAGTAATGGTTTATAAAATACGAGCCTTATGCTGCGGCGAGTCTCGTATGTCTTGCTGACTTTTGCAAATTCTTAGGCTACTCGGTCAATGTGTAGGTATCCAATCAGTAGATATCTCCCTGTGCTAGTAGCCCGTACTTTGTTCGCTCTACGGTTAGTGATACCAGTGCGCAAGTAGGATCGATTCAGTTACAATTCAGAGGTGTTTCTATTAATTAATGTAGTTACAAACACGTGATATACCCTAGTACACATCTTAAATTAATTACAAGGTCTTGCGACAAAAGTCTAATGACACAATTTTGACAGTTTTAAGATGATGGGAAAGTGCCAACAAAAGTATCGTAGGACTTTTCAACCAATTTCCCAGTTTACATGTTCATAATATTATAATAAACCACATAGATTGTTAATTTAATCTAAATATCAAGTGTCGGAGGACTTTCCCAATTTCCTAATTTACGTGTACATAATATTATTATAATATAAACAGATTGTTAATTAAATGTAACAATTTCTAGGTGTGTGGAGACATGCGCCAGGCTTACGAGGAGATCTCAGCCTGCCCGGAGGAGATAATCTACCCGATCCTGGAGGGAATGGAGATGGGGACGAACGTCCCGGAGGAGCCGGGACCTCAGGGTGTGACGGTGCAGACGGAGGACGTCGTCCAGCACCAGGAGATGGGGGCCGGGAACGAGGAGGAGGCCCTCCGGGAGGCGAACAATTACGTTTGCTCGGAGATGCTCGAGTGCAACTGGGCCGTTGACCAGACGGTCAACAATGTAGCCAACATCAGCAGAGTGAGTGCGCGCCAGAGCTGTCCTTTAATTATTTCGCCGGGTCGAAACTGGTCGCTGTCTCTGGACGGGGCCTCGAGTCCCGATCGCACGGCACAGCCTGTGACCTGGGTCCTGAGTTAGTGCCCTATCTGGACCGTTTAGTGCCCCGACAATGCTTTCTTTAGGGGGAGAGATTTTCACTTAAAAGTAGTACGTTTTAACCGGAGACTTGGTGTACCGGACATTCGATGTCACCGCAGCGGCGCCATCGGCGAAGGTGACTCCTTACTCCTCTTTACAAGCGAAATTCAGTGCCAAGTTTGGCTGGTTGAAGACGAACAGGGCGCGTCTATTTTCTATACGGCTCGTCTATATGAGGGTTTGTTCTATTCAGGGACCGGAGGTGTATCCTGGAGCGGCGCGACTCGGCTGGTGCGATCCTGACGTCGGCTCCATCTCCGTCGTCTCCAACTGGCCTGTCGAGCAGACCGTGAACAACGTCGCCAATATCAACAGAGTGAGTGGGGAATGGGTATACAGGGTGTTACAGAACTCAGACACACCGCTACAGGGTGACATCCTCGGTGGAAGTGGAGGTGATAAGGGCTGTACTGGGGTTTTCTCGCGGTGCATAGTATTACTGGAACCATTTGTTGATGAACTCTCAAACGGGTGCTTTGATCGGCGGGACGTGTACTAAGAGAGATGCTTTTCAATTAGGGTGATAGGAAATACGCTGGGAAATTTAATCCACCACAGTTCCTGGGAGCCGAGGGTAATATCTAAGGGTACGAAATTCTCCTGACAAGCAGGAGGAGCTGCAGCTTCCCTGGTCGCTGGTGGCGGCGGCACTGGACAACTCCGTGGCAGCGAACATCACGGTGACGACGCAGGACGAGTGCGGGGAAAACGCAGCGGCTGGGGCGAACGCGGTGACGACGGCGCACCGTTTCGTCGCGACCGAGAGCAGCGTGGACACGGTGAGCTGCATCCAGCTGCCGGTGGTCCAGGGCGGGCCCTTCCACCCGGAGGCCCTGACGATCGGCACCCCGGTTACGAGCTGCCTGATGAAGACGATGCAGTCCTCGCAGAGCCCGCCGATGATCGCGTTCCCGCAGCTGCAGTCGATCCGGTTCGTGCAGACGAGCTTCCACGCAGGGGCCCAGGGTCTCTCGACGCCTGCGGCGGCCTTGCCGATGCAACTGCAGCAGCAGCAACCGCCGCCGCCCCAGCAGCAGCCTCAGCAGCAACCCCAACCGCAGCCTCAACCCCAGCAGCCGCAGCAGGTCGGCATCGTCCGCGCCCAGGAGGAGGTGCCGATCTGCCCCGGCGGGCCGGTCCCCAGGAACGCGACGAACAATGGCAACGCGAACACCAACAACGGGAACGTCGGCCGCGGCCCAATCCCCGGTAACGTAACTACGGCACTCGGCGTGCAGGCGCAAAGCCGCGGCCAGAGCGCGATAGTAGTTCAGCACCAGGCACCCATTACGGCACAGCCCCGTCAGATAGTAGCGACTATTCAACAGCCGGGGCCGGGGCCGGGGCCGGGGCCGCAGCCGCCGCAGTACCCGCCGGTCGCGGCGCCCCCGCGGTCCTCGAGGTCCACCGCCCAGGGCGGCCAGCGCGGCTCCAGGGCAGGCGGCAAGGAGCAGGGCGGCGGCAGGTCGAGGAGCTCCACCAAGGAGCCCCCCGGCGCCGTCAACCTCGAGCGCAGCTACCAGATATGCCAGGCGGCAAGTTTTACATCCCTCTCTCTAATCTTGCCTTAGTTTCCTCTCGCAGGCCGAGTGGACGGTCCCCGCGTCGCCCGGGAACTCTACCAGGTTATCAGGAAATGCATCCGCGGTTTGAGACAGACATATGTACTAAAAAAAAAATCTGTTCGACACAAGGAATTTTTATTATTTCGAGAAAGTGGTTTCCAGTGTAGAGGGAGAAGTTTAAGGTAGAGTCGTCTTCGAGTTCCTGGGTGTACGGGGGTCGGCGGGGCTCTGGAGGGGGAAGGGAAGAATCAGGTAGTCCTGGAAGGATGAACGAGGTTTATTTCGGTCCCGCAGGTGATCCAGAGCTCGCCCAACCGGGACCAGCTGAAGGCGCACCTGAAGCCGCCGCCCAGTTTGTTGGCGAGAGGTGACGGCGCGTTCACCACCGCCAAGCAGGGGGGTCGGACCATCACCACGGTGAAGCCGCAGAAGCCCCAGCAGGCGAGCCAGCACATTAAGCAGCAGCAGACTAAGCCTCAGGCCGTCATGCTGAGGCACGTCTTCGCCACGGCACGGCAGACCGTCCCTACGGAGGTGCGGGGCCAGTTCTGTTCCACTACCTTGGGTCCGCTCCACCTTGGACAGTTCGCGCAGCGGATCCCTTCCGCGCAACCCTTCCCGGAGAACCTACGCCCGTCCGCCACGTTCGGGCCCGCTCCGCCTATTACGATCTACTCCGTCTCGTCTGCCCATCCCTTCCTGGAGAACCTCCGTCCGAGTGCTCCTTCCGGCTCGTTCTAGGTAGGACGAGGTGGTCGATCATGGAGAACCTCCGGTCGAGTGTCCCTGGGTCGCTCTAGGTAGGACGAGTCGGTACTCCTTCCTACTCGTTTTATCTAGAAGGACTTCCCCAGCACCCTGAAGAGCCCACGTGGCCATTCTTTCAATGGATCCCATTTACCCCTCATACAGAACTTGCCTCCGTTCACCAGGTCCTTTTATCCCAGACGCGTTCTCCATGTTAAGACCAACCTCGGACTCCCCTCCAGCTCGTTCGCCAACCTGATACCAATCTCGAAGAACTCCCGGCCATTCTCAAGGTCCCTCTCTCTCTCTCTCCAACTCCTTGTCCAAGCTGGAGATCCACGGTGACCTCAACTTCCGTCTTACCTGCTTCCGTCCACAGATCACGGAGACCAACCCCGGGATGGCGCAGCTGGGATCGAACGGGGCCACCGGGCTGGGCCAGTACATCCTGGTGCAGAGGACCGGCGTCGGGGACGGGGCTCCTCGGGCCTCCTCGGCCCCGCCCTTACCCCCTCACATTGCCGGCGTGGGGGTAGGCGTCCACCTGGTCAGGGGCAGACCCGCCAGCGCCGGAGAGGGCTCTCACCAGGCCGTCACCCTCAAGCCCAGGGGTGCCTCCGACGGCAGGGGTGGCGGCGGCGCCGAGCCCGGCGCCCCCGGGGTCATCATGGGCGGCGACCCCCCGCCACCCTGCGACTGCAGCATGCGCGGCGCCATGGTCGTCTGCAGACAGTGCGGCGCCTTCTGCCACGACGACTGCATCGGGCCCCAGCGCATCTGCGCCACCTGCCTCATACGTTGATACGAGCGCCAGGGGACCCGGTGCGGCGCTGATCCTACGGAGACGGGCACCAGGGTCAGGGTGCTGAACGCCCGGCAGAGGGCTCGTCGGCCGGCCCCTTCTTCGGGCATCGCTCTTCCACATCCTGGGAACTTAATGACTCCTGCTTAGATGGGTCTCTTGCGTCTTAAGGGGATGCGATAGTGCCATCCGAATGGCTCATCGTTCATGAAACTTTTATCCGAAGTGGGTACACCGAGTCGTTTCACACTTTACTACCTGAACATGCAGGCTACGAGGAAGGTCCTTACCCTCACGAAATTTCATGTTTTATGAAAAATCTTGAAATTAGGTGTAATGAAATTATTAAACAATTGACATTTCATGGGTGGCAGGACCTTCCTTGTTGCCTACATATTTACATTGTGAAGGCTGAAACGATTTGATACACTCGGTTCGGAAAAAAGTTTCATAAACAAAATTTATATCACTTTAAGGTGTTATGAAAGAGTCGTTTTATATGTATATATATATGGCTCTTTCATAAAACCTTAATAATGTAATGATATTGGGGACTCTTCCTTCCAGCCTGACGTTCAGCACCCTTGTTCGAAGGATACTCCTAAAGCGAAGAGAGTAGCGGGGATACAATACTGTGAGAATCGAGTAACGAGTACATTTTGTAATATGTTCTCTTTTATATATAGACATACATATGTACAGAGTGTCCTAAAACGCTCGTTGAGGTGTTAAGTAATTTTAAAGGGTAAAGGAGGGCAACATTTCCAGTCGAATGTTCCTTTTCCATTTTTTTTTCCCCCGATCACTGCTGATCGAGTTATAGCGCAATGAAACTGACCAATCAGGAAGGCGCGGGAAATTTGAAAAATCGGCCGCGTGAAGAGGGCCCTGAATACGTTTCAAATTGTATAATATTATAATTTGTACATTATATAATTTCATTTTAAATTAAAAATTATGTTGCACCGGTCCTGCACGTGAAACGGGATTGGTCATGATTAGTTTCTTAATAACTCGGGAAATAGTGATCGGAGAGAAAAGTGGAATAGGAAGTTTCGATTGAGAATATTACCCTCTTTCCATGTCTAAAAGGGCGAGTGTTTTGGGACACTCTGCATAGAAGGTGGGTCTGATGAAAGGTCGACAATCTTTGGGGATTAGTTACTGCGAAGGCGCATTCTATGACGAACCGCAAATCGCAGGCAATAGTACTGATATACAATCATGTATCGCGATGAACTATCGAGTCTGTGATCAATAATTGTTTCCCCGTCTCTTTAACTATGATCGTTTACCTGATTAGCCGAATAGAGAAATTCTCGCTAGTTAGGCTCGCTTCTTCTTCTGGGACCTTCCGTAAGACTCACCCCGTATATATATCAGGATTATAATTTGTGCGTTCAAAACCTACGGCTGGTCCTTCCATCGAGGACTTGGAAGGATCAGTTCGAGTCGACTGATTACCATAATAGAAGCTAATGCGTGGCCGATGCGTTTTTCCAACCCTTTATCCCGGTCGCATCGTGGGTTCTTTACCCTAGACAACTAATCACTCGGTAAGACGGTGAACGGGACATTTTAATATTGTCATGGCGTTACCCATGGTGCACCTCGAGGCGGAGGATCCTCTCGCGTTCTTTCCGAACCCTCGGCCATCGCATGCTAAACTCGTTAACGTTTAACCGTTTAATTTCGATTAAGAGGATGCATTAGTGATACCCCGTGTGAGGCACCTTTCGTTAATAAGTTCCTCACGGAGAATGAATGAGATTGAGATAACGCGGAAAGCACTCAGAAATTCCTCTAGTCCGCGCCCTTGTACTGAGAATCAATGCGTAAGATCTCCTGGGAGCCCTCCAGGGTGTATACCCGTGTAAATAACTAATCGCTCCCCTGGCAAATAACCGATCGACGGTATTTCTTTTCTCATCGAGACGCCATCTCGACGGCGAGGTAAATCCTGGATCCGTGTAATCGGGGATGTCTCCGGCGGCCTTCTTCCGTGCAATCCCCCCGTTTGCTTCGAAGAAGAGACTTAATTAGGATACAAAATCGTACGAGACATTGTATGAACTTGTGGTGTCGATTATAAAGTAGGGTAAGGAGACTTTTTCATATCACCTTAAGGCCGTGAAATTCCTCTTTTGGCGTTCAAATGATTTATTCCGCTTTCTTTTCAATTATGTTATACGCGGTTGCTTAAGAATTTATTTGTTCACTCCCTGGTAATATGTTGATTAGTTTCTGTAGTGACTGCAGGTGAAATTAGGTGGAATAATGGGGAAAGAAAAAAAAATCATTGTCTTCAGGTGAGGTGGAGTTCCGCGACAAGTACATTTCGACGCTCGCTGATTAGGACGGCTTCAGATGATAATAGAATCATGGATATGGAATGTATAGATCCCGCACACTGATTTTATTCAACCTGGATATAGGTGAAGATTTTATCATATTTATGTATGTATGTATGTATGTATATATCGGAAGCCGCCCTTACATCCTCCCTGGTTTCTATACTTCTTCCATCGTGCCGCTTTCCTTATCATTGCTCTTAACCGAGTTTCTTTTCCGACGATTCGGGGATATTGCACGGAATATCGGCTTGTAGGAATACGGAGTGTTGAAATCGAATTATGTACATAATATTGACTTAAAGGGCGCAGTTGGTACGAGATTAAGGGACTCGCTTAATATCAAGTTTTCACGACGTAGGCTTACAAGAAGGAATAAAGAAACGAGTTCCGACGACATATACGTATACGTATGTATATATTGTAATATATTGCACACCATGTACTCGCGTATATTAACGCTTACCTACGCGGGGACATGCCCTTCTATATATATACATGTCGATGTACGTATACATGTATGTAGGGATGACGCGAAACTCCTTATAGAAAATTCCCAATCTGTATATACGCGTATTTTGTTCTAATTGCACCAGTAGTACTCTACACGGCAAGGATTATGTCCAATCGGTCTCGTATGTGGAGAAAGTCGAGCGAATCTGTGACATATTTATTAATTATACGACGCGAGGTCGGCTAATTGTTACTAATCCCGCTTTGTGTTTTAATTACACACACACATGCATATATTATATATATACTTGGCCGACTTCTCGCGGGTATTTATTATGTACTAATTACGCCGGAAACTGAAGCTATACTACATATACGTGCTCGAGACAGAAATTTAGCGACATAGGAATAATTTTATACCAGAAATAAATTATAATGGTTTTCACAATCAAATGGTATCAGCAGTGCCCGTGATTTGCGACGCTTCGGATGAGTTTCGAGACGCGTCGCTTATTCGCGACATCCCCGATACATGTGATGCGTTTTGGTTTCTTTCATTTGTATAATTTCTCCTTTTTCTTTTTTTTTTCATTCAATTGTTTGTGTATAAAATCCGCGTATATTTAACGTAATTTATAATGCAACGATCGCTGGCGCTACTTAGCGAAGTCTTTCCGATTTCTTTAACCTTTACAATTTTTTCCTTATTTTCTTCGATTGTTTATGTATAAAATCCGCGCATATTTAACGTAATTTATAATGCAACGATCGTTAGTGAACTTATTCCCGAAGAACTTTCTGGTTTTTTCGAGTTTTACCATTTTTCCATATTTTCTTATATCTTATTCGCGACGTCCCTGATACACAAATGAACTTTCCGGTCTTTTTTATTCATACTACTTTTCCTTTCGTTGTTGACAAGCCGCGTATGTTTAACGGAACAATTAATAATGTCATGTCAAACGTTGGCGTTACTCCTAAGTGCGAAATATCCGGAACTTCTTGCTAATATTTTTCCAAGCAGTACGAGTGGGCCTTTGCTCCTTTATTTTACCTCCACCTGTTCGATTTTTTTCTTTTTTGCTTTTCTATACGCGGTGCGCATTTTGTAGCGTACTGTAAATATTGTATCTCGACTGTTGACGAGCTAGATTTGTAAAAATTCGACTTTTGTAAAGACGTCGGTCGGCTCTTTGCCGGGAAGTCGGAGGACTTTCGAGGAGGTCCTCTTCTGGGTGGAGGGGTCCTTGGGGAAGGATCGTATCCCCGAGACTCTCGCATTATGCGTTTCTAGCTGTTAATAAGAAATTAAGAGATAGGAGGTGGAAACGAAACACGAATAAGAAATCCCTCACCGCAGAAAATCCGACTCCGGTGTCGTCTTCCACTGACATCACGCGCGTCAGTTCGCGACCCTCCGCTTCTTGTTTTTTTTTTTTTTTCCCATTTATTTATTGTCGCGAGACCAATCCATGGCCGAAAGTTTTCCCGGGAGAATTTGAAAATCCCTCCTTCTTTTCTTTTTTTTTTTATCTTTCCCCGAAAGAACTCTCGGACTTTGGCGGGGACACTCTGGCTGCGACGATTCGTAGAAAGTTGGAGGCGACCTCGCTTTTCTCGTTTCTCGATTAACGAAGACGACCCATCGGTATCATTTCATGCCAAGTTTCACATACTTTCCGAATATGGCGCTAAAATCACTCGTGAACGCCGATAATTCGGCTTTGCTGGACCTTTAATTTGTGATCCAGGAAAGCCAAGTCGGCCATCTTGAATCCTAACGCTGGACATATCTACAAACGCCATTTATTGATATTATTTCATGTCAAGCTTTACATACTTTCCGAATTTGTCGGTAAGATCACTCGTAAACTTAGATTCGTCATTGCTAGGCCCTTAAGCCTCCCAAAAGGACGCAGCGACGGAATTTATTAAAGCGTCGACCGCGGGGTTCGCCTCCATCTTGCCTTAATACTCATCCGCAGAGACAAGGATCTCGCGTCCCCCTAACGACTAAGCAGAAAGCGAATAAACGAACGAACGACGAGGAGGAAAGCCCGAGTCGAGGAGAGGGACACTTATCAATAAATAAACTCGTTAGAGCGGCGAACTGAGAAGCCTACTTTAGCCGGCAGGTGAATAAATCGAGTTAATTAATTTGAGGGAGGAGCAGGAAGTAACCGAAACGCGGCTCCGATTTTCCTTTCTCTTTCTTTGTCCTTTTCGCCGAAAGGGCCGGCAAAAGAGACGGGAAACTGAGGAAGAAAGAGGAACACTGGAGGAAAGAATCATTGGAAAAACTCGAGACTGCGAGGGTCTCTCTCTCTCTCTCTCTCTCTCTTTCTCTTTCTGACATTGATTATATTATACTAATGGTACATAACCGTTTATTTTTTATCATCTACAATGATTAATATTAATGCAACTACTGCATAGCAAGATACTGTGTACCCATCGCTCAAATTGTATATAAAATCATATTCGTTTGAACTTTGCCGCGAGATTCGCGCTAGAGTCACGTCCGTGTAACGAATAGAAATATGCCGAATGAATCGAACGTTACTGTAAATTGAGTATATATATGTTGAATATATCTATATATATATACATACATTATAAATATAAATACCTTGAAGACAATCTCGCGAAATCTCTGTCTCTCTCTCTCACTCTCTCTGTGTGTATATGTCGTAAGTCTATCCCGACTCTGCTTATTGTTATCCTGAGGGAAAGAGATATCACTTTCTGGGGGGAAAAGACATTCTTGGGTGGAATAGTTACTTTATTAAATATTAAGGCAAAAAGTCAGCCGAACGAAGTTCAGAGAAATTTCGAGGAAAACTGAAATTTTGCGAACTTAAACTTCACCGTGGTCGTTCGACTAATTGTTTCATTGTGTCGTTACTTTTTCTGTAATATAAATATTACAAATTGTAGATATTAGCGATTTCTCTGGAGAACGGTAAAATCTACGGAGAAAAGAAACAATTGGATTGATTTATAACAGAATCGTTCGATTGACTGCATTTAGTTAATTTCAGGAAATCTTTTGTTTAAATGTACCAAATTACATAAATACTTGACGTGATCCATCGAGGAATTTATTTATATCATATTAATAACCAAATATATGGTTGTCCATATAACGCCCATGTATGGTTCAACCAAGGAAAATTTTATTTAAATTCTTTATACAAATTATATAAATATATTCTTTTGCGTATGTAATAGTACATTGTTGTGAATAATTTAATCTTTATGGAAATGTTTAGATCGGACCGACTTACTTTTTGGAGTAATGCCATCACGACGCAGTTTGAGTCTACCTGTTGGTGAAAAATTACGGAAAATAATTAATAATAATACGTAAGTACCAAATAATGATTAAGAAGTAAATAAAGATTGAGAAGTCGCTAAGGAACCTTGTCTTCAGTGGACTCGCAACTTTATTCTCAATTACGTTACATAGAAAAAGGAGAAATAAATAATACGTCCCGTAGGAGAGTGCTAGTGACGGCGAGGAAATACTAGAGTACAAACAAGTCCTATCAAATAATGACTAAAAAGTAAATAAAGAGTAAGAAGTCGCAAAGTAACCTTGTCTTAAGTGGACTCGCAACTTTATTCTCAATTACGTTACATAGAAAAAAGAGAAATAAATAATACGTCCCGTAGGAGAGTGCTAGTAACGGCGAGGAAACGCTAGAGTACAAACAAGTCGTACCGAAACTCTTTAAGCCAGTTTCGAGGTAACCGGACAATGCCGCCGTACATTGACATTTCTTTTCTCTACATGTATGTATACTATAATTAACATCTCTCTGTACGGGGTATTAATATGTACGGACGCAGTGCTTTTGTGCAAATCAAGGTCCGGCTCCTTAAAGTTAAGCTACGTTAATCTGCTTCTGCGATCGCTAATATCTCATACTTAACCCTCTCATGTACAATTAACGCAATGCCGTGTAATTTACAATTAACGCAACACCTTGCAATTTACAATTGACGCGAGGAATTTCGCGCGGCTATTTAGGCGTCAAATGACAAATTAATTCGAAATTAATTAGAAATTAATTACAAGCCGGATCCAAGATCCCGCGATTTCTCTCTAACTTCGTTTCCGCCATTTTGAATTTTCCCTTTCTCGAAACTGAAATTAATTCGATCCTTAATTTAAATCATTAGGCGGGAAGAGACTCGATTTCTGTCGCGCGAAGTAGGACTAATTTCTCTTTTTCAAGCTAATATCAACTCACCGCATGTTTAATCTCATCGTGTGAAATTGCTCGACAACGTTTCTGGATGGATATTCCTAATAGGGTGAATTATCGAAAGCCCTCCGCGACAAAATTCGAGCCTCGGTTTATCACCGACTTTACCGATCGAGCTGGAACTAGAACACACGGGGCACTGGGAACGAACCTTACGTAACAAATTCGATAAAAGACTCCTCTTTCTTTATACATATATACCTATATTTATATCTGAATAACGTTAACTCCCTAACAGCGTCAAACGGCCCCTCTCCCTCTCTCTCGCTCTCATTAGTCGCCTTATGCCGCCATCTTTGTCGCGACTGTCCAAAGAAGTGCCGATTTTCGGGCCTCAATTTCGACCCACGACACTCTGTACAGAAAATACAGTCAGATATCGGTCCCTGATAAAGAAATGTCCATTTAAGGTGGCCACTTAACGAAGAAATGCCCTCAAAAGTGTATTATCAATTATCTCTTACACTGCCGCGCGTCTCGTCGGCCATCTTGTTATTTTATTATTTCATTATTTCAGTGTTTACTGTACTCCGGGATATCAATGATGCGGTTACTCGCGAGGACAATTGTTCTTTCTCTTTGTTGTTAACGTTTAGGTGTGTCGGATAGACGAGAGAAGGAAAAGAAATTAAGGAAATCCGTTGCGAGTTTCGGAACCCTCGGGAGGAGGTTAGGTTGTTTATGGGTATGTTAATTTCTTCTGATTTGTGCCTTGCATCATTTTTCTCCCTGTTATCGCGGCTTAGATTCTTTAACGGTAGATCTTTATCCCATTTAAACAGTGATTAACTTGTCGAGCGGTTACAGGGCTCGCTAATACCTAATAATCTTATTATCTCTTATCTTCTTATCTCTATCTCGACTACTCGCTACGCATAATTTTACGGATTCGAGATCGCGCGATTCGCTTAATTTGCGCAACTTCTTTAATTAAAGACACATCAAATAAAATTTCACGCCATTCTCACAAATGCCTAGATTCACGATATTTACCCAATTCGCCCAATTAGCACAATTAAAGCGATTCACGCGACCAATTTCACTCGTAATTAGGGAATTAGCAAGTGAATTAGCGACGTGGTTAGGCAAGGTCCACGTATAAAGGCTTAGTTTAAACCGATCATTCATGCATATTAAAGGTGTAGTTTAAGTTATTTAATGGTGTACCAAGCCGATTACAATACACACCTTCTCTGCGTACCGTATTAAATCAGTATACTATCGTTTACGCTGACAGATTAGTAAATCCACCCTAAAAGTGTGAAAATCATTCGTCCATTAAAAGAGTAACTATTCGACTGAAATTAATTGTCATAATTCCGAGGAAACGTTCCACTCAATTTATTCGAGTTTACTCGAGTCAAATAATTCCTTGGACATCCAAAATCTATAGAAATATTTCTTTGGTTTAATAAAAATCTTCTCGGTGTCTTTAGCGTAGCCGAATGATCGGTGTAAACTCGGCCATAAACTGCGAAGCAGAGCAAAGGATACAGCCGTTTCCCTGCGGTTTATACAGTTCGTGTGAGTAGCATTCGAAGACTTTTTCCCATTTTTTAAGCACCATCGATTGCTTCAATTGCTTCGTTTCGCGATAATCGCCTAATTCGAGCGAGGTCCGAGACACTCCGCGATCGCGTTTCCTCATTTCCTTTATTCCGCCATTTACAAAAATAAGGAAAGCATATTTAAATTATTGCAGATCCTCGGGACTCTCCATGGCATTCGAAATCCGGGATTTATCCGATTCAAACCCAGTAAATCCGATTTTAAGTGCCAATCCAGACGCTCAGAATCGAATCTGCGGATTTATTAATGCGACTTCCTGGATCAATAAATCCCGTATTTAGGAGTGCGATGTAGACGTGGTCATTATTTATGTGAAACTGACTCAATCAAATTTCTATCGTTACGCAAAGGATTTCTCCATTATTTAAAATCTTATTCCATAAAAATTTAATTCATTACTCTTGCCACAATTCTAAGTTGAACCTAAAAAAAAAAGAAAATAAATGAAAATTAAGAGTTAATAAATCACTAAGGTCAAGATTAAATAAAGTGGAATTAATTCAATTGAAGATTCCGGGATAAGCTCGATCTTTAAGAACCGCCTCCTTAATATGGTCCATCGTTTAGAGAGTTAAAGAAATGTTTACGGAATGGGATTAATTAGGGGAGGAAATTCTTAATAAAGCAATTAGGTTAATTAGAGAAACTCGTCCAGGTGAGATATCTCGGGCCTCGGAAGATTCAGATTTTTCGCCCAGGTAAATCTCGACTCGTACTCGACTGGCTACGAATGAAATCGGAGCTATAGGAAAATAGAACTCTAGAAAATATCGGAGCGGCCGTTCCGCTCCGTTAAAATGTACATACAAGACTCTTTAGACTCTGAACACGGCCGCGAAAGGGTTCCAAAAACGAGACCTCTTGTCGCAGCTTTTACAATCCAATGGGGCTGAAAGATCCCTTATAATCGTCACGGCATCTCGGGGAAATTTGGATAATCAACTGTCCAGTCGATAGAGAGATCGGCGCCACCGGCGCCGCTCGCGGAGAAACGGGGAACTAATCGGCGGAAAAGAGCCGGCAGCGCCAAGGATGACAAGGTTCCAGGTTTTTTTCTCGTTTCTCGGCGAGACCGAGGTGTCGTCTCGCTCTCAGATCTCGCAGGCTGTCCAGGGAACGGGTCCCGGTCCTTAAACGATTACTTTTAAGACTAAGTCGGCGGGTTTTCCCCTGGGGGGAGGCCGCCTCCCGGAGTCCCGCGGGATCGGCTACACGTAGGCGGGCGAGAGGTCCAGGGTAAGCCGCGAGATGACGTTGTTGCGTATCGTGGCCCGCGTTGTGCGGGAGCTCTTGATTATCTGGATTACCATGATTCGGCAGTCATGGCAGACGACCATCGCCACTCCTCGTAGCCGCTCCGCTGCGAGTCGCTGCTCCGAGTTGAGCCCGAACCCGGCAGACGGCAGCCGCGCAGGACTTCCGGCGCTCTTGCAGCTCCTGTGGGAACGAATGCCCAGAATTTATTACTAGACACTAACCCGAAGTCTGACCTCGACTTAAGGTGACGTCAAAGTGTGACATACACATACCAAAAATTGATAACATTAATACAACTCCTCTCCAAACAGGATGCACCGAATTATCGGAAACTACTAATCGAAGAAAAGAAAATCTTCCACTTATCTCGGACAAGAACTAAAAAAAAGATATTTTATATCTCGAAAGGTGAAATTTCACGGGCATTCTTAGAGCCTCCATAATCACGTGTTAAAGTTTCAAACAACACGGTGCACCACTTTGGAGAAAAGTTTTCTAAATCCCTTAACTTTTTGGTACGTACGCTGGGAGACATCAATGCCCGCCCGTCCTGCACAGGCGATGCCGTATCCACAGGGGAGGCATTCATGTTCGCCATTGTAGATTACGAGTTTCTCCCTCGAAAAATGTATTTGGCTCGAGACTCTACCGAGTTTCTTGTTCACACTTTCATGTCACCTTAAAAAACCCACTTTGCCTCCTTGGTACAATGGCGGATATGAATGCCTCCCCTGCAGATACGACATCGCCTGTGCAGGTTGGGAGGGCATTGATGTCTCCCAGTGTGCACAATGTTCTAGCCTCCAGCCCACCTTCTGTCGTGGTCGTCGTCGATGCGACCCCTGCAGAGAGGCGGCGTCGGAGCCGGCGTCGCGCTGGTGGTTCCCCCAGGGGTGACCGATGGCGTCGAGGCGGGGGATGCGCTCCTCAGGGCGGCGGATTCCCTGCGACGGTTGGCCGGGGAAGCCGGCGCGGAACCGACGGCCCCTACTGGCCGCGTCCACGGACTGCGGTTCCCCGAGTCGGGCTCCGAATTAGAGGGTGATAACAGCAGCCCCGGCGATAACAACACCACCGGCACGTGCGCGAAGTGCTCCGTCGGTATCCTCATCTGATAACAGGATGACAAGAAAAGTTATATAAATATTTTCACGTTTTATATGTATATATATATAAGTACGAAAAAGTGAAAAGTCTTTTTCTTTTGCCTTGGAGTAGCACTTCACGCAGACGGTCCTGTCGCAGAGTCGACAACGCTGGCCCCAGGGTCCCAGGATGCCGAACCTAGTTTTCAGGCAAAGGAAGCAGACGCGCCTCTTCTCGACGTCCTCCTTCACGCGGCCCTCCACCGGGAGCGACTCCAGCTCCGCCTTGGTCAGGACGCTCCTGATGTGCACGATCTCCTCCAGGGTCAGAGAGAGACGCTCGTCCAGGAACATATCCCCCAACGACGGCTTCTGCAAAATCGGCAATGCGAAATACATCCCTCGTTCTGCCTATCACACGCCATTAGGTCTTTTGGATAGGACCGCAATATAATATATGATATTACCGCCTCTCATATCCTCTTAAGATATTATAAGAGTGTCATATATATATACAAAACTTAAAACTACTAAACAAAAATTAGATAGATGGTAAAAACACATTCGAAGATGGCTGCACCTGTTCCGAAGCTTGCCGGTCCTGGGCGTCCTGGTGCTTGTCGAGGCTGGCGCTCGGCCTGGGCCTTGCCCTAGGTCGGGGACTGAGGCTCGGGCTCGAGGTCAGGCTCAGGCTGGGACTCTGTCCAGGACTCAGGCTCGACCCGGCGGTCCCCGAGACACCCTCGTGCCTGTGCTGGCGACTGTGAGGCCTAGAGTGCGGAAGGGACGTCGTCCCCGTGCACGCCGTCAGAGAGATGTTCCCCACCGGGGCGTGCTTCCTAGCCGAGGCTCTCCTGGAGGGGCACTGCGTCGCCAGGTCGTAAGCTGAAACGAGACCATTGACTTCCATGAAAGAAGAAAAAGGGAAAGAAAGGAAAGCGCGAACAAAAAGACACGTGGAAGTAGTCGACGTCTTCGACACTTTGAGATACTTTGCAAATATTTTGTAAAAAAAAAATGAAATTTCCTGGGTGTCGAGACCTTCCTTAGGGCCTCCATGTACGCATTGTCAAGTTTGAAACGATTCGGTACACCAAGTTCGGAGGAAAGTTTCATAAACGGTAACAGTGCGTAACAGTGCAATGTCAACTCGGCGCTCATTGTTAAAAGACATTTGTCTTACACTCGAGCTGAGTATCGCAGAAGCGATGGTACTCGTTCTTGGTGAGCCTCAAGCTCCCCGTTTTCCGCCAAGGATTCGCCGAGCCGACCTCGTCCTCATCCTCGGGATCGCAAATCCGCTTTCCGGACGGCCCACCGTTCCCGAAGACGTAGTCCTCCTTAGACCGCCAGTAGTTCGTGGCCACGTCCTCGTCGTCGAACCTGGCCACCTCGAAGTCCTCGTCGTCCTCGTCGTCGGCGTCGAGCTAAAAAATCCGAATTTCAATTAGCAAAGTGGTTATTAACGCCGGACGTTTGGTCCAATATCGCCTGCACGGTCAGGGGAATTTCGCCCGTATGTCGAAATAGCCCCGCGTTCAAGGGGTTGAATTGAATTAGCTTATATTATTAATAAATTATATTACCTTATACTATTATTAAATTATACTAGTTTATATTATCATTAACCCTTCGGCTGCTAAGAGCGCCTAGAGGCGTCCGACGTTCGGTCCAATATCGCCTGCACGGTCAGGGGAATTTCGCCCGTATGTCGAGATGGCTCCGCGTTCAAGGGGTAACGATTCGACCTGACGATCCTTTGCAGATTGTAAATTATAATAATCCGCAATAATTCATCACGGTATTATTTCCCCTCGCTGGATAGTCAATTATATCAATGTTTCTTTGTTCAAACCTTCAGGTCGAAGTCGACGGGGATCAGCTTCCTGGGCTGCCGCAGTGCGGAATAATTCAGGTCCGCCGATCCTCGCCTCGACGTCTTCGGGGTGGTCACAATCTCGCTCTCTTTAATGCCCGTCGCGTCCTGAGTGCCTTCTGAAAGACATACACCACCCTCTCGTAAAAAGTCATACCTTCCTCCCGCGAAGCGTCATACACGCAGAAAAATATTACTTGGCCGAATCGATACAACTTTTACAAAATTTAACCATAGCATATGAACATCCAAATACTTAATTTGCAGGAACAAATCCTTTGGTTAACAATTTTTTGTTGATCACCTCAAAAATTCCGGCAGATCGACGCATATAAATAAAATCACTACCCCGAAATAAGGCTTATTAACTGTAATATTTTCTAAAATTAATAAAACCATTTCTACCGAAATATTTTAATTCACCGAAGCGAACAATTCAGGTCAAGTTAATTGAAATTCGGTGCGGTCAATTGAAACTATATATGAAATTAACCAAGGGTAGTCAAATGATTTTTTTAGGTCTAAGGGAAAGTACTGTCATTTTATGAACACTTACACTTAATATTAAGTGAACCAACATTTTTCTTTCTTTCTATTTTTTTTTTTTTCTGCGTGTACGAGTATATGAGTGCTCTACATGGTCAGTGAAATGGCATTGTATAAAAGAAGAAAGTGAAATGACAATTGTTTACTCGGTCACTTTTTAATATCCTCCCCTAGTTGCAATTACAAGTCGACGTAATTACAATTCGGTTTAACAACGCGAATCTATAAAGTTTCAGATTAATCGGTGCAGCCAATTTGGAAAAAAGTTATTAAAAAGCATTTCGACATTTTGATACATATATATAATGTATCAAATTATATATATATATATTATATAAATATTTTCACGTTTTATATGTATATAATNTTTTTTTTTCGCACGTTGATTTATTGCACGGGTAATTTATTGTCGGCTGGCAGTAATTGTTGTCGATTTTTGGGGGATTGTTACTTACGAAATTACAAGACGGTTTACGTGACATGCGAGTTACGATGAGCGGATGATTACCTGTCGCCCTAGTGCGCCTTCTATGGGACTTACGATTCCCGATCGTGCGAGCTCGGACTTCCTTGACGATCCTCTGTCGAGGTTGAGGAATCGGGACGTTCGCGCGACGTCCTTCGGGAATTTGGGTGGCGACAGGTCGAGGGTCCTGGCCCTCCTGCAGGTGCCATTGGGCTGCGACGTCCTGGGCGGATTCCTGTTCCTGCTCGGGCTTCGCCGGGGGCACCTCACCCAGGACTATCCTACGGGACTCCCCTCCGACGGCCAGCAACATTTTTCCGGATTAAAGTCGCGGGGAGCTTAATATCTGTACGAGAATCCTCGGGATCGTATATTTCACTCTCGAGGAAGGTGTCTCTGCTCTTGGAGATGTCTTTTTGCTTCTTAACGCGGTTGTAGAGGCGAATGAAATCCCGAGGTGGTGCTTCGTTCACCCCGAGACTGGAGAAAAATGTGATCACTGCCGGAGGGATCGCAATTCTCGACCGTGAGCTTCGAAGATACAATTCTTCACTCCTGAGGAAGGTGTCTTTGCTCTTGGAGATGTCTTTTTGCTTCTTAACGCGGTTGCAGAGACGAATGAAATCTCGAAGTGGACGACCCGCGCTCACTTCGCGTCTCCAGCGGTCCGTTTACTCCTAGTCAGGATATATCAAGCCCCTGCTACAAGGATCTCGATATCCGACCGGAAACTGTTAACATCCAATCCTTCACTCCCGAGGATGATTCCTCTGCCCTCGTAACTCCTTTCCCGTCCCCGAGCTCGACCACAGAACTGATCGAAATCCCGAGGTGGACGATCCATGCTCACCTCGACCGCAATATATCTAAACTCCGACGAACCTGATACTACAGGTATCCCTATACCCGAAGAGTCTCCAGAGTTTAATTAACAATTACTAATAAACAAGACCCAATTCTAGTTTTAGGCCGATTTTTACATAGCGCCTCCTGGCGATTCACGATTCCTAACCTCCCCGACGCTTTTCGACGGGGTGGAGGAGGGTGGTAATTAACGACACCCCTTTCACGCGTTTACGGAATACCGTGAAACGGGTTAATAAAGACCCACGCGGGGATAATAATAAATTTACTCCAAGTTGTCCAGGGTGGCGATACGGCGCGAAAGGCCAGGGTGTCGTCCAGGAGAGCGAGGGTCGAAGGGCAGCGGCCAGCCGGGCGGAAGTTCCCTCGGGAACCCCTTAAGGTCGACTCATGGCGAGCCGTGATTCACCTAGACCCCGAGTCACTGGTTCTCCACTTATTTCCGACTATTGATCGGTCGTCCCCTCCGCAGAAGGTGCCGGCCCCGATTCACGCCCTCGAATCGGCACCCTCGACTCCCCGATCGAACCTCGTCGGTCCCGGACGAGCCCGAGTTTCCGGGGGTCCTGGTTGACCCCGTTCAGGTTTCCACCTCGCCGCCCGGACCGGGCGCGACCTGGTGCTCCAATTTCCTGCCCCCCTCACCCCGCGCTACGTGTCGCTCGAGTTTCCACCATTTCGCAGACGTTTTTCCCCAACTATCGCCGATGAGTCTGTCGCAGTTTCTCTCGGGAGTTATCACTATTTCCTTCGCTTAATCAGCAATACTTTTCAGCAACCCTTGCCGATAAGTTTATCACAAGTGTCACGGGAGTTCTCGCTATTTCTCTCGCTTTATCAGCAATGCCTTTAAGCAATTTTTGCCGTCTGAACTTATCGCGAGAGTTCTCCCTTTATCAGCAATATTTTCCAGCAATCTTTCACGATAAATTTATCGCGACTATCGAGAGGGTTCTCACTGATTTTCTCGTTTCGTCAGAAGCTTCTTCCAATCAATTTGCCGCAAATAATTAAATTCATTAATATGTACCGACTATCGTGCACCAAATACTTAATACATGCATATGCGTCGTTATCACTGAAAGGGTTAAGCAGCAACTTTGTCGGTGGAGTTCGGATGAGTTTCGGAAGTGTCTCCTGAATTGTGTATCCTGCGTTAAGCATTATGTAATTTTTCATCCGTTGTGCGATAAATGTTCAATGGCAATCATATAGCAGGCTTGTTGCTGGGGTTTGGGTGGATTTCGTGATTTTCCGCCGTGTCTATCTTGTGATAAGCGTTGCGTAATCACCCCCTCCGGCGGAGCCGCGTTTATCGGATCTTAAAAAGGGGGTCGATGTATCGTTATTTAATTTAACTAGTAATATAGTTATACATTCACTCCAGTCCAGTCGACGCACTTTGGGAGGCTTCAAAGTTCCACTGCTCGTGCTTCGAAGTTGACGTTGATGTTGATCCGCATCGTTGACGAATGAATCCGTTCAGCAGGATCATCGGCAGCATCCGGAATAAAAGAACCTCTTCTAGGGGGATTAATTACCGCCTGAATTTTTGGATCTTCGTCAACTCCACTTCTAGGTGCAAGATCAACATCGACTCTTCATCCTTGCCACATACAGAAAACCTATCAACACTTCTAAACTCCTGTTTCCCCTTAGGGAGCCTTGATATTCCCCTAAATCTTCAACTTCATCAACGATGAAGATGAAGATTTGATGTTGAAGATTTGATGATGAAGATACATGTTCATACCCTATACTTATCAACTCTTCAACTCTTCGTCTACTCCTATCCGAGGTCCAGGGTCATCGGCAGCAGAGTATCCTCTTGGTACCCTTTTCCCCAAACACCTTCCGGAACCTCTTCCTCCTAGTGGAGATCTTCCAAGCTTATTATCTTCTCTTCCAGATCCTCTTCAAGTTCCTCTTCCAGATGCACCGTCTCCAGGAGGTCTGCTTCCCGCGAGATCGCCAACGCACTCCGGATGGCTCCTCTCCCTCGGCGGTCGATACTCTTGGTACCCTTTTCCCCAAACCCCTTCCGGGACCTCTTCCTCCTAGTGGAGATCTTCCAAGCTTATTATCTTCTCTTCCAGATCCTCTTCAAGTTCCTCTTCCAGATACACCATCGCCAGGAGGTCTGCTTCCCGCGAGATCGCCAACGCACTCCGGATAGCTCCTCTCCCTCGGCGGTCGATACTCGGCTCCGTTCTGCCCTCTCTGTTCCGGACTCGTCCCGGTCCCTCTTCAGGGTGCTCCTCAGGATGCGGCTCTTCTTCGGGACGACGGTTCTTCCTCGGCATCGGCGGATCGCAGTCGCGTCCTCCAGGTGGGTGCGGAGACACCCCTCAGGGCTGAGCACGTCCACCTTCAGTCCTGGTCGAACTGCAGGGAGCCCTCTAGCGCCTACACCCGACCGCGGCAGCTGGCGGCCGTCGAATGACGCGGAAGCCCTCCAAGGCGCAGGTCCCTGATGGAGCGCGGCGCATGCGCCCTGCGCGACGGCCTCGCAAATGCCAGCTGATGAGAGTCGCTCGAAGGACCGCTCGTGTGTCTTCCTCATAGTGCTTATAGACATGGAGAGGCCATTTGCTATACTATGTGTATAGAGTTAGGTGTCACGAGGTATTAATTTTAAAACGGCATTAACTTGGTGTATCTTGAACGTACATCCAAGAAAAATTCTTATAAATCATATCTATAGAAAGTCGAAAGCTGTAAGGACTAACATCCCTAGGAGATGAAATCATCCCCTAGGGATGATAGTCGATGTACATTGTAGGCGCATTTTTTAAGAACTCCGAAATTTACGACATGCGCATATCCAAGAGAAATTCTTATAAATCATATCTATAGGAAGTCGAAAGCTGTAAGTAATGAGAACGCGGTGAAAAATGAATAAGGATCGAGAAAATGCCACGTCGAGTGATTTAAAGGACTCCCCACACGAGTTTACCTCCCCTAGGGGTTGATGGAGAACAGCAGGGGTGCATCATGTTACACCACCTTTAAAGGGCAGTCATTTAAAGTGCAACATACTGCCGGCATAATGCGCCATCACGTGTCGGCGATTAAAAAAGAGAAAAGCGCAGAAAGCCTCTGACGGACACCAAAAGTCCTCCTAAAAAATTCACCAACTCGGGTAAACATGGAAAAAACATCGGCACATTTTTTCCAATTCCAGGGTGATCCTTTAATATCTCATTTAATACATAGATTATATGCACCGCGAAAATTCCTGCCACGTGTCGGAAAGCATTATCGACCTTCTTTCCTTTTTTATATTTCTCTCTTTCATCTTTTTATCCCGAACGCGGAATTTCCGCAGCAATGCGGATCGCTTGGTTTGGCTCGCGGCCGAGCTGCGGAAATATTTTCCGTGGATATAATGGATCAATATATTATCACGTACTTTTGATTACATTTTGCAATTTCAATAGAACCTCCATAATCCTGTGTCAAGGTTTCAATTGATTCAATGCACCCAGTTTGGAGAAAAGCATTATAAATATTTTTTAATGTATATCCTAATAAATATCTTTTAATATAGAATGACCCTTTCATATCGCCTTAAAGAAGTGACAAATAGATCTTTCACAATGGCCTTTTCTAGTCTCCGGCGTTTTAAAAGAAGCGACCTCGTCCAAGGAGGTCGCCGATTATGGACCCGTGATATGGAGGAAGGTCGAGGTCGTCTTTTTTCTTATCGCACCTTATACGCCGTCCATTAAGACTTCCCATTTTATCACCTCCTTATTAAATCAAATTAAACCGTAATTAAACCTAAATTACATATTGTCAATGAGTACAGCTCTTCAGACCCCGCGGATTATGTTTATCAGCGATAACATTTCCAACGTTATCATCGCGATTAAACCGGCGTTGCTTGGTCAAGCAATTAAATATTGAATTATTAATTATGACGTACCGTTCAGTGATGAGTTTGGCGTTGATTAAACATTTCCGTAGACGTAGAAAAATATTTCCCTGAATATCTTCAGGTTTTAGGTGTGTAGAATTACCCTTTCGTATCACCTTAAGATACTAATGATAAAAAAATGACTTACCTTTGTTCTCATTAGGAGTCTCTTTGAGCACCGAATGCTGTCTAGAGGTGTTGATAGTCCGCGAGGACCTCAAAGGTCTAGGAGGTCTCTTGATGCTTTCCATCAACAGTTCCCTCATCGTGCATTGCCTCTTCAGGGGAGGAAGCTTCCTCTCGGATGCCTAGAAAAACAAAACCAACAAATGACCAATTTCACCAGATTATTTATATTATTAGAGCAAAAAAGATTTGTCGTCGAAAAAAGAAATATCACGAACAGCGCGTTACTCCTTAGAGCCTCCTTAATCACGCGTTAAAGTCTCCGAAAATACGGCGCACCCACTCTGGAGAAAAATCGTATAAATATTTTCACTTTTTGTCATGTATATGTATATATCATTTTTTTTCTCCCTATCATTTTAAGAACATTAAGCCTGTGCTGGATCTACTTTTTTCAGAGGAGGTCTGCTTCGGATGAATTCCAGGATGACCGCTCTTGCGTCCTTCCTGAGGTGCGGCGAGGGTGCAGGAGTCTTCCTGAGCCTGTACCGACGTTCCCGGATGTCGTCCATCAGGATCTCGTAGGGTGTCAGCTCGAATTCTGCCCCACGTCCTCGAGGAGGTCCTCGCATGCCAAGTCCGGCCTCGACCTTCTTCAGCTTCACCCCTCTTCGCAGTTCCCCGATGACTTGGACCCAAAACCTGGCCTGGAAGCGAAATTCACGTAGAGAACACATTGCAGGGATCTGTAATGCGGGATAAACGTGCCAGTGGAGTTCTCGAGGCTTCTGAATTAAATATCGGACCGGAAGTAACGCGGCAGACGAGGCTGTTAAATAAAATAACGAGAAATAAAAGATAGGATAAAAAAGGGGGAACCTGCAACTCCTGCAGATAGTGATGTGCGGCTATACGGAAAGACATCCGCGAACTGTTTTATCGACGCTAGAAGCATGAGATGCAGACTCGAAAATGGAATTTGTTGTTTTATTAATAATAAAGTGCAGGAAGTGTGACTTGATGGTGCAGAAGTGCATTGCCGTTTTCATGCCCAATGCAATGGAATCGTTAATGATCTTCGATTTCTCGTGGTATCTATCGAAGAAAGTGAAAGAAATCTCAAGAAATGAATATGAAATGGAAAAATAATTACAATTAATCCAGTCACAGGACTTCGTAACGAAAAGTAGAAGAACATCTAACAAATCTCAGCCGGACATGCCACATGCACGACTACGATTCGATTGAACCGTGCATATTAATTTCACTTTCGATCGACATACTTGTATGGCTCGCCAGATCCTAATGTCGGTCTAAAAAACAAAATCGACACAGTGAACGGGCCTGCAATAATTCCGCATCTCTTGCATCTGAGTCTCAAAGGGGAAAAAAAAAAAATAAAAATAAGAAGAAAATAATGTCGGTACTCGTTAACTCGATTTTTTCATTCTCCTCGGCACAAGCGCGTCTCGAATTAATTTTTCTCTCTTTATTTTCTCCACCGAGAGACAAAATCGATCACGGAAAATCAAACGTTATAAATGTAAGAAGTAATCCACCCTCCTTTTTTGATTTTTTTTTATAGGTGTTGCTGTTATCAATAAATTAATAGGAATTAAAACGTAGTCACACCGACCCAGTCGTTGAAGTCGAGGGCGTCGAGATGATGCGTGGCAGCGTTGTCTAGGGTTATTTCTCCCCGGAAATCCCTAGCATGAGACTGCTGCTTCTCATTGGCGACTTTATCCAAAAACTGGGACAATTCGAGAGCCTCGGTCACCAGGGCCCGAATTACGGCACGGTAATGTGCGTCGGCCTGTTCCCTTGTCCCTTGCATATGTCGCGTGCACAGCTGATAACGAAACATAAAAATAGAGAGGCACGATTAGCAGTCTTAGAAAGATGAAGCGTAACGCAGCCCGTAATAGGCAACTTTTGGTGGAGGAAAAATAAAAAGAAGAAAATTCGTAAAACCCGAGAAAGAATGAGAAACACCGGCTTACTCGAACACTATTCTCCAGGGAGCACAACAAAGCCCCAGTGTAAGGGTCGTTCGTCCTCTGCATCAGCAATTCCTCCAAATCGGTGTCTCCGGAATCCCTCTCGATCCCCTCGTCGTCGGTTTCCTGGAGACGCTCCTCGGAGTCTGGCTCGCACTCTGCTAAAAATAATTAAAAAGCACATTTTGCATCATTAAGGTGACACGAAGGTGCCTCGTTAATGGAACTTCTTTCGGCGCGTAAAAAGTGACTCCGAGAAATCGTCGGTGCATTATATTATTTTTTTTTCTCTTTTGTAATCAAGTAAATTAGAATATAAAGGAAAGGGGAACTCTGGTGAAGCATTTACTTTGACTGGAATGCGTCATCACTGATATGAGGTCTTCCAGGTCTGGCGATAGCGGTCTCTCCTCTTGCTCGTCGAGGCCAAAGTCCAGCGCTTTGAAGAGCATCATCCCCAGGGAGAAAACCATCTGCGGGAGAGAAAACCAATTTCCATTAAACGCCCACTGGCTTTAATCGGTGATCAAACGTCAGAGTAGGCGGTGGGAGCGAAAAAGGGAGCTACGGATCGAGAGGTTAAGGTGATATGAAAGCGTCAGCCTATATTTATATCTGAGAGGTCAAATCGTTCGTGTAACTATTCTCCGAATGGGGTGTACCGATTCGTTTGAAATTTCACCAAGTAAAAATGTAGGCCCTAAGAAAGGCCGCGAAACCCATGAAATTACATTTTCGTTTATTAAAATACACTAAACACGTTTATAAAAAATGTAAAAAAATTAAATGAGGCTCCTCAGACCTTAAGGCGATATTAAAGTCGCATTAAAAGGGTCAATATTTAATGAAACTTTTCTCCAGTCCTTCATATTCACGTGATAAATCTTCAAGCAGTTCGGTGCACCCAGTTCAGAGAAAAGTTTCATAAATGAGGCTCCTCAGACCTTAAGGCGATATTAAAGTCGCATTAAAAGGGTCAATATTTAATGAAACTTTTCTCCAGTCCTTCACATTCACGGGATAAATCTTCAAGCAATTCGGTGCACCCAGTTCAGAGAAAAGTTTCATAAATGAGGCTCCTCAGACCTTAAGGCGATATTAAAGTCGCATTAAAAGGGTCAATGTTTAATGAAACTTTTCTCCAGTCCTTCGCATTCATGGGATAAATCTTCAAGCAGCTCGGTGCACCCAGTTCAGAGAAAAGTTTCATACAGAATTGACCCCTTTGCCACAGCTTTCATATCGCCTTAATGGCAGGTATCGCGGGGGTGATTAAACCGTAGGAACGGCGATCTCGGAAGCTGGGCTCGTTTCAACGTAACCGGGTCGTCGGGGGGAATCGAGGCTAACCAGGGCGATGGAATTATCTCCGGCGTATGGAAAGAAGATGCCCTTGGCCAAATCGCGGAACCCGCGGACCTGTGAAAGGATCCTAACGGCACCGTCCACTCTTGCCGGCGTATCGGCACGCCATCTTAACTACGGTTAACTACGGTTAACTGCAGTTAACTACGCTTCGGACCGCACCGCGGAAGTGCCGGAATTGCAAGAACTCCTCAAAATGAACTTTTTGGCTACTAAGAGTGCCTAAAGGCGCCCGACGTTTGGCCCAATGTTGCCTGCACGGTCAGAGGAATTTCGCCCGTATGTCGAAATGGCTCCGTGTTCAAAAGATTAAAGATGGATTTTTTTTCTATAGAATCTAATTACCCATATTATGTTATGTTATTTAATTATTCTTTAATAAATTATATAGTCGGACGCACCTTGCTCTCCGACACGGGCTGACTCGTGGAATCTGCAACAAAAAGAGAAATACGGCGGTGAATGTATGTTCACTGGGAGACATCAATGCCCTCCCGTCCTGCACAGGCGATGCCATATCTGCAGAGGAGGCATTCATGTCCGCCATCGTTCAAAGAGACTCCACGTCTTTTTTCGTGATCTATAATCTCTTATCAACGCTCCTACGATTTATGATTCGTCCTTACTACGTCCCCTATCATGGAATTCCTATTCGATGTTATTAAATTTATCCCATCTCCTCAGGGTTTCATTTCGCTCTATTAAGGTGGTATGAAACTATCATATAATTAATATTTATAATACTTTTCTCCAAACCTGGGTGCATCGAGTCACTTAAAACTTCCACGCGTGATTATGAAAGTCCTGAGGAAGAACGCGATAATCGTGAAATTTCATTTTTTAGGAAGATAAATTTCCATTTATCTCGGAGAAGAGCCAAAGAAAGAGATTTTTCTTTTCGTGAAAAAAATGAAATTTCACGAGCATCGCGTTCTTCCTTAGGGCTTTCATAATCACGTGGTGAAAATTCAAATGATTCGGTGCACCCAGTTTGATGAATAGTTTTATTAATTAATATTTGGACTTTTTGGTCTGTATATATCTGTTTGAAATTAATGTTGTATTTCTCGAAGATGTTATACCGACCACGTGGCCTGTCAATCGGAGCGGAGAAGCTTCTTAGCGAGCATTGTTCTTAGCAATAAGAAACAAGGAAAAGGAGCTCTCTTTGCGATTCGTTACCTAGCGAAGCGGAGATAAGATTTAGAAATCGATACGATTATATGCAAACGATCTCTTGTTCATTGTATTCGCGAGGGCTCGCTTTATAAGGCGACGGCCTCGGCTCGGCAAGTCGCGTAAACGTCACGGGATTACAATCGGCCCAAAAAAGCCGAATGGGAAATGCTCTAATCATTCGCATGACCGATGAAATGATTTAACGGACACGAGTCACTGTAATACCGAGTTTTTGCATAACCGACGTGTGTCACTATCAACGTTATCGTGTCACTATTGCGTTACAAAATGTTCGTCAATACACCCTGAAACGTCGAAATATCGATATATACACAGGCCAAAAAGTCCAAATATTAATAAAACAATTCCCCAATTTGAATTTCCATCACGTGATTATGAAAGCCCTAAGGAATAACGCGATGCTCGTGAAATTTCATTTTTTCACAAGAAGGAAAATCTCTCTTTTTGATTCTTGTCCGAGATGACTAGAAATTTCTTATCTTTTTTTTCCCCCCCGAAATAGATATTTTTTAGCACATATTCTGTAGTACAAAATATCGCTGAACGAATCTTGATTTACGGGAGAGAAAGCTTGAATTAAGAATTGCGGCCGTGGAGGACACATGTATGTACTAAAGATTTCACCTTTTTTTTTTTTTTGTTTTTTCAAAATATGATAAGTAGATAAGTCCTTACCGGAGAAGGCCACCCGGACGTCGCCGTCCTTGTGGAGGAGGATCTGCGAGAGGTCGGTCAGCTCCTGGAACTCGGTCCTGGGGGTGCGGGCGAGAGTTTTGGCGGCCTGATAACAGAGCGCCCAGGTCTGCTCTTGACTGATAGGCCCGTTGAACGAGAGCAGGATGTCCTGCAGATTGAGGCATTCGGATGGGTCCAGCTTGCAGCGCGGCCTCTTCGACCTCCGCCGCCGCTTTTCCGCGTCGCTCGACTCGCCGTTCATCTTTTCCGCCTTTTCTACGCAAGCCGTCCGCCCTTGCGGAACTCGCGAGAGGCTGCCCATTCGCACATGCCCACACTTTTTATCAACTTCGATTATTCCAAGTGAAGCGAGATAGAGAAGGTACTTGATCGAAGAAGTTCCGAAGCGCGCGGAAGAATTTCAGAGTCTGATGAAGCTCGACAATCGTGGTAGTTTCGTAACAAACTTATGTCAGAACGTAAACTACTGCTAAAAGATGCTTTGTAGAGTAGCTTCGAACTTTTGCTTGGACTTCATAGATTTTAGTATCGATTTGATAATTAAAGGAGGTTGAGATTGTTGCGATGTGCACGTAGCAATTGCAGAATCTGATGAAGCTCGACAATCGTGGTAGTTTCGTAACAAACTTATGTAGGAACGTAAACTACTGCTAAAAGATGCTTTGTAGCGTAGCTTCGAACTTTTCTTTCAACTTCGCAAGTTTCAGAATCAATTTGAATAATTGCAGAATTCGACGATGTCAGCAATTGTGGTCGACGGTAATTTTGCATGTAACCGATGTAAGAGCGTAAAAACTACTCGTAGATAATTCTTCGTGGCGTAGCTTCAAATATTTGCTCCAACTTCACAATTTTCTCAATCCGTTTGACGATCGAAGAAAAATTACATTGAGAAAGTTGCTAAGTGCACGCAAGTATTGTAGGATTTTCTATAATCGACAATTGTGATTTACACAATTATGATTTTTTTTATCCTTGCCGTTCCATTAAAATCACCGACGGAATAAATGGCGTCGTGGAGTAGTTCCCTTCCGAGGTAGAGGGTTAACAATAGTTCTAGACAATATCAATCTAACATTGCAACTAATTTGTATTGCTACTCTCTCGTTGCGTATTCTCATACTTGTATACACATCGGTAATCACACTTTTTGTATCCCTGTATGAACATATGTTCTCTGATAATTGTATTCCTTATTTTTCGATAAATTGGACAATCCAGGGTAATTGGACATAAAAAGCCCTGATACATATAACGACATTCAATTCCTCCTTTGGTCCGAATTGTTTCCAGGAAACTTCAATTCGCTGCAATCTCTCCTAATCGTTTATTCTCCTTATCCTTATCCGTTGTATCTTTGTTCGATGATGTCCTTATCAACGTTGATGACTTCTGCGTTGTCTTCTTTCCTTTCTCTTCGCTTAAATACTTCCAGTGTTAACTTCCTTCCTCTTCGAGCCCACTTCTCTCTTCTTTGTGTTATCACTTTATCGCGATAACGAAGAGGGAAATTGTAACAATGTACAATTGTATCCGAAATGATAAGCCTTTAATCGCGATAAGCAAGACGCACCTCTTTCTGCCATTTACTAATTAATTCCATTAGAAAACATTGTTCCATCCGCAAACAATACACTCGATTTTCCTGACTCACGATAAACACGCCACATTAATAAATAATCACGTTTTGTAATAAATAATAACCACGATTAGGCAATAAATAAATAAAGACGTGTCAGGATTTTCACACTTGACGACGAGGACTATTGGTACAACGATTGTATCATTGTTGTTAACGACTTGTATTCTTGGCGACAATATTTGCCTTCTCGTTTGCGCCCCAATTATTTTACTATTAGCGATGATAATTGCAGTATTGTTGTCGGGCCAATTGTTTCACTCTCGTCGAAAACAATCGTTTTGCTATTTGTCCACCCAATTGTTCCACACTTGTCGGCCACTGCAACTCTTCCTCTATTGTCGCCCAACAATTCAGGTCAACAATTGTCCCTTTGCAATTTTAGGTCAACAATCGTCCCTTTGCAAAATTAGGCCAACAATCGTCCCTTTGCAAAATTAGGCCAACAATCGTCCCTTTGCAATATTAGGCCAACAATCGTCCCTTTGCAAAATTAGGCCAACAATCGTCCCTCTACAATATTAGGCCAACAATATTTCCACTAAAGATCCCTGATTAAACAAATCCAAAGCGTGAGATTCCGTTAACAAAACTCCAGAGAACAATATCGATTCGAGGAGACTCGACCAGAGGAAATCCTTGACCCGAGCGAATCCTACCGACACGTGGGACGCAATTATCGACAACAACGAAACGACAACACGGGTAAACAAACTTCAAGTGACCAAACACCCATATCGATCGGACCAACGACCACCATTGTTTCGCTATATCCAACAAAGAGAATAATTCTCTCAGAAACAACTTCGAAGCCAATGGCGACTAATTCGGCATTCGCTGTTTAAATAACTATTGTCGGTCTAAAAAATCAATCCATGGTCGCCTGAGTCCTTTTGTTAGATTCGCGGGAAGACTATTCGGATAGTGGACTTCGAAGCCGATTTACCGCGCGTTGACATTCGGAATGACATTAATGCGAAGGAGACTAGAATCGGTGTTTACAGTGGTTAACTAATCGAGCGATCCGCGACGTTCCCCCTTCGGCGGCTCGCGCGGTACTACCGGTCGACTCGCCGCTCCGCGCTCTTTATCCTTTTTTCCCCAGCGCTGTTAGCCGGTGGTGAGTACCAACAGGCGCCGGTAGGTTGCGCTAGCCAATATTTCGGACATTATTTTTCAAATGATATGAAAGATACTAAGAAAGTTAATCTACGTCGAGAAAATAACATCCATTAATACCCTTTCATCTGACTATGTAATATTCCATTTTTACAGTATTCTAAGTTTTTCTAAACAGGTCTTGAAAATCTTCTTTTTCGATTCTAAGCCTTTCAAAGGTGTAAGCGACGCCATGTTGGTTCTAGTCCGCGATTAATAAAAAGGAATTGTTATATGAAATTTCACAAGCTTCAGGACCTAATATATACTAGTATGTACTAGCTGATCAATTCATATCACCTTTGCTACATTACAGAGATAAGGAAATGCATGTCGATTACTCATAATAGCTCCAGAAGTGTGCAAAGTTTAATACCAATCGGAGAGTGATTCTTAGGCAGGCTTCCTTGAGTGGTTTGACATGGATAAGCTACTTTAGACATCGATATTCCCTGTAAAGCTTCGTTAGATATGGACAGATTAGACATCAGCGGATGTTATTAGGCGAGATGATGTACAGAGTGTTATTAAATTCTATCACTGTTAGATCATGCCAAGAGCCATGCCGCACTATCATGCTCAGCCTAGTTTCGTGATAACCGAGATCAGCTAATCGCCGGTTACGCACTCGACAGGACCCACAGCACACTTTCCATATCTCTAAAAAATCCAACTCTTATCTTCCATCTGACGTCGAGATTAATAATTCATCCTCTAATTAATAATTTCGAAACTCTGTTTCACGCGAATGACAGTCCAATTTCAACATTTATTAAGCCGTTGAAAGGAGTCAAAAAATCACGGAAGAGTCTCGAAGCACCTCCACCCTCTGACATCAAATTTAATAATCCACCCTCTAATCAATAATATCAAAATCAAATTTCTTCTTCAACCCGATTCCTCAAGAATCATCATTAAAATCGTCATTTGAAAATTTATTCAGCCTAATCTTTCACTCGTTGAAACAAGCCAAGAAATCACGGAACCACCTCCACCCTCTGACATCAAATTTAATAATCCACCCTCTAATCCCCAATATAAAAATCACATTTCTTCTTCAACCCGATTCCTCAAGAATCATCATTAAAATCGTCATTAAACCTAATCTTTCACTCGTTGAAACAAGCGAAGAGATCATGGAACCACCTCCACCCTCTGACATCAAATTTAATAATCCACCCTCTAATCCACAATATAAAAATCAAATTTCCTCTTCAACGCGACTCCTCATGAACAATCCTTAAAATAATCACTTGAAAATTTATCCAACCTAATCTTTCACTCGTTGAAACAAGCGAAGAGATCATGGAACCACCTCCACCCTCTGACATCAAATTTAATAATCCACCCTCTAATCCACAATATAAAAATCAAATTTCCTCTTCAACGCGACTCCTCATGAACAATCCTTAAAATAATCACTTGAAACTTATGAACTTATTCGACCAAATCTCTCTTTCACCCGTTAAAAAAATGGGAAGAAATCATGGAAGCGCCCCGAACGACGTCGGCGCGGCCCCATGGCCAGTCCCGGACTCAGGCCTGGACGGCGAGCAGCTGGTTCGATATCCCGACTCTCCAAGACCCGACTCGGACCCCGTCGACCTGTCCGAGAGGAGCCCTCTGGGCCGGCGTGACCTTAGGAATTGGCTCGCCTCTTCCCAGGAAGCGCCCCTCGGGGAAGTCGCGGCTGCTGCGCGACCCGCGCCAAACTGGCGTCGAAAGCTCAGGCCTGGTGTGGGTGTGGGTGAACCCGGGTCGACCTATAGATATTCGCTCGATATCTCTCCGTGGAAATTGCGTCAGGGACGGTATATCGAATGTGCACCGCCTCCCCCCGCACACACGCGCCCACATTTTTTTTCATTCGCAATTTTTTCACAGAGAAACTTTTCTTTATTTAGATTAAACTGGAAGCAAGAGGAAATTTTTTTTTTGTGAAAAACCAAATTTCACGAACATCGCGCTCTTCCTCAGGGCCTGCATAATCCCATGGCGAAGTTTAAAATGATTCAGTGCACCCAGTTTGGGGAAAAGTTTCATAAATATTTTTTAAATATATAAAGTAGCCCTTCCTTAGATATGCAAGCGCGCCAGTATTCGGGAAACGCTCTCTATACGTAAAAGCCCGCTTTTGCAACGTGAGAATTACTACTTTTATTTGCTTCGGAATAAAGGTATGGATTACATATAATCGCTCCTGGAATCCGATACAGTGAAACACGTTTGATAGCTAATCTCGCGATTACACGGTAGAAAAACAATCCCGGTCCTCCGTACGAAGAACTGCGCTTCCCTTTTCCTCCGCGAGGCGGCGCCGCGGTCGCACGCAGTGGCGACATCTCAGGCCTAATTCGCAAGTTTCAAGGACCGCTAGGAAATCAATCTTTATCGTTCACCGCGTCTTTGATTAACATAGCCATAGTCACGTTAACAGTGATCCTCGGAACAGTTTCCAGCGAGTTCTTTCTCTTCGGGGTCCACGTTTCGTCTTCGGCATGCACACAAAAAGCCTTAAGGTGATATGAAAGGGCCATCCAATATATGCGAAACGTCAAAGTATTTATAAGACTTTCCTCCAAACTGTGTGCACCGAATCGTTTCCAGCTTGACAATGTGAATGTGGAGGCCGTAAGGAAGATCCTGACCCCCTTGAAATTTCAATTTTTAAACACTTATAGACATTTAATAATTTGTTCGTAAGAAATTCCATGGGTTCGGAACCTTCTTTAAAGCCTCTACAATCACGTTGTGAAGTTTGAAGCGATTCGGTACCCCCAGCTCGGAGATAATGTCCTTAACGATCGATCCCTAGGATGGCACTTTCACCCGCCCTTAACTCCTTTTTAACCCGGAGACGTGGCGCCCGACGTAGGAAATAAAATCCTAAATAATTTAGTTCTAAAACATGTATGTAAAAGCAAGTGGCCCTCGCTCTCTTCAGGGTCGTGGAAGAAAGCGCGCGATGGCGTCGTCTTCTCTCTTCCGTCTTCTTGGGTCGGCTTCCAATGGCGAGCGATGGAAGAGGCGAGGCCGAGACTCGCACCAGGCTTACCAGGAACCTGATGGAGGACTTGTCGAAGCCAGATGCGAACCGCCCTTAAAATTAGGGGTAACTTGCCTCGATCGGCTCGCAGAAGCCCTTCGCGAGGCGGCTCGAACAGCTCGCAAAGGGCGGCCCTCGCCGCGAGAGTAATGGAATAAGGGTAATGTACATTAATTCGGTAGGTGAGGATGGCCGACTATCTTCTGATGGACCACAAAGGGTCCAGCTGACTCAGTGGATCGACTGCCTTCACGTCGTCCTTCTCCTGGGGATTGTTCGATGGGGTCGATTGACTGATGCTCGCTCCCACTGGTCCCACTTGGCTGCCACCTACAATCGGATTTGTGTACTTTTTATACTAGATCAAAAGGTCCTGCTACACTACGTAAAATATCCTACATGTCCAGTCACACTAGATAGAACATCCTGTATTAAATAAAAAAAAAAACAAGTGATAATCAACTTCCCGAAAGGAAGTACAAACCCAGATTTTGGAGGAAGTCATCGGAGGGGTGACACTGCCTCGGCGCCTTCCCTTTGCTACCTTTCATCCCTCCGAAGCACTCAAAGGTGGACTGCGAAGATGATAAGATGCCACCTGCGGATAATTTCAGATTTACATGACAAATGGATAACTATTAGCTGTATAGTTAGTATAAAGGATTTAATTTGCGGCATGAGTCCGGTATGGTAAGAGCGCTGCCCCTCGCGGAGAGAACGCGAACTATCAGGCCAGTCGAGGAATTTCAATAATCGCCGATTTACTCACGCTTCAGTAGAGCATCCTGAGCATGGTAGAGGACCATTCGGTAACCGAACAACAAGGACTCCTTGTCGATGAGACACCTGCGGAACTTGACGAGGCTCGAGAAGACGAGAGGCACATCGACTACGCCTCTTCCAGCTCGGACATGGCACACGGTTGTGGCGGCCAGCAAGAAAAGTCCACTAAGAGAGCCACCTCCCAAACAATGAACGACAATCGGCTTTGGCGAACATCGCCGTAAGGCTTGTTCAGACATGACGTCCGTCGTGAAGGTCAACAGCGGGCCAGGACTGCTCGGGAAACCGCTGAAAAGGAAAATAACATAAGATGAACACGGTATAGTTAAATCCAGTCATCTACTCTACGTTTAATGAGAACACGAAGAGGCAGAAAAATCAGCGGACTGAGGTCCAACACTTGGAAACTCCTGGAGAAGAGCGACACCGTTAGTGAGCTCGGTTCAGCTTCCACGTGGAGAACAAGCAAATTTGAACTTGTACCTTGCAGGCCAAGCCACGAACTGCATGAGGACGACTACTCGCTCGCTTTTGCTGTCGTTGTGGTTTATGGAGATGATCCTTTGGATGTAACTCGCATGGTTGATTCGGTTCTTCAGGGACAACCGGTAACTGCCGATGGTCAAGCTCTGCTCCTCCTCGATCGGCCAATAGACGTCTGCTCCCAGCTGCGGAAAACCGAGATATTTATCACTCCCTTTTTATCGGTTAATTTTCAAAAGGCAAATTTCTTTTATCTTAATTCTTAGCAATAAATGCTTTCTTCGGTCTACCTGGGAGTCGGAAGCCAGGCAGGCGATCACTTCGCTGCCTTGTTCCCAGATCATCGTCCAAAAAGCTTCCATGGTCTCCACCAGGGGCGCTTGGGTGACGATGAAGGCCGCAGGAGTCCACTGAGTGACGTCCTTGACATGAGAGGCGTTTATATAACTCGATGAGGCCTTCAAGGACGACAATTCAACCCTGCTGGAGTCGTAGGGAATGCACTCGGTGATTCTGTTCTCGCTGGAATGCGCCAAAGCAACATTGGTCGACTGCTTCTTGTCTTCCCGTTCCTGAAAACAGTCACCGTGAGTCTCTCCGACCAGAACAAACGCCACGAAGTAGTATAAGGAGACATAACGCCGGTAAAAAACGACGGTAAGACGAGAAAACAGATGAAGAGGACGACGACGACTTCACCTGGAAGTCGTGGACCTCCTTCCACTTGATGTCGAGATTGGTAGCGCCGCTGAGCGTCTTGACGAGCAGCCCGTCGACGAATTTCTCGTACTTCTCGATGTCCTTGGCGAACTTTTGCAGGACCACCGGGTCTCCCAGGGGGTCCTTCTTTGGCTGTACGTCCAGGTACCAGGTGTCCCATACAATCTGGAGGTTCTCGCTTCTGTCTTCAGTCTTGATCGCGGTGGTTCCTGGTTCCTTCTCCTCGTTCCGCTGAGAGACGTTCTCTCCTGGCACCACGTTTCCGTTCTCCACCTGTTTCCGCGGCTTCTCGTTGGACTGAACTTCTGGAACGAGAGGTGCATGGTTTATGGTCACGTCCAGGTCAGACAGCAGGTCGACATTTGACTTTGGCTTGGTCGCTTTGGTGGACTCTTCAGAGTCCTCTGCCTTCTCCGGAGCGGAGCTGGTGGTGTTGGTCTCGTTGTTCGAGGCTTGCATGTAGGTTTGGTTGAGTCCACTTTGGTTTGCGTCGTTCACGATGGAACCTGGAACGAAACTTGAATCATTAAGGTGATACTAAAGGGTCAATCTATATATACATAATTTCTCAACGCCTTTCACATCATCTTCAGGGAAGTTAGGATCCCACCAGGGTCAACTCACCTTGTCCTTGGACCTGCAGGCCGTACTGAGCTGCATAATACGCCTGACTGCTCGGTTGCACCTGATAACTTTGCCCAGAGTACTGCGAGGAGGAAACCTGGCTGGTAGCAACGCTCATGTTCGCGTTAGTGTACATAGCAGCAGCATCCTGGACCTGATAAGTGCCCCCAGCAACATCGTGCTGAACAACAGGCTCAGCTTCAGGAGTCCTCTGGACATTCGAGGTCCTAGAATCCTGGTACCCAGAGCTGTACTGGTACCCGCCGACCGCGGGGTCATAGGCATACCCAGGGTGTCCTTTATAAGAATCAGGAACAACCCCTCCATCAGCTCCCTGATTTCCGGCATACCCGGTGGCGTAAGCCTGCTGATATCCTGGGTACTGCATTACCCCAGAGTAATGACCCTGAAGAGGGTACTGGTACCCCTGGGTGTACGCTTGCATAGAGCTGGACTTGGCATGGCTCTGGATCATCTCCGAGTCGTTGGAGTAGTTGACCTGGGGATAGCTCTGAGTGGTAGCTCCACCCATCCCGACCTGTTGGTACCCATGGGCAGAGGAGTTCTGCTGATAACTCCCATAAGACCCCGGATAGCTCTGACCCACCTGGCCGGGGATCATCTGGGAGCCTCCAGGAGCTGTAGCCACTCCTTCAGGGTACATCTGCTGGTCGACATAGCCAGCCACGTTGGACGTGGGCAAGGTCGACGCATAATACGACGCCGCGTCGGAAGCAACCACGTTGGGTGCTGTTACAGGGTACGACCCGTGGATGGTGCCATCAGTGGGGAGGATCCCGGCTTGGTTCCGCATGTACTGGTCCTGCAGAACGTAGTGACCCCCGGCAGCGACTCCGTCCTGCTGCGCCTGCAGGGGCTGCAAGGTCTGCAACGTCTGCACCGGGAGTTGGCCCTGCATCTGGCCGTGCATCCCTGAGGACGTCTGCATGTCAACGGTCCCAGCTGGTCCAGGGGATGGGTAGCTCTGCGCGGGCACGTTGTTGGCCACTTGCGCTATCGGCGTATGCTGAGGAGGATGCTGAGGAGCTTGATAAGAGTGCCCTAACGCGTCATGTCCGGACACAGCGACCCGAGAGAAGGCGGTACCCTGGCGTGGTTGCACACTGGACCCGGTCAGCTGAGGCTGGGGCTGACTTCGACTCGCCTGGGTCTCTTCGCTCTGCGGATTTGAAAACCCCGTCGCAGACACCTGCGACCCAGCCTGCTGCGCGCGATTCCTGTCGGCCTCGGTGAAGAGGTTCTGCGCCGCCTGGATGATGTTCGCCTGGTACTGCGTCGAGGTGTTCGCGCTGTGCTGAGGGGAGGGGCTCTGGTACCCCGAGGTGGAGCTGGGGCGAGGCAAGGTGGTCAGACCCTGGTACCCCTGGGCCTCCTGGGGGACGCGGTACTCCCCATACTGAGAGTACGATGCACCGGTGTTGTACCGCAAAGAGTATTGCGACTGATCATTGCTCTCGTAGGAATGAGCAACCTGGCCGTTGGTGAAGGCTCCGTACCCTGCGTACTGCTCGGCTCCGCTGGAGACTTCCCTGGTGGAGCACGTACCCCCAGGCCCCGCCTGGTGGTACATGCTGGTGGTGTCGGTGGTCCCGGTCTTCGGGAAACTCTGACTTAAACTGCCGCCTGTGTTCACCGCCTCCCCGTAGGTGTAACTCCCGTACCCGACCTGCTGACCCGGGTAGTACTCCGTGTAGCCTCTTGGGTAATACCCATAGGAACTGGCTGGATCGTTCACCGGTGTTTCGCCGGTAGACCCGGGTACTGGAAGCCCAGGCCCGGGATCGTTGGCCATGGGGTTCGCTCTAACCTTTATCGAGGATCCGGCATCCGGTTGCGCGGCTATCGACGGCTCCGTCTGCTGATTCTGATACCCGGGGACGTTCTTCTGCCTGCTCATCAAGTAGTCCCGCAGCTTCAGACCCCCGCTGGACCCTGCACTGGGCGGCTCACCTCCGGGGACCTCCACCGCTGCAGTTTCCCCGGCGTTGTACGACCCCTTCTCGTTCCTCGCCAGGATCTGCTCGCGCTCCTCCTCCTGCACCTTGCAGGTGCTCCTCACTCTTAACAGCAGCTTCGACACATTCGTCCCCAGCTTCCTGTAGAACTCCAGGCCCTTGCTGGACTTGGCCAACAGGTCCTCGTACGCGTCGTACGAGGATATCAATGAGTTTATCATCAGCTCCCGCCTCTTCAGGATCTCGTCCACCGTTTTTCGCGTCTCTGCTGTGTGCGCGTATGCGTCTGTTAGCGCTGCCAGGATGTTGTCCTGGGCGGATAGGTTCTGCTCTATCAGGCTCACCTGGAGAACCATCGAACTAATCTATAGGACGTAACTAATGATGAGGTTCTCCGCTTTCGAGCCGCACTTACCACCGACTGGTGCTTGTTAATTTGCTCGGCGAACAGCTGATCCAAGGATACCGACTCGGCGGTCGCGGTCACCAGGATCCTCGTCAGGTCGTCCTGGGCTATCGCTTCTCTCAGCTGCGTGTACAATTCGTTCCGTTGACGACGCATCTCGTCCACCTTCCCCAGGATGCGTTTCAGCTCTCGAGTGTGGACAGCTTCGCCTTCGCTGTCGGCCTTCCGCCCTTCCTCCGCTTTTGCTGAAATTTCAAGTTTTCAATTTAAAAGCGATGGTCCGGTTTAAATAGCGATACTCTTAAGTGGAGGAAGGTATCAAGTGCCGATAAGGGAAGAAGGCTCGTACTCGTGAAACGGAAACACCGTACGTACCTGGGAAATGAGATTTCGGCGACGGAATATGCGCTATCAGTTCCGACAACGGGCGAGCGAGGATTCGCAGATTGGTGACGTGCAAAGTCATAGCTCGATGCAATGCCTGATTGCTCTCGGAAGCCTTCGCATGTGCTTCTTCGTACTTTTTCGCCTCCCTGGTCAAGTCGGTCGCCACTATGGACGGGGGCCTCTTTCCCATCGTCTCCTGGTACAACTTCTCTCTGCCAAAAGAAATTCCCATCAGAATGGATTGCTCTGGATTAAGGCGATATGAAAGTGGCGCCTGAGGGAACATCTAATAAACTTTCCCGAACAATTTAAAATGTTCCCACGTGTGCTAGGATGCTCTAAGGAAGGTTCCGATACCCATGAAACCTATTTCTTATTTTAATTTTATCATAAACACGTCTTTAAAATCTGTGCACTGATGGAAACATCTTTTTAGATTTATATTGATGTATTTATGCACATCAATATTCATACTGATACGGAACTGACACGGAACGTCCACTGCACGGACACGTCACTGATATGTCTACATCGGCTTATATGATATTCGCGTTCCCAACCTTCGTCGTTCCTCGTTCAAAAGGTGCTCGATCTCTTCCAACATCCCCTCGACGTCGTGATAAGTGTCCGCCAGTTTCCCCATGGCGTCTACCAAATCTTGAATCGCGTTCGACTTGGCGTTCAGAGCTGCACACCTCTCGGCCAGCTCTTCAGGTAGTGGCAGAGAATTCGCATCGGTGCTTCTTCCATCAGGATCCCAGAGACTCAGGTGGTCCAGCTTCAAGGACGCCAGGTACATGTTCAGCTGCTGATCTCGTTCCTCTATTTTCGCTCCGATGGAACGCAATATCTTGGCCTTCTCCTCGGAGTACAGGGAACTGGCCTCGTGGACCTTCATGGGCACCAACCTGTAAAAGCAGCTTTATTAATATTCTATTCGATCTTATTTAAGTGGAACTTTAGTCAATACGGTGATTTCAATACAATATTCAATACTACGGTTAGATATTGTTTGCATTAGCTCCCTTGCAATCCTCGGAGCTACCTGTGAAAATCTCACCTGGCGAATATATCTGGCCCCGAGACTTCTGGATCGTTGACACTGAAGGAGATCCCTTTGACGAGGGATGCTCCCTTAACTGTAGGTAAAACGTCTTTGTCAGGGACCTCTTCGTGGTAAATGAACTCGTTCTCGTTTTTGGCAGCCTTCCGTTTCCCCTCGATGACATCATTCGTGAAAGTCAGCGCCTCTTCTATCGTTTCCATTTCTCCAGCAAAACTCGTAATGCCCATGTTTCCTTTTCCGCTTGTATATAGAGATCGTGCTTCGTTCAAAGCTGCCAAAGCTGCGTTGTAGAATGCAACTCTTTCACCCATCTTCTGCTGCTCCTCCGCTGCGAGGCCTTGATAAAGTTGTGTGACGGCTAAGTGGTATGCTCTTTTAAACTTCACGTACCGTCGCCAGTGCTGCATTCAGTACGTAACATTCATTATTAGAAGCAAAATTTAGGAGAAAGTAATATACCATTCCTCCACTAACAACAAACAATACATACCTTGCAACATTTTGCTCCCACCATGTCCACTACTACATTGTCCACTCCACCGTTCTGTTCCAGAGTATTTAAAGCCAAGCCGTAGTAATCCACTATTTGACGCGCTACTTTCGCTGCAAATAATGTGAGTAAATTTGAGTATATCATAAATAATGATTAAGCATAGATATGATCAGAAATACTTATAATAAATCGTCAATTGTGAGCAATAGTCACGTACCCACGATCGTAGGCTTTCGATTGTCGAGCATGCTTTTTTCTAGGATGCATTCCTGCGCTTGAGCCAAGCACAGGTTCTGTAGAAAACTCATGAATTCTGGAGGAAAGTCTGCCTCCGGTAATTGCGGATAGCTGTTCTTTAAATGCTCAAACGCCCATGCGGCGCATTGGAAATGTGCACACGCCATTTTCATGCCATCCGCAGTGGTCCTTTCAGTGCATGCTCCAAGTTGAGTATGGATAGCACCGATATTATATAAAATCGTACTGATCTCGAAACGAATACTGGGTAGAGAATTTTCTACATGGACATACGAATCTCTCCTGCTCGAACAAAATAAAATTAATCAAAGATCATAAATATTTCAAGTAAGTACATAATTAAAAAAATACATAAATTCTAAGCACCATGAAAACGTAACGGCAGCTGCTCCGTCCTTCTCCATAGGAAATCTGCTTTGCAGGAAATGCAACTGACAGTAGTACTTCTTCAGAAGCGCCGCTCCGGTCACGTCGATAGGAGGTCTCGTGGCCATCGCTCTCAAGCTTTCCAACTGGTGTATCTCGTAGTTGTAGCTCTCAGGGTCCTCATTGTAAAAGTCCCGAATGTACTGGAAAACAAAACGATATGACTATCGTACAAAGTAACACCCCTACGAACTTGAACGATCACTGCGTCAAGATTGTTGATGCAGTCCACTTGAGAATTCTAGACTCTCATCGCAGTACTCATGCAAGTTATTTCAACAGTAAAATCAATGCCTAATTGGACTCTTACGTATAATGCTCCCCCATTACGATAAAAGTTGACAAATTAACTGGAAATCTCAATTCACAGTACCTGTTTAAGTTTTGGACCGAAGGACGGCGACTCGAGGCTCGTCCTCAGCTGAAACGACATCATCGGCAATCTCGGGACGGCCTCCATGGTATCGATGCTCCGTTAAACGAGCAGAAAATTCCACCGTAACGACGAGACTTCCGTCTTCTACGAGTGTAAACGTCAAAAGTGCGACAGCCGTCGGTGGCCGTCGGGCTGGTCGAGGTCGTTGACAGCTTCTTCTTCTTCTTCTTCTTCTATGTTATCAAGGGAGGTGCACTCTCTTGGTTGTTGGCGCTAGTTGATTAGTTCGACTTACAGCCACTGTGTCGCTAGTGAAGAGCGTTAGTGGAGCCGCCTTTGTTGGCGGGCAATTCGAATGGGACGATACACTTAGATTACAGCTTTTTAGGAAAGTGATAATCATGGACATATATAATATATATGCATACATTTCAAATTGCCAAGGCTTTCCAAGTCAGTAAAGTATTTATTCGCATCAACACAGTTTTGTTGTAAAATATCACTGATATTTAGAATATTTAGAATAGAGACATCATCGGCAGTAAGTAATGCACAAAACGTCGATACTACTGGTTCAGCTGGTAAAAGTTTCTTGAAAATAATTCATCCAAGACCAACGTCTTACAACGAAACACATCTTAAAGGTGCGGAAGTGCCTGAAACAGATATATATAATAGGAATCTGAAAAATAATGACGAACGTCCCTCTGTTTCTGCAAAAAAGAGAGGAATCATGTCTTCCGAAACTATACACATAGAGAAACAAAGTTTATCTCCCCAAAATAAGAAAATACTGAGAGATATTAAAACAATGAAACAAAAAGTGTCTCGAGAAATGAAAAGAATTGAATCTTTGAAAGCATTACTTAATAAATCGCAATGAGTTATACATGCCGAACGCAATTCTGACTTTTCCAATTTTAATATAATAGGAAATCAAGCTCAAAATAAATTCCTATGCAACTCTACAAAGTTACGTTTTAATAATAATTAAGAGATTATAGGGAAATACAGATTTGACAACAAATATAGTTTTAAAATACACTCTTTTTACCTCCCGTTTAATGGCGGATGGGAAATCTTGCTTGCTTGCCTTATTCTGGTTCTTTCGTCAGTAATGGACAATCTAGTATCAGTTTGAAAGTCTACTTGTCCCTATAATTCCTCTAGCATTCCAGAATGTCTATATTTAATACATTTACACCAGCTACTTTACGCCGGTTTTATGAATTACTTGTATTAAAGTGGTGTAAACGCTATTTTACTCCGGTTTTACCGGTAAGACCGTCGTAAAACGTTTATACGGCATTTAACACTAGTAGTTACAAAATCGATATAAGGCAGGCGGTGTAAATGCACTAAATGAGGTAAAATCAAGTAATATTGACACCAGGTTAGAATTCAGAATTCTAAAAACCAGAATTAAATTGCAAACGTAATCTAACTGTATAAAATACTTTCAAACGATTCTTTGAAAATGGGACATCACTAAAATATAAAAAATGGACAAAGGAAAACAATTCGAGCATTCTAAAAAGCACCAAGAGATAATTAATTCCTACACCTTGGATTCAAATCATGCTTCCGAAATAAACAATCCATGTCGAAAGGTATTTAAGACCCTAACATTACATCGAATGCTTTATAATAATACAACAATTGATAGGAATAAAAAATTTGTGTACACGGTCTATACACCGTACATGCACTCTATTGTATATTAGAAATACAATAGCGTGTAAATAATATATTTTCTCCATAGGAAGAAAAAATGTCATACAAATGCCTCGATGAGAATAACTACAACAAAGATTCCTGTACACAATACTTCGAAAATTACAAGGCCTGCAAAATGTTCTGGGTAACATAATTCTACTTTGTACGATTTCAAACATCTTACGCCCATATCTAGAGCGTGCGTAACAAAATTGATGGATGACCCGCTATTTTGAACAATTTATAAATGCACTAAATTACAAATACTTGTGTTTCAGAATTCTGTTGTAAGAAAGCGTAAATTAGAGGATATTAGACCTTTTCTACCTCATCCAGATGAGAGAGAAACAATTAAGGCTGAACATATGAAAACATTTCAAAGGAATGTATGAACATTTTTACTCTGATTAGTTCTTACTAGAATGTGTAAATATATCTTTTTAGATTGAGGTATTTTATTGTTCTTTTAGTAAAAGATTGTATTAAAAGTTTAGAGATTAACAAAAACAGTATATACAATTTTAAGCATGTCTGATGAAAGATAAAGGATACACGGGTCCAATGATGTACTCGCCGAGATATATTGAAAATGAAATTCATATATTTACATGTACACAAATTCTGCTTTGTTTTACTAAAAACAATGCTTAATGTATATCAACTCCATAATAAATTTGTACATACGTCTTTAGTTACTGCACGATCAAGATCGTTATATCTTGTGGTAATGTAGGTTATGTCAGTATTTAATATTAGCGTTACAAGCTTGAGATGCAACCTAAAAGATATGTCCAAAGAATGGCCTTTGCGGTAGATCTTCAGAGAGGAAGTTAACGCGCGTTAGAGTAATATTTGGTTAATAATGTTTCAAGGGCAATTTGTACAGCCTAATTAGAGGTAAAATTAATAATAACACGAATACACTCAACGGTAAAATAGGGAACAATGGAAAAAGACAACGCAGAAGGCATTGCGACTGAAAATCAATGTTCGACCATTAAATTAGACGGCCAGATCGATCCCAAAGTATGGGCATTACCATAGTTGACAAACATAATTTGCATACTCTCATAACGTATGGAGTCACTATCTTCGAGACTCGTTCGAGACTAGCCATGCCTTATACAATCGATGTTACGTGTTCCTCCGTTCAATTTATGACATTGTGCCAGAAATAATTATTTCGTAGAAATGCAAGAATTGCTTAAAATATCCTGTAATAACTTATGCAGATTTTTCGTGTCCCAAACGTGATGAGTTCATTGAACACCTATATTGTTGTAAATTGAACGCAGTTACATTCAACAGAATGGATATCTACTCGACGATCGATATGTCGATGTTCCCTGAACAGATGACGTTCACCTGTCACATGGAATGAAAAAACTCGAGCTCAACTGGAGTTGTAAAGAGTGTAAAATGGAGAGTCATAGGAAACTCCAGCATTCGGATGGCCTAGTGACAGGAACCCTTAGAAACTAGACAACTATGACTATAGGTTAATACGGATCAGGTGCACTTTATACTTAATATACCCTTTTAAAAAAATGATTCATGTTTTTTACGTTGAAAAAATGATTCTAGCAGTTTCAGTGGAAATCTTGAACTTTCCTGAGATTTCTAGCGTTCAAAATAGTCGACGAAAACGTACCCAAACATTTTTACATTTTTTTTTAAAAAGCACAGTGCAGTGAGTTACACTCGTTATACTTGAATGCAGAAAGTACAGCTAACCCGAACAAACCTTATACTGTATATGACCCAACTTTTTCCTTACATGGGCAAGACGACTCAAATAATAACAGGCACGGTCGTGTAGCAAAAGAAGTATAAAGGAATGACGTCCAAGGGACAGTGCATGTTAAGAGCGGAGAGGTGCCAATCCAATTTACACACGAGTGCCGAACCCAACCAGTACGACTAAAATCATACATATGTACAGTTACGCCGAGAGAGTGAGAAAAAGTGACACAGGGAATGAGGAATGTCATGTAACGGCAAACAAGCAGGAACTTCCTGTTCCGAGTCCAGAAGCAGCCGTTGCATCTGTTAAAAATCTCTCACCGAGTTCCACTAAGAGTACGAAGTGTTCACTATTGAATTCACATATCACAGTAGCATGAGATTGACAATTTCGGGGGACCAGGAGGAGGTGGAGAGAGAGAGAGAAAAAAAATGAAAAATAAATAAGCTACATAGCAGGTACATAGAAGTTGGGCAGTGTTCACGAACAGGTGAGTACCAGATTTCATAAGGAACTCCCACTCTATAGTTCTTTCCAGAAAATTCTGACCTTACATTTCCCTGTCAAGTCAGCTGATAGTAACACTAGCAATCCTTGCAAGAAAATATAACTTGATTTCACCAAATGGCGGTGATTAGAATACAAGTAAATTGTTCTACATAACTGGTGTAAATATTTTTTAGACGACGTTATGACGACTATCGATGAAAATTGAAAAGTGTTGCTAATGTTACTATCGTCTAACTTGGTAATGAAATGTAAGGTTATTTTTATATGAAAGTGGGAGCTCTTTATGCTACTTCGTGGTACATACGTACAAGTTACAAGGAGGTTATTATGAGAGACGCACTTGTGGGGATCGTAACCGAATATCGTGAACACCGCAGCGTCTTTGTCTTGACTTACACTGCAAAGCACTCCTCGTTGGGAATCCGAAGATCATGGGATTCGGGTCGTTTGGTTACTGGGCCTTTCCGGCGAACAAACGTGCGTCAGATTTTGCGTTCTTTGGGTTGCTCTCCTCTTTTCTTTTTAGCATGCACTGTCGGCAAGCAGTCATTCGGAGTGCTCCTGTATGCGGAAAGTATGGATACGGAAGTGACGGCACATCTGCCTAACCTAAAATGTTAATACAAGGAGGTTAAGTCTTTGGTTTATGAGCTATTTTGATGTTAAGTAAGTTGACGAACGCACCACACACGTTCCATAGTGAACATGAGCTGCCAAGGCTAGAGCAGAGACGAAGTACATGGTCTTCACATTATAGCTGGGCAAGATGACGGAGAAAACTGCCGCTCCAGCCACCAGGAGCAGTATCCAGGGTAGTATCTCGCATCTGGTGTTACTCATTTGGGACACTATCAGTCGACACTGTCGTTCCATGAAATGAAAATAGAGTTTAAGGTGATTGTAACCCGTTGAAACATTTCATTGTTGTCAGTAAAAAAAGATTCTTCAAACTACCTATGTTAAGGCCTTTTATACGTATGTTGATATGATGAAAACTTACGCATATATTGGAGAATACTGTTCCAATCGCAAAGTAGATTATCCTTGGATCCTTTTCCAAAACATTGTTTGGTGAATGCGTGACCCAGACTGTGGCGATTGTGAAGAGTACTAACAAAGGCACTAAAGGCCTCACGGCCTCTGGTAGCGTTCTGTTTTTACCTGTCTTATCTCGGTATGACCTGAAGAAACGAAACATTGCATCAAATCGCTGTATGTGTAATGAGTATCGAAGAGCTTCATCGAATCGAATTCTCCCTCTCACTTGTATATGTTCCACAGTACAACTGGCAAATTGGATACGATGGCACTGACGTAGAGTAACATCTCGAACATGATACCCGCTGAAATTCCACCTGGCAATTCGAACTTCCAAGCTTCGTGTCCGCCGATGCTTGTCAGAACAAAGACTAGAATCGTTGCCTGAAATTTATATAAATATGATTAATTGGTTAATAGGAATCAAATGTAGAATTACATTAATGGAAAGAATTTACTAGCATCGATGCATCGTAGCCCCAAGGGAGAAATAAAACACCAGTGTTGTACTTTTCCCAATGGCTGAGATAAAAATTGACAAAAACATTCCACAGTATGAAGTACATTCGTAGAGGTGATACACTGTGATCCGTCCTTCCGAAGACAGAATACATGCAGACCGTAATTAACATTGCTGTCCAGCTGTCGAGACCATGATCAAATAATTCACCTAACGGGCCTGATGTTTGCGTACGTCTCGCTTGTTTACCATCGATGCCGTCTGAAATTAAACATCCCATTAAATGTTCCCATTAAATCATGTGATTGCTAGCATTGGGGGAATAAACATTATTTCGACCAACCTAAGGTATATGCCATAAATATGAAGAAAGCAGCTAATGCAAAAACCCATCTGGGTATCGGTGGGTACTCTGGATGATCGTCACTAGACGCATAGAAGTAGCGATCATAACTTGCAAACATTAGAAAATTCACCACAGTAAATAGGAATCCCAGAAATGTCAACAAATTAGGGGCAACCCATTTTGGACAATACTGAAAGAAATAAACCCTTGTAACGATTCGAACATTCCTACATTAAAAGCAATGTACTTACCTGAACGACTTTATTCCAAAATGGGTGCATAACATAAATGCTGAGGGGACTTGTATCCAGCGAACTATACTGTAAACAAATAGAGGAATTTGATTAACATTACATGTCTATAATATACACACCTAGTATATAAAAATAAAACCACAGAATGCGCTTTCTAACCGAAACTAAACTATCAAGCTTCACGACATGTCGAAATCACTCAACGCCTAAGAATATGCAAAGAGGATCCTTACTTCGAAATATAACAGGTGTGTCAACAATATCGATTGTCTTCGTCGCTAACAATGGCATGCAATTAAGTCATTAGCTTAGATATGAAGACACTCGCCTTTATCGTATGATAATTTAATCTCCTACTTGACAACCGAGCCTCCTCAATAAAACGACTCGCCTCATGAAAATCTAACTTCCGACGTTGTACCGGACTCTCTATCGACTAATAGATTCTAAACAAAATGTTTATAAATACCCATCGCTCATAACAGTGAGTTAATTTATTGTCAACTTATGAAAATACTTCTCCCATCCTTCGATACAATATTTTAATGTCAAAGCGCCTTTCATTACTATGCAGAAAATCTGCATTGAAGTTAACCTCCTAACAAGAAACTGGAAGGCCTTGAGAAATGATGATACTACCTTGTAATTTTCGAAGCCTGTGAGATGCTCCTGCGTCAAATACATTATCTCCAAATTACACTTCATCTTGCAGCTAGGACTTTCAACGGACTAATCGCTACTCGCTAATAAAAGCTCCGCTTTCCGCGGAAGCTCAGTCTCGTTCTCGTCGCTCGATCACATGGAGGTTATATGTTTAATTTAATTGATTGGAGCGCCTTGCCGGTTGACGTTCGGAGATTGTCTCGGAAAATTTTTCGTGTGCTAAAAAAAGAACTATATCAGTATTCTACAGCAGATTTTGCAGCGCCTCTTGCTCATTTTCCGAGCACGCGATCACACACGCAACCGCAGCGACCGCAAGATCCACGTGAATGACTAAACCAGACTAATGAGAGACTACGAGATCGCTACGACGTAACGCCAATGTTTCTTTGGAGCCCGCCCGGCCCCCGCGAGACTGCGGACGCGACACCGCGTGCTAATTGCTGATTATAATCGCGATTCCTTGACTTTTCGACGCATGCGCCCCCTTATGGCTGATCTGCAATCTGCCTTTACATCTATGTCCGCTTAAAGCGGCCAATCGGAAACGCGCTTTTAAAAGTATTACGTATTTTTGACGAGGCGCTCACTTCTCGCACTTTCATCTCACGTGGGTTTACTCGTCGAATTACGTATTCGCTATATGAAAGAACGAGATCACTAGCACCTCTAGTAATATTAAATAAAGGTATATACCTTGGTAGGTATATGTCCCTAAAACGTGTAGAATCTAACCTCAAATCTGGCAAACTTGATCACCGAAGATTAAGTTAGGTTATGCGCGCGAAGTTCCGTCTTCCATCAACGTGGTGCGTTCAGTGACGTGAAAGCTACTTTATTCATGAATAATTATGTAAAAAAAGAAAAACGGCTTTGAAAAATACTTGGTGCTGTTAATTAGTATTTATTTCGTAGCCGAAGCATATAAGAATGGTTGTGAAGAAGATGCGTGGGCATACGCTGGGGAAATCGAAGCACGCACGGCAGATTTCGAAGCATAAAATGAACAAGAGAGAGGTTGTATCGGTTGTATCAAACAATCCAAAGAACCAGAAAGCTGCGATTATTGCGCAGGAAATTAAGTATGCAAGGCTTTTAGCGGGGAATGATAAAAAAGTTAGAGACAAAGTATTGAAGAATCTGAAGAAATGGCTTTCGGCACGCTCTTCGAGTTCCTTTCGTAAGTTTTTTTCTGTTCCTTCGGAGTACATTATCGTATCAAATTTCACCACAGCGGTGATATCCGAACTGTCCGCATTTGCTTTGATTCATATTCTAACAGTTCCTTACGTGCAAACAGCTCTAATTAATGGAAAGCGTATTTTGATTTCAGCATTCACGGAAACTGATTTTATGAGATTATGGAAAGGTCTTTTCTATTGTATGTGGATGTCGGATAAGCCGTTGATCCAGGAGGAGCTAGCGGAGTCCCTCAGTGGACTTATACATTGTTTTAATACGATTGAGACGGCGTTATTATATACCGAATGTACATTGAAAACTCTTGCCACGGAATGGTTTGGCATTGATCGATACAGGCTTGACAAATTTGAAATGGCAAGTTTTTTGCGATTCTTTGCAAAACATGATGATGAGAAATCGCTGATACATGCCAGTACGTTAAAGAACATGTTTATCTTAACCATCCATTCAATTTACAGTTAGTTCGAAGAGTCATCCGACAATCCTTCGTATTCTGCAAGAAGCAATCATGGAGCAAAGAGTGCGTCAAAGGATTTGCAAAGGTTATCGAGAGACTTATTCAAAATCCTAAGTTTGCATTAGGATTTAATTTTCACCTTTCTGATCTGTATCTAGAAGAGCTGTCCAAGGTAGTGTTGAAACAAATATTGAAATTCTTGCATGACGACAAGTATTGTCTATTAAACATGAACTAACAGACCTTCGTTGCCTAGATTTCTCATGGGCAGATATCGACAGACACCGTTACGGAATTAATTAGACCATTTGCAATTCAATTAGCCAGTGTGGATGATGACCGACAAATCGCTCACATTACTAGACACATATTTAGACATTTAATCTTCCAGTCGGATGTAGGCATGGACTATTTAGAGAAATTCGAAGCTTGGAAAAATGTAAGTCAGCCTTGATACTTTTAGAACATAAAATATCTCCACCTCCAGTATAAACATGTGAATTTTTCATGGTTCCGTTTCACACATGACATCAACAGGCAGGCTTTCCTGAAGGAAATATTGATGCGATCCAGAAATGTGAAATCTCCGATGAAGACACGGATAGTGAAAGAGCAGATGGAAATGATTCAATTCAAAAGATTGAAACAAAACCCTTAGATCCAAGAGCAGGACGAGTCGATGTGGAGCTGCCTCAAATTCCTTTCGATGCGGAAGCCATTGCGAGGGTGCTCTTGGAATACAAATTTCGTCCGTCATCGACAACAAAATCTAGGAAACAAATTGTTAAGCTTTCTAACGAGTAAGTGATTCTTACATAACTTTCACCAACGATTTTACTTCTCGGATACATATAGGCCGACTCTTTCATATCACCTTAAATGATCTATGTATTTATTTAACTTGGTTTCTAAATAGTACCCTGCAATTTTGCTGTCGTAGATTCACTGAAGTTTCCAAAGGGATCATGCCATTAGGAATGAAGGAGTTACGAATCCCAAAGAGCCGAAAAGCTGACACCAACCCAAAAAAAGCTGCGCTGCGCCTGCTGAAGTTCGATGATGAGATTTACATCGATGCCGGTAGATCGAAACGCAGAAAAAGAACGGACAGCGAAACTTCGGAAACTGAAGTTTCTGATCTCTTAGAAGAGTCAAGAGAACAAGGAAAACCAAAAAAAAATAGTAAAAAGGATTCCAAGCCACAGCTGAATGGTGAAACTCATTCTACGGATGAGAATGTGAATTCTGAATGTGAATCAATAGACGAGTTTGCAATAAATACAGGAAAGAAAGTGAAGAGGAAGAGAAAACAGAACGCAGGGAACGATGGTGGTGAAAACTGTAAATCACACTCTGAGGAGAAGGAAAGTGATAAATCCAACTCGGAAGACCCTTCAATTGGTAAGGAAGATAGTGAAAAAAATGGTATCTCAGAAATTCAAACACAACCTTCCTGTCTGAAAGGTAAAGTTAAAAAGGCGAAATTGATGAAAGGTAACGTCATAGGTAAATCATACTGTCGAATAAATGAAGACGATGATTCTGTCGTGGGAAAGGACGATACCATAAAAAGTTGTGCCATAAAATCCCAGAAATTGCAGACTTATCTGCTTGCAAAGGGAAAGATTAGCAAGCTGAAGTCGAAGAAATCAAGAGCCAAGATTGATTTCACGAGAGCTGAAATCCGGGAAGGGATTCTTAACTTCAAGAATTTCGTGACACCTCGGAAGAATAAATTAAAAAAGAGTAGTCCCATCGGAAAGTGGGATGTCTCCGACACCGAAGGGCCAACCATATCAATTTCTCTGTCGAAGAAAAAACATATAACAGTTAGTGATAACATGGCTTCTAATGTGACAAATAGCGACAGCGGAAAGCTTCAATCCACCATTTCAGCCACCGATAAGGCTTCATTAGCCAAGATACCATGGTTGATGCCGGTCTTGACAAAATTAGAAGACGATCAAAAGCTGAACTCAGCGAACAAAGTAGGAGTGACATCCTCTCCTAGTTCAAAGAAGCGAGTGAAAATAGCACTGCAGCGGAACACTGCACAACATACTTCCGAGTACATTCAACAGATCCGTCAAAGTCCAGCGATCCCTTTCGATGCCAACCGAAAACCTCCTGCAGGAGTCCTGAAACCAAGTCCACTGTCAAGCCCTGTCAATCCTTTCTACCGAGGGTTTATCAATTGACAGCACCCATATACAGTGACCTGAAAAAGCTCAACCCTTGCGTCAGTGATAAATAAAACAATGGATTCTTTGTTAAACTTCTACGTGTCTGTAATTGTATATACTTATATATGTATATATATACCCATATATGTGTATACATATGCTTCTATCTCTCAAGTCTCCACTAAACGTCTGTATGTACAGTGTATACATACGTGTTTCCTTTGCACACAACGCAGTGCCAACATTAACTTCACGTTACCACTATACCTATGACACAGACATTTGGATCGCGTATAATTGTCACAGGGTCTGCCCTCATCGAAGCTTGACTCGTCAACCCTGAAGGTTCGGAATGCCATTTCACATCTTTAGTAGAATCTTTAATACATTTTTCTCTGATTCATTAATTTTTTTTAATAAATCAAGATGGAAAAAAGATTAATGAAAAATTTGTGGAATTGCATGTTAAGAAGAAAAGAATTGTGTGGAGTGACAAGAAGATTTGATGGTGAAACATTCCGTGCCTCTGTAGGGTACAAGCAATTCGTTTGACTCTTATATCCTCTATAAATATGAACTTGTACACACAGGATGAATCGCTGAGACTACAAGTAAACTTACGTTCCTCGTTCACCGACTAATTGACTTCAGTCTTAGTATTTTGTAAGGTTATCTCTACGTCACTCATGTATGTCGGTTTAACAATGACTAGGACATTTCTAACGATTATATTTGACTAGACACAAGACTACACTTTCGCGATCAGAAATCACTTAAGGCCAATTTTTCGGATATCGGCGAGAAATTGGTCGAATTTTTCTTAACAAAATTACTTTTTGACCAACAGTGTAGGGGTTAGGAATTCCCATTTGGACTCTTATCACTTAAATGCACGATTATAATCAATCGTGAGGTATTTTAATACAAAAGCGTATTATCGATTAATCATTGGATTTAAAAAAAAAGTACTGTTCACGTTTTTGACACTAAGTAAACTAAAGAAAAAGTGGCCTTAAGGTACAGCGAATGCTACCAACAGGACATAACGGTAAATCTGTTAAAAGACACAAAGGACACCTTTTACCGTATTTTACGTACAATGCTCTTAACACTAATGCTTGTCTTACTCGACAAACTCAAAATACTGAAACTGCAGACATTGGAAGAGAAAACAAATTTACAATCTTTGTTACGCTCATAGATCGACGGAAGAGAGTAAAGACATGAAACCATCTGCTCAATTAATGATGCCGAGGCAAAAAAAAATACCACAGTCATTTACATAAATACAAAGCGATGTAGAATTAACTCCTTTAAAGCAGTCGCAGAAAACTTGAATCTGTCGAGTGGGACGAGCCATCGAGTTCATCGAGCAGAATTCTTTCTTTGGCACGTGAATTCACTTTCCTTAAACTAACCGCAGGTGAAGTTCCTTAATGTCTACGGAAAAATAGACGCCGTTTATCCGAGCTTTGGAAGTTTCCACAATCTAGCGATTGAACTCACAAAACCTCGGAGGGAAAAAAAACTCTCCGAAGGAGCCCTACTTTATACAATATATATATACGCGACACGCAACGCAACGTGTATATGCTAATACAATAAAACATACACTCGGTGCGTACCGCGTTTAATTACATACAGAGTTACAATACGCCAAATGAACCGATCGGGCAGAAATCTTAAGATGAAGTGAAACACGTCGAGGAAAGTTTTCATCAAAGTTTCGATGGTTCGATGCAATACCCTTAAAAAAAAGTGTCTTATTCAAGTCGACTGATCTAAGGGGCGTTTCACTTCACCTTAACCTTATGTGAGAAGAAAGGGGTACTTCGCGCTTAACCTAAAAACACTTTTTTTTTCGTATACATAGAGAGTGGGCAAGAACTTCCAGCAGGTGATGGTTTTAAAAAGACCTTTCACAAAAGGTCTTGAAAAATAAAAACGCCCGAGGACAGGAATTTTGAGCTAACGGGCGCTTTTGGAAGATTTTGCACGGCGATCTAACTTCTAAGGACCTTGGGACGGGGTTTTCGGTTTCAGGTGTCTTCTTTACATTAAATACGACTTCTGTAACACACGTCACCGCCGTTTCCTTCTTTTTTTCTCGTGTTTTATGGTTTACATTTAAGAATTATTCATCTATTCAACAATTACCAGGTCTTGTTTGCACCGAAAGTCTCTTCGGTATCGTTAGCTCTCTACGAAAGAATTTCAGACAAGATTACTTGATTAATTCTGGTGGATTCAATTCCTTCTTTAAATTCTTTTTCTTCATTAAACTAAGCTTAATACTTGTCAGGCTATTTCAGATAATGGTCTCCATGAGGGAATGTTTTACCCCTACCGAAGTAATTCGTCATTGAGGTTAGAAAAGGGTTCGTAAAGTCAAGTATCAAATTGGAGGTACTCCGAGAAAATATGTTACATCATTTACCAACAGTCATCGACTAAACTGTTTGAATTCAATTCCTTGTCAGAATTAAAAACGGCTGAAAATGATCATTACTTTGACTCTACCTTCGCAGTGGGGGAAGGACTATCTTCTTTTAAAAAAGTTTCAGATAAAACTGCGGAGATGGTTCCTTCGGAGTGCAGTCAAAAAGTGCTACGTAGAAACTATTGTGCAGTAAAGTACTGCGAGAAACAAGTAATACAGGAATATCTTCAAAAGTTGTACACTGCAAGATCGGTTTACACAATAACATGGGTATCTGCCATCGTTTCTGAACGTTGACTCGAGGGGAAGAAGGAAACAACGTTTGTCCAGTTACACGTAGTGATATCACAGTAAGGGTACGAAAGCTATACCGTACGTAAAGGTTCCCTCAAACGCAGCAAGTCAATGGAGCTTGGCTCGAATTGCATGAGTTTTCCACCGCCAGAACCAGCCCATCTCGAGCTGGTTAAACCCCGTGCTGAAGAGAGACAACCCAATGAAGAAGATGGAATGTGCCAGGGCCCAGAGTTGGAAAATAGGTGACACGATCAGAAGAAGTACCATTGCTCCTGAAAATATTTATTACATTATTCTATGAACAATAACGGGTGATGTTGAGAAACTCTGTAAAACGTGTACGTACCAGTGAGCACGCTCCAAAAAACGAAAGCCACAATCAGCGATGTCGTTCTGACCATCGGCCATGCCTTCGCAGAGAGAACCTTCTTCTTGGCAAACTCCTCCAAGGAGCTTTCCTTCCTGGACCATCTCTCATTTAACCATATTCGCAGCTGCGAGTCATCTCGAGGAAGATCCTCCGAAGGGATTCGTTTGATGTGGAAGTGCACCTCATTTGGAAGGTTACCTTTGACAAGGTCAGCCTCCGACTGTGGTACGTTGTCAGGATAGGCTATCGTCAGATCATACACAGCATCGAGGTAGCTGGATTTTTGCAAGTAGCTGGCCAAGTAGGTGAATCCTGTGGTCTTGGGATGCAGAATGTAACTGTAGGGTGACAAGCCGTGCTCCTGAGCATACCTGTCAGATTTGGCTTTGCTCAACGGAGTCAAGTCAGTTCCTTCGGGGAAGATCAGCAGCTGAGTTCGACTGCGAAGGGCTATAAGGTAGTCGAGTATCTTAGCTAGCCGGCCTTGGTCCTCTTCCCAGCGACGAGTTATGTAAAGAAACCCGTTCATTTGCATTATCCATCCTGGAAATCGAAGTCACCGATGAAGATCGACAGGCACATTTCTTCGATCATCAGAAAACTTCGTTGAGTTTCACATGAAAGAAATATACAAGCAGTTGGCCACTTGGTAGAAAATGTGAATAACCATTACCAGGCCCAGGAACATGGCGGATGGGATCCTTCAGGATAAATTTCAGTTTATGAGCCACGACGTTAGGTAGACACGCTTGGTACATGGCGGCCCAGAGGAAGTTCCAGTCCACCCTGGTCCGGTGGTTCATCACGAGGATTGCAGATTCCTGAGGTAGAATGTGGTCCCCTGACACCACCACCTTTACGCCGAATATATCCAGAAGAGCCTGTCGTAATCACATCAGAGAAAGATTTGCATATATAATATACAGTGCTACATCCTGACATAGGTAACAACAATCAGAATCGGGAAAATTAAAAACAAATTCCTGATCACAAATGATAGAAACTCTTTATATACTTACGGTGGGATAGAGCTCCCAGCATGAGAAAAGGAGGTCCCCGCATTTTCGAAACCAGGGAGGACTGACCAGCAAAAGTGGAAGGAGCGGACAAGCGATGAACAAAAAGCCCGCCACTATACTGCCATACCAGAGAGAGCAGTACAGTAGGCCGCATAAAAGTCCGCGCATCACAGTTCGGGTGCACTCCTGTCGAAACAAAATCTAATGTCAATACGAAAATTAATGCAGAAGTCAGTACAGTTGACTGAATAAAAGTTCATAGCCTAGTTTATATAGTAAATACGCATATTATACGTTTAATACACGCCACACTTCAAGCCCAAATATCGGCACGACTTTACCCGCCCGTGGATGTTGGCAATGTTTTAATAAGGACATGCCAAAAATACTTGATCGCATCCCGGGGTAGGCAGGTGCGCGAGAAACAAGAAATTTGCGTGCATGCCATCCCGCCAGGAAATTCGTACGTCTAGATCTTTCCGCTACTCCTCCTGAATTTTTCATGAAAAATTTGTTTATTTATCGTACACTAGAACCAGCACTGCGTGGTCGGTGAATGTTTTCGACGTTTTCAGCGTTACCACCAAAAAGGGCATAGACGAATTTTAATTTATCGACGTCGATTAAATTTCTCACCGCCTTTCATATCACCTTAACCCTCTATAGACCCGTGCAACCTTCAGGTCACATATTAAATGAAAAATTTTTTTTTCATTCGCATATATAGATTTCTAATTGCTGATTTTTCGTTCCCCCAATTTTTTTTTATTTAAAACAAAAATTCGGCCCATAGAGGGTTAATATGTAGGGGTCGTGCCGTAAGAGTTTGAGGTTAGGTACCTGTCTATCCGCGAGCGCGAATATTCAAAATCGCGTTACCACCAAAAAGGGTATAGACGGATTTTAATTTATCGAGGTCGATTGAATTTCTCACCGTCTTTCATATCACCTTAATATGTACGGGTTTGAGGTTAGGTACCTATGTATCCGAAAGCGCGAATATTCAAAATGGCGTTACCACCAAAAAGGGCATAGACGGACTTTAATTTATCAACGTCGATTAAATTTCTCACCGCCTTTCATATCACCTTAATATGTACGGGTCGTGCCGTAAGAGTTTGAGGTTAGGTACCTGTCTATCCGCGAGCAAGAAAGCGAAGACGGCGCGGCTCCTTCATAGTGCAGAGCAGACTGAAGAACGTTCTTGGTGGCTTCCCTCCGATTATACAGCGAGCGATCTACGGAGACTCGCCGGGGCTTCTCTGAGCCGGTGGCCGACGACACGCAAGGTCGCACGGCTGCGCTGCAGCGTTGCAGGCCGCTGTACTCGGCGGACCCCAGAAGTGAATTCGGGTTTTCCTTTTAACCACCCACTGCAAAACATCAAGGAGAAGCGTTAAGGTGACATGAAAGGGTCATTCTGTATACATAAGACGTCAAAATATTTAGAGAGCTTTTCACCAAACTAGGTGCGCCGAATCATTTGGAAATCCACCACGTGATTAAGGGGATGCGAAAGCTCAACCGTTCGTAAAACTTTACCACGAACTGGATGTCTCAAATCGTTTCATACTTTAAAACGTGAATATGGAGACCCTAAGGTAGGTCCTTAAACTCCCGAAATTTCACTTTTATATAATATTTTTAAAATACCTATTAACAAATTTGAAAAGAATTAAAATTTCATGAGTTTCAGGACCTTCCTTATAGTCTCCCTATTCACGTTCTAGAGTTTCTAACTATTCGGTAAATCCAGGTGGGAGAAAAGTTTTATAAACAAAACCTCTGCACTACGCGACTTGCAAGAAATTCCTGAAATTCCTAAAATTCGCAGAATTCGCAAAATTCCTACACTCATCATAAATTCACGGGAAAAAATACATAATCACTCACTCGAGGTAACACTGGACCACGCGAAGTCACGTAGGCTGATTCGAGAGCGTGACGTCGCGCGTCCACGTTGAAGAGCGACAGAAAATGGAGAGATAATTGTAGAATATCGAGTAAAGTGTCGGAAAATCCCGTATTATCTTCTGGTCGTCCGGGGCCAGCCGACACCCCTCGCGGCTGCACACGCGAGCCACTAAGCGCTCATCTCGCGAGGACCAGGATGCTGTGCTGGACCGTTTATTGATCCGGCGATACCAAGCTGCACGCCGAATGCCCCGGTCGATTGGTCCATGTGCTCCTGCCACGGCTGCACCTTTCCTCCCGTATTTCACCCTTCTTTTTCCTCCAATTTCATCCTGACTTGTTGCCCGGAGAAAAAAAAACAACAAATAAATCTGTTAAACTTACAAGGAAGGTCGATCCCTCCGACTTCGTTTTTTTTATAATACGTTATAGTAGGCTAAAAACTAAGCGACACGTATTTTTTTTTTTTTTCACTTGAGCAAACGTGCGACACAGTTTGAAGAATACTCCAACGTGAAATTATTATACGCTTTTAGTTTAGCATTAAATATTTTTAGTATACCGATAAGATACTTTTTAACAAATTAGACTGTTTCCCCCTTTTTTTTTCTATTATTTAGTGATCCCAGGAAAAAATTTACTATACGTCTTATAAGTGTTCTTCGATGAACATTTTCCCTTACGGTGGTAACGAAACATTTAATATTTTGTAAATTGACGAAGATAGAGTGACGAGATAAAAATCATTAAGGGTTCTAAGTAATAAGTTACAAAGCCCACGTAGCACGTATATTAACGATCGTGTCATACAAAATGGAATAATACGCAATATGATCCACTATACGTCCACTCCGAAACAAGGGTGACGACCAGACGCGTAGTCAATTCTTTAAAAGCGAGACAAAAAAAAATAACATTTACCGACCCCGGACGAATTAAAGACGCCATATCTCATAAGTCGTACATACAATTATGCCCTCACAGGGTACGAGAATTTCTATCTACTTGCACCTAATTATTCCCCTACGTACATCGATGTCGTGGCGTTCAGGAAAGTCGAGATATAAAATTAACAAATCTAATTCTGCAAAGAGAAGATTAATAAGTGAGTCATTACGGAGCCTCGACATGGAAGGTATACGAATTTTGAGTTAACAATGATTGGACAGTTTACAAGTTTACATTTACGAAGGCTCCCCCCTTCGGTGTACAGTTGGGGACACTAATCTCGCTAGTCTGAAATACACCATAGTTACGTTCAATAGTTGCGAACTAGACATCAGTTGTAGATTCTTCAAGATGAAGCACCTCGACAGAAACGCAGCGATTATATCCCTAACGATTATTAACATTTTGCAACGGAGTCCTGAGAGTTCAGAGAGTTCCCTCGATGTGTTCCAAGGGACGATTATTTATTTTTATCTATTCACTTTTATGTTTCCTTCACTGTTGGATACCACGAGTGTCCGAGAACGAGGATTTCCCTGCGCGCAGTACAGGAAAGTGGAATAGGTCTTGAAGTGACGATGCCTTCGTCTCCCAGCTAGAGGTGCTTCTAAAGAAGCATCCCAGCTTCTGATTGTATAGCCTTATCCTCTTTCGTTAAGGCAGGGAGACTGCAGAGTTTTTTCAGCAATTCAATTGCATCGGAGGGTTGATTTATTGCCATATAGGCCTTTCCTAGGAAAAGCATGTTCTCCAGATGTGGCTGCGTAGCCAGCTCCTCAGCTTTTTTGAAGTGATCGATGGCTTCTTCGTACGTAGCACTAGGAGGCTCTGCGAACAAGGCTGCAGCGACCTGGAAAAGTAATGAATGCGATAACATGAGCTGGTTTCTCATAATGTATTACTAATTATAAGACATTCCCTAAATTCCTGTAGAACCGTTTGACAGCTTCATTGGTTACAGGAAAATGCGAAAGTATTATATTCTTCTTTAAGAGTCTATTAACATTTCCAAGAATTTAGCAGCAGATTTACCTTCCTTTTAAACCATGAAAGGTCGGCCACTTCGAACTTAAACCTTCCCAACATATGATGAAGCAATGCATCCGTAGGATTCAACTCCAAAGCTTTTGATACGTACTCCTTGAAGCGATATCCAGCCTCAATTTGGTCTTTTATAGGAAGTATCTTGGCGTGAGATCCCACAAGGATGGCATACCACTTGATCAAATCCGCGTTACGCGTGTCAAGCATCTTCTCACATGCTTTGAGACCTACGGCAAAATTACGATTGACATCAACAATTTGAAATATGAGCTTGAGGTTAGGAAATATGCTATCATGAAATAGCTTGAAGAGCTTGCACTTCCATATAAACATAACCCTATATTTCGTTGTTAAATTAGTCAATAGTAGTGTTTTTAAATTCTAAAAAGTTTAATATTTTTAATAAATGAAATTGTGGTGATTTAACAATTAATGGTTAAACAATACCTGCCAGGATGTAGACCTCTGTCAGTTCGGCATCTTCAGTGTTATTCGAACAGATATAATAAAGTTTTGCAATTCTCCATGCAATTTCTGCATTATCGGGATGGGAAAGAGCTATTTCTTGCAGCTGCGAATGGACATCCTTTAGATAGCTTTCTTTATCCTCGTGCTCGTCCTCCATTTTGACAAGCAACGTACACAATTCACTTATTGCTTCGGAGGCCCTGTATCACTAAAAATATACTATCATCCTTTAACACGGAATATCTATGGTAAACAATACACCAAATAGATAACAATATGTAACATTGCATTCAAAAAATGTGTACAACACAAACTGAAGCAAACAAAAGAAAAGATTTCACATAGCGGGAGCTTTCAATAGTAATATTTGTTAAACCTTTTTCTTATCGTTATTTTGATGACTGTTTAGTAGTACTGCTGAACATAGTAAGATATAAACAATAGATGGTGTTCCTTAACCCTAGTACTTAGAGAGAATGTTACTAACCGACTGTCACTGTCCCCCGCACTCTCTTCAACATCAGAAAAATCAAAGAACTCGTCATCATTGAAATCGGTTCCTGCGATGGAAGATCCATCGACGTCAACTTCATTATCCGCACCTGTGTATGTGGCTTCCTCGTTCGAGACTTGTTTACGAGATCTCCGTTTCTTGCCATGCAGTTGACTTTGTTGCCTAATAGATCATTAACGTTACAAAAATTCATTTAAATGTAAATTCAATTTAAACTAACAATTATATACCGTTACCTTAACAATTTCAAGTCCTCCTCCAACGCTATAATTTTTTGGTTCATAACAGCTAAATCCTGTCTAACTCCGACTCGTTGATTATGTTTTACAACTTTCTGATAGAGCAGCATACTAACGGCTCCGATAACACCAATTGCTGCGCCAATGGCAGCAACCGTTAAAGACGAATGATGTACGTTATTCATCCTTCTGTGGATAAATGACAGGCAAAAGTTCCAGTTATTAAAATCCAAATGCATAAAGACAGGCACAGCATTCAATAAACAACAACAAATATCTGCATTTCATACCTTTTTTGTACTTATTGAATTTGAAGCTGGTGAGATACAAGTACACAACATTTACTATATACTCAATCTCTCGGTCACTTAGTATTGCTGTCTCTTTTCCGCTTCCATGCCATCGCTCAGATCCGCATGTCCGTAATCTGATGAGACGTTAATTTATAACCTCAAAAATCTGAAAAGGAATCCGTGTTAAAACATGGAGAATATGGAGAAATCGAAATCGCTACTTCCGGGTCACCACGAGCCGGCTTGACTTTTCGACCTTTGAGCAACCAAGGACTGAAATGGACTGAAAGAACTTTGAGCAGTGGAAAAAAATATGTCAGCCCACCTTTGAATATTCGGTACTGAGTCGCACTAAACCGTTTTAACGCTGCAAAAACGCCGGGAAGCGGAGAAACGTTCGATGGAAACGTCAGGGTGGAAAAGGGAAAGCGTCAGGGACGACATGCACTTACGGTTAACTCGACACCTAACCCTAAACCAACGATTGCTTTCATGAGATCGGAAAGCGGAAGAAAGCGGGAAACCCAAAGCCACAGCCAAAGAGTATATGTAATTAAGATGGGCGACGCACGTTGAATGCGTCGACAAGGTTATTGCCAGCGATTAAAATATTACATCACTAGAAATGATGCAACAACCAGAGCGTTTATTACGTATTTTTGACGAGAGCGCTCACTTCTCGCATTTTCACCTCACGTGGGTTTATTCGCCGAAATACGTATTCGCTATATGAACGAACAAGATCACTAGCACTTCCGGCCTAGTAATATTGCAAATAAAGGTACATACCTTGCAAATCTATATTATTTTCTTACACATGCAGATTAAAATCTGAAATTTATAAAATGGATGTCAGGAATGAGAGCCAAAGCCTGTCGTATCAACAATCGTTTGTATTTAAACTACAAAGTAAAGAAAGGCTTCCCAACGCATTACAGCATTACTTGCAAATGTTTCTCAACCGTTACTTCCATTTTAGGTTATAAAACGGAGATGGAGCAGTCGCAACTTAACGTAACACGCTAAGATGCGGAAACTTTCGCATTCCTGTGAGCCTTTATTTTTCGGCGCCCTCTTCATTACGACTTAACCTTAAATAAATCCGCCATTGCGCCAATGGAGGAATAAGGTATTTCCGGATCGTGTTCCGTCCTGAGACGCGTTAAATGGCTTCTGATTAATAATCGCATGTATTTACAATCTATGTAAGCGATTAGTAAATGGCCATGTCGGCTCGAACCTCGATCTACGTCATCTAGGTTAAGAAAAAGACTCCCGTGACGGCGAAACGCGGCCTGAAACCACTCGCGCGTTAATTTAATCTATTATCTCGTTATTGTCAAGCTATTCTGGAAAAGATGCGAAACGAGTCAGTCGAATCGCAGAAGCGCCCTCTACCAAGTGTTCCAACATGGCGGCATGCTCCCACCGGCTATGTTCTAGCATTGCTCAAAATGCTTTAAAAGCTCTGTCGAAAAACGCGACACCCGCAGAGGTCGCATAAAAAGTGAGAATTTGCGAATACGTAGCCGGAATTCAATTTTAAGGGTAAATACGGACGTAGAGAGCGAATCTGTAAGTCGGTGACATTAGACTCTCATTCTTGATGGCCCTACGATTCCAGAAACCTCCGCATCGCCCTAACTCAGTGGTCCCTAACCTTTTCGAAGCCACGGAACACCTTCGATTACAGAGAAAGGCTTCTCGTAATACCAAAACGTCACTAGCCTTCAAACATCGGAATTATGTAAAAATAGATACGTCTACGTAAAGATGTGCACAGAACAGGTTAAGAACCACTGCCCTAATTTATTTCCGGCTAATAACAGCTGGAAATGGATTTCAAATCTCCGAATATTTCCCCAAGCGAGATTTATCATTAATCGATAAAGAGAGATACGGATCGTAGTAAAGATTCGCAGATTGTGACATATATTGCGGATTGTATTAGAAAACTGTAATTAGTCGGCGAGAAGATTATCGAGCATTGTGGATTCTATCTTCTTAGTCGTTCGACGGATTTGAAAGTGAACGAAAGGTTACTTAACCTCCCGATAGAGAAATCGAGAGATTTGCGAGATTTGTTAACTTCATGCCGGGAATTAACATTCTCTAGAGATTTTAGTACCGACGTGGACGAACTTCCCCGAATGGTTGCCAGATGCCACTTTTCTTTTTTTCAAGATGGCGGCTCGGCGGGGAAGAACCGAGTTTACGTTTTAACCGCAGTTTTCTTTGTACGTCAAGTACAATTGAACATTAATGCTATATCGAGCGTATTTCTACGTATGTACAATTGAAGATAGTGGTTAACTCGATATGTCGGACGTGTACACTCATTACGTGAAGTAAAACACAAGAGAACGGTACAATCTGCTCAACCTGCGTCAGAGACTATTTTACAACTCGATGGATAAGAGAACGTCTATTGGAGATCAAAGTACCTAGACAGTTTTAATAATTCACCTGTTATAAACATTTGGTAAGTATTATTTCCAGGCATAATGTATCCGTTAAAGGTAACAATAATAGCGGGACATTTCTGTATAACGAAACTAATGTAAATTTCTTAGAATTATTTAACAGGATTGTCAAAATTGCTTAGAAACAGTTGCAAGGAATTACTGAGCGTTTGACTATCTGGGTACTTTTTGTATCTCCGGGCTATCGATTGACGGGTAAAGTATCATACAGTATTTGAGTTCACGGTATTCGCATCTCAAACTGGTTGAAGATTCTGAAAAATTCGTTGCATTGAATCATTATAAATGTACAGATATAAAATGGTCTACCCTGATCGACTGATATTCAAACGGCACGAACACTCCAAGGTGGCGCAGAATATACTTGGGGCCTATTATAGTTTGGCCCGTACTCGTTTCTGTTCCATTAATGCTAAAGGTTCTGATAACGATCATTATTGTGTTATCGACAGCCTGCGTAGACAGTCATTGATTATCGAAGAATTCTTAATGCAATAATAATTGGGGGCGATAATTTAATAAGTTACTCAAAAATGTCTTCGACTATTTTCAAGTGTTTCCAGAGCTTGCAGTCGATCTGCAATGGAATGTAACTTATCGACTTGAATTCAATGACTTCGTAACATTTTATTAAATGTGGAATTTGTACCGATATTTATTTTTAAGACTAACAATTTTGGCATCGCATTGATCTAGAGTGAATTCTTTCTTTGGAGACAAATTAAAGGCAGAACACTGCGGAGAAGGCCAGATTATTGAGCTTCGAGGCTGACGGTTGTGAATTCTTGCACTTCTCATAAGTGTGTGCGTTAATTAATTTTGGTGGTTCTCGGTCAACGAGAATTTCATTACTATCATGTTTATCACAGAGATACAACAAACTAAAATGTCACATTTTTGGAGAAGTCGAAGGGTCTTTTCCAAATAAAACAGCGAAGAAATAAGTTGTAAGGTATCTCATGTAAAAGTTAAAACTTACAGGTTCCAAAGCAATGGTTTAATTAAAGTGAATACTAAAAAGTACGGGACGTTAGCTTGTGAACTATCAAAAGTTAAATAAAGTATTAAAATAAAACATTAACATGAACTTTGGACACATTCTACGATCTCCTCCCTTGCTTTCTACGTTCTGCACAGTGCTTTGAAAATAAACCCTTCCACTTGACATGTTAAGAAGTTCCAGCCAGTAACGTAATTCATACATTAAAAGCCTCCATCGGTGACCACTGAAAATGGTCATACCTGTATTCACTTAACTGAGCTCTTGTTATTAGATTCTTGTACTGTACAATAACAAATTAATTAACAAATCAAGGCATACTTCAATTCGAAATCCCTGAAATCCCATTAAGATCTCACAATGGCATCCTGACGAAGAGAGATCCAGAAAAGAAGTACGTCCGCTCGATAACCCTAAACAGTTTTCAACAAAAATATACAGGCGTCCTCGAATTACAGGAGCTTTCAAATTTTCAAGACTCCCCTCGAACTTATCGGGATAAAAATATGCCCACTCTAACAAGTTATTGTTGGTAACATAAGCAAGAGCTCCTTCTATTATTTCACGGTTGGCAAGCACGCACTGTTGATATTAGCTCCGCATATTGATGCACACATAACCTTTCCGGTATAAATAAATATTCACTATAAACTCAACACAGTGACATATAAGGCAGGCTTTAGAATTTCCACAGTCACCAACGAGATATTCTCTCTGGGAGGATACTCGTAATCACTTCACACCCACATCGAGAGACGAAGTCACCAGCTTCGAACATTCGATTGGTCCCCTACGGCGTGGAACTCATCCCCAGAGAATGCAAACTGGCGTTCCTCTCTTTCTCTCTTTCTCGGCATTCAACAGTTTACTCGTTATTGTATTGTTTTTCCATTATCACAGATTGCTTTTGGTGGCAGGTCCGGTTGTGAGCTTGGTGGACTAGTAGTAGACTTCGGTCCCTTCGGAGCCTGCCTCCGAAGAGGCGTCCAGAGAGGTGAGCTGACATCACGTTTCCAGGGTCGGGAAGAGCCTCGTTAGGACGAAGAAAGCCACGTCGTAGTTGCTCCAGTAGGCTGTGTGTGCGGTCACTGTATAAAGATAGTTTCTCCCTAGGCCAACTGCTCGTAATACATAGTCCAGTCGTTGCGACAGCTCTGCGGAAGAGAAAAGGTTTTGCCATTTAACTACAATGTGTATACCGGGAATCTTTGAAAGAATATAAAGAAACGCCAATAATAACAAGAACAATTTTTCTATCACCTCAAAACATGAAACCTGTGATGTAATGACTACATTTCACAGGACAATCTTGTAATTTACAACAATGAGTCTTGACACACGTATCAATGTCCAACAGACAATTTGAATATTCATCACTCTGACGCACGACAGTACACATAACGAGACAAAGCCGAATAAGCAAAAATTGATGAATGGTGCACCTTGCACCTTGTATTTCTAAAAACCAAGGACTTCGGCGAAATGAGTATCGATAACCTAAACACTGTTTTATCTTGAAAACTCGCAATTAACTCGAAATTAAAAAGCATTGTTAAAAATAATTTTATGTATGTTCGAGTTTATGACAAATATTCATAACCGATGTACAAAACCATTTCAGCCCTGTCAAAAAGAGAAGTCTATTGTAATGACATAAAGTATACCTTGATCTGGACGGAGAGGATTGGAATCCGGTATTGGTGATGAGGCACCATCCTTAGCGATCCAGCCAGCTCTTACGAGTCCCCAGAGACTCCATCCTTTATCTGTACTACGAATCAGAGCATCCCCAGGACTGTCATCGGCTTGGACGTCCTCGGTTTCAGAGGTTACTTGGGAAAAAAACAATTCAGACATTTAAAATTTACTCGATACTTACTTAGTATCGATGAGCATTTTCGTATCGAGACGGATAAAGTGGAGATAACAAGGACGTAATTTCTTAAAATTAATTCTTGTTTTATAACCCACTCAAATATGAAACTGATTATCAACAAGAATGTACTTCAAGGTATAAAGTAATTCATTCTCACATAAAATGAAAGCTCTTTATGGTATTTGATGATTACCTGCAGCAGGAAGACTCTGTTCGACAGAATTAATTGCCTGGGGTGGCGGTTCCACTTGTTGGCCATCGACAGCCCAGTAGGGCGGAATCAAGACAGGATCTATTTTGCTGTATCCTCTTTCGAGAAGAGGTTCCATCCGATAGGCTACTGGGTCGGACCAGTGGAAGATATTGTAGAATCTTTTGCAGAGACCTGGTGGCATGACGTCTAACCTATTGGACGGAACTCGTGTTCGCAGAGCCAGGAAGACCGACAAAGGGGAGCCCAGGCAAAACAAGTTCTCGATCTGGAAGGAAAATAAATATGAGGAAAAGCTACACCTGGATATGTCATCGGAAAGAAGACAAACTGATTTCTAATAACTCATTCCTCGAAGATAAGCCATAGACGTCACAAAAAACATTAATCCATCGGGGAATTAAATCTTGAATTTCTAATACATTTTAGCATAATATTATTTAAATTGCGTAAACGGAAAGTCAATCAAAGTATGAAGTAACGATGAATCTGTTAATTAAAGTCATAAGGAAATAAGTACTTACAGGAAACATTAATCCATCGGGAGATATATCAGGTGGCTCCGGAGAGGGAGGTCTCGTGTCAGGTCCCATCCATCCTGTCACAATGTCGTAAACAATTACGCAACCCAAGGAATGAGCCAAAATGGAGACTTTTCCTTGCCAGCCTGGGTGTCGACTGGCAAATTTGAAGTAAAGCTCGTTCAGCACTCTCTGTAGACCTGCCCGAACTTCTCCACCGTAAAGTGGACTCGTATAATAAAGAATGTCCATGGCAGAAGTGTTCAAGAGGTGCCGAATACTCGTCACGCTACCTGGGGTGATGGCTTCGACGATGTCTAGAAATGATAAGAAATAACTGTTATTAAAAATTTATCCATCTCAGGGATGGTTCTTTTACATTTTACGTGTTCATGATTAACAAATGTCACTTCTGATAGACGTATTGTACTAATGTATTGTATTATTTTGTGGTTTCGATGTTTCAAAATCTCACCCCCGTCTAGTTTCAGTGACGATCTCCACTCCACAGGGAAGAATTCCACCCGATGATGAGAATTGGGGAAATACTTCTGCTTGAGCCAATCGACACACTCTCTGAACCTACGGTAAAGGGCATGGTACACATGAAAACTCAACTGCGCACTCTTCGCATACTTCTCAAAGGCAATTGCAATGCGTTTCCCATTAATAAGAATAAAATAAGTCTACATAATGTAAGAATATGCTACTCTTTCACATAAGTTGGCAGCGAATAAATTACATCAAACATTTGAATGCTTGCGATAGAAAGGATGTACTTTAACTTCCTGTTAATTATGATAATGTAAGCAACAGAGCGAAGAGTTCAGCTTTCATCGAAAATTGATCTATGTCGCATTTTAAGTGGACATTATTCAAAATGGCTTTTGTTACAGAGAAAAAAGAAAGTGGAAAAACTTCGCGACGTCTCGCATTGTGCCTTTCGACTCGTTGCCTTTGGGAATGGACGTACTATCGCGAGGACACACACGATGTTGTGTTACGTATGATTTTTCCTGTGTCCCTCTTTTGCCCGATCCCATGGACGACGAAAACTAGATGATCGATGTCATAGGGTTTGTCATCCATCACCGCTGCTTCTTTATATCCCCTTCTCAATCGATATCCCGTGGCTGGAAAGAACGATTCATTTTCAGAATGGACAAGGTAAAGACATTTAAACTACATATAAAATGTGGTATATTGAGGTTACGTCGAATTTCTGTCAACATTCATACATGATCTCTCAGGACAAAAAAATTCCTTCGGAAGAAAATACTATCAATCGTTTCTGTCACTTCACAATCCTACATTTTACTTTACAAGAAATTAATAAATAGTCCACAGAAGGCTAGTAAATTTTAAACCGATGTCAAAGGTTCTTATTTTAATTAAGGCGAAAGAAGTACTTGAATACGTACTCTTTGTAAAGCCTAATTTCAACGTTACACTTCGCATGAGTTTGCTTGGAGTGTTTTCGCTGTAAAGGGCCACATCGTTTATTGCGTGCCAGTCAACGTGAAACTCAGGGAAGTGTTCCGTGTGAAGCACTGAAAAATTATAGAAATGTTGTGTAAACATTTTCTTTCTAAATTCTTGATGGGTATTTGACGATTATACCTTTGTAGGAATGTGATGAGGTGTTGATTTCGGGGGCTGAACTAGATTGCGTGAGAGATTGTTTCTGAAAAAGCCTCAAGTGGACCTCTTCGATGATTTTGGAATGTTCAGCTTCGAGAGGAGTCCAGTTTCCGTCGTAGTACCAGGTGCCCCTCATAATCTCCCACTCCTCGTCTGAAAGTAAAAATTAATTTTCAATTCAGCATTGGCACTGGCTCAAACAATTCTTCGATCTACAAGTTTGGAAGAATGTTGGTTCGGTCTTATTCTGTGAAATTACATCGTTTCAGTTTTGATTTATGAATCGTAGCAATATAAAATCACAAATTAAATACTTTTTGCCTTGCTAACGTAAGAATTGGATCGAAGCAAAAAATCCCAAATAAACTAAAACGTAAAGACGAACGAATGGCACGTTACCATGAAATTAAATCATTTTAGTAACTATTCTTTATACACTCCACCCTAGTAATGTAAGGGTAGGTTTCAAAAGAGTCGATAACTCGTTTAAAAAGCTATTAGACACAGTCAAACGAGATCCAAACAGATGAATCGAATGTCTCGCCGAGCAACTGTTAGCTAGTATTGCCTGCAGTGAATGCAGTTAAGGTAAATTGCCCATGATAAACTCAAGGACATAATAATCGCAGCGGAGAGAGGTCCAAGTAAGATTTCTCAATGCAGAGTTAACAGAAAGTACTTCTCGCTTCTAGTCCGCAATTTAACTGGAATGTGTCAACATTAGATAATTCCCGTATAAACTAAAAATGACCAACCAAATAAGACCAAAGCAACACTCTCACATTGATAATGTTCACAGTTTCGACACCTGGCCAGTAAATCGAGACGCATTTCATGCTGTCGAGCATGACGTCGTACATGCCACCTCTGACGACGATTCTCTCGGGTTGTGCATTGCATCTTGCGTCGATGTCGTCGTTTTGAAGACATTTCCACCGCCTCCAGGAGCCTTCGATCCTCAGGCTATCGTAGCCACAAAACTCCACCCAACGCTTATCGACACCATCCTTGCAAAACCATCGAATCTCCTCTGGAGTCAATGGCTCAGCATAAGACAACTCGTTCACTGGTTGTTCGGGACCCTCTTGAATTAATCCATTCTCCTCCGGCTCCCTCATACCTTAAAAACAGAAAAATAGGGTTCAGAGGGTACATAGCTTTTCTAATCTTATCGCATAAATAGATAACAGCTAGGTAGTACTTCACGGCTCTTATCATATAGACTCAGTCTTTCGACATTGCTGGGAAAGACGAATTACTCTGCCGCAGCATTGATCTGCCTAGCCAATTAAATTCATTAACGAATCCAATGAATTAAATAAATGGAATAAATAATATAGATGGATGATTTGAAGAACTTGGAAATTATTTAAAGAGATTTAAAAGTCCAGTCATCAGTGTTTCAGGAAAATCACATCAATAAGCGGACATTCTTATTCCATTTCTCTTTATCTCTCTCTAATATGCCTCTCGGGTTATTTTTCCACCATTGAGTGCTGATAAAGATCTGATTGTAGGCACGCCAATGCTATAAAAAATTTATCCCTATACACTGTATGTCCGCAGTAAACACGGATGGCTTTAAAATGTACTCTTAGTATTCTTGGCTTGACTTTGCCCTCGGCAGTTGAAACTATTCCGTTATCGCAGACAAAATTCCACTAAAACGTGGTCAGATAATGACATCCTGTTAATTATACATTTTATGTAGCGTGGTAAAACGTCACAGTCAAAGTAAAAGTCGTTTCGGAGAGATAACACGGTTGATTGGAAATATCTCGCTAAACGAATAGAACTTCGAGACTAGATGGAGGCGATACAGACAAGCCTTTGATCCGACAGTTACGTATCAATTAATGCTAGAAAGCATGCGATTAAAATAGATTTGAAGCATCTGGTAACAAGTACTGTTAGTCAATATAGCAATGCATTCGCTCTGCAGTCGGAAGATTAATTACAGCGTCTTATAAAAAAAAAACCCACTCGACATACCTGCTATGGGCTCGTCGAGAGGCATCTCGCTGAAGGGGTCCACCTCGGGAAGTATTCTGCTAGCCATTATGTCTCGACAGCTCAACCTACAGGAAGGTGTAGAAACAAAGTGAGAATATTAATAAAAGTGCAGACATAAATAAACAAAATTACAAGGATGACAAAAGTGAAACTCAGTGACGTAGTTATGTAGAATATTCGATGAGTCAAGAGACGAAACCATACTTAAGGTTTACACTCTATATATACACGTTATACACACACACACACAGCACGTAATTAATCTCTATATCAGTGCTGCATCGAAATTTAGAGTAATGCTCAATGACTGGAGATCAGTTACGTTACACGCATTGCGGAATTAACCAGGAATAAATAAACAAAGCATCGACCTATGGATGATGCACTGCGGTTGCTGGGAAGATGCAACGTCTCGTCAGACCCGTTCACATCGTCGCGCGCTCCCTAACCTCCAAATCACTTGACAGCTCGGAGCTCCTCACCCGCTTCTCTCGACGCAAAACATACGCATACTCGCGACACTCGCGCGTCCACTGGTCGTCGATCGTCTTCGCTGCACGCCGATTCCCGAGAGAGCGCGAGATAACCCTCCCCTTTCGAAGTGGTCTCGAACAATTCTCGAGAGCGACTAATCGCGAGCGCGGCTCGGTGTGACCACATTCACTCGGGGCGAGAATACGAGATTCGTCACGCATGTATGCGATCACTGCACGACGGCTGGAAGGACGCACACTACCATGCACGCACACACCATTGTATATATGTATATAAACCGATGCGTTTGGAGAATTTACTTACGACTGGTGCAAGTTCCGTTTATCCACTGATTTACTCACAAATTCAATAAAAAATTCATGACTAGTAATTTCAAAATATTCATCTGCTCCTCTCTTATTAAATGTGGATTTCGTAAAGGGAAACTTCTTTTCACGGTACGTACACACGGGTAAAATGTTAAGAAAGGGTAACGTGTCGAAAAGTGAGATCTCTCTTTCTGAAAGTTAATTACTATTTACTTTCATCCTTGAGCACCGTTATTGACATGCCCAAAACGAGTGCCAAACGCAAAAGGGCACGTATAAGAATAATGATGAATTGAGTAATTGAACTGTGCTTGGGCGACTCTACTGAATTCTCCCCTCGAGAATATATAAATTGACGCATTTCGAATTGATATATCGTCAAGTTCCGTAGCGAGAATATTTATTTAGTCATACCGAATGATTTTCAGTGAAAGTCGTCAAGCGCGCTTTTTTGTTACTGGGTCACGTGGTTTATGGATGACCACGTGACTTGCCGACCGCGTGACCGATCAACCACGTGACTTGCCCAGGCCAACCACGTGACTTGCCCCAGACCGACCACGTGACTGCTCCCGTAAAAGCCAGAGAGATCGCGGACTGTTGCGGACCGAAAACACAAACAAAGGAGATGCGACGCGATGCGGCGTCGATGCGACAGAGTGCGGCAGGAGTGTGACAGGAAGCGTCACTAATGCGACGCGACGGAGCTCTCACAGGGAACGACAGATAACCTCGGTCCCGCCTCTCGGCACTGAGGGACGTTGTTCACGATCTGGATTCTTATTTATTTTAATTAGAGGCTGTAACCTCGCGTAGTCACGTGAGATGCACATGACGCGGGAATCGCGATTGGCTGTGCGCCAAATCTACTTTCGAGCCCGGCGCGTCGCTTGGTCTCCCTCTAATCATGGAGGAGAGAGAAGGACGAAACGAGAATAGGTCGGGAAAGATAATGCGAAAATACGAGGTTTCGGGAAATGTACCTGAATGAAGTTTCAATTTAAAGGCGAGCACAGCTATGCCCCACGGATCGTGTCTACCTTCACAAATCAATTCCCAGCGACCGTTTATTGATCAAGAATTCATAAATTCACCGCACAGGATTTTAATACAAATTTCCGACAAGGGAAAATAATTAGTAAAGGGAGAACTGCTTGTACAGGGAGTATTGGTATCTAAATCTAAATTGGGACTATGATTTAATCAATGATTTTTCCCGGAACCATTTTCATCATCCGTCTCGTCGGGTCTTTTAATAAGTGTTGTCGATGTGTTAAGGATGGTAGTATAAAGGCTAATGAGTTATATTTATGTATGTATGTACGTACATGACGTATATGGGCGATGCTTCAATTTTGTTACTACATATATTCCTTTATCTTTTTATTCATTTAGTTATTTCAATTTCTGCTTTTGAATCTTCCTCTCTTCTAGCCTGAGGAGTACCACGTGACTGAAATAGTACCATCGCTGGCCGCCATGTTGTTCGTCGACTATGGCTTCGTTTTCTAACCTAGAAGTAACATCCCCAGGGAGTTAGAATTCGTCATCGGGGGTTATATTTCGTTCGAGCATGTTCCACTAGAATTTGCGTGATCTTACTAGACATTCCTTCAGAAGTGACTTTTAGAAAAACCACGGATGATTCATTCGTTTAATGGAATTGAATTTGATTTGCTGTAAATAATCGCGAAGAGTGTCAAGTGGAAAAAGGAGAAATAGCAAACATTTGCATCAAATGATTAATTCAAAGCTTGCGACGTTGTAACCAATTGACTACGTAGCCCTTGTTTTGAGTTGTATGTATTATGTCACTCTGTTTTAAGATTTTAATCGTCTTTGATACTACCTGTTTGCACGTAACCTACTTGTTTGCTGTCTGCAGTAATGATTTAGTCCACGCAAACAAGATGTTTGGCAAAAAGAAGGAACAGAAACGTCGGCCGAGACCAGCCGGAGGCCTGGCTCAGGTGATCTGTGTTTACATTGTTCTACTTAATTAGCTGTGGTGAAATTTTTAAAATGCATTAAGCAATGACTGTTAATGATTTTTCTTCTCTTTTTCGTAAAGTATGGATTATTCGAAGTACCTGATAATCTGGATGACCTGACTGGTAATGTAGACAGTGGGGAAGAAAATGATGAAGATTTGGAAGCAGAATTAGCTGCCTTGACCTCTGGTAATGGTGCAGCACGCCGGCGCAAAGGTAAAATGATTTTTATTGCTTTAGAAGACTTATTTTCAATTCTAAATGTAAATTTTGGATTGGTGCAAAATATTTGTGATTTCGTTATAGTGCCACCTAAATTAGTTCCAACAGCGAATTTAGATGCCATGGTGTCGGAGAGCATGAAGGACATTGGTCCCGATGAGGAATTATCTGGAGATGACGACGATCCAGCTCTACTGGTAATCATAATAAAATGGTGTTTTCTTTATATTGCTTCATTTTTCGTTACGATAATATATTATTTGGATTTTGGTAGAATGAGCTGAGAAAGATTACAGGAGATGATTCGGTCACTCCAGAGGAACCCGAACAAGACTTACCAACTCCTGCTCAAGCAGAGGGAGATAATGGAGGGGATACACAAGAGATGGTCAAGTTAATACAAGAGAGATTAAATTCCTACAAATTTGCTGAGAAGAAAGCAAAGGCTGAGAACGAGACAGGGCGAGCACGCAGATTCGGAAGAGGAGTGAAAACTCTAGAAAGTCTCTTGGCCGATGCTCATTCAGGAAAAACTGTCGACTCAGGGGATCTGCCTCCACCTCTACCTCCTTCGGCAACTGCGGTCGAAGGACAGACTTCTGGTACGATGAGACATTTTCAGTACTTCTTACGATTAACATTTACGTTTCGAAGAAATCAAAATATTTAACTGCAAATATTTTACATACAGAATCTAAGCCGGAGGCGACATTGCCGGAAGCTCCAGCACCAATTCCAGAAGACCCTGCCTCCGAACCCACTGTGACTAAACCTGTCGACGAAGAGACACTGAATGCATTAAAGCAACGTCAACAAGAGTACAAAGTAGCAGCAGTAGCTTGGAAGAAGTTTGGGAACTTGGAAGAAGCTGTCCGTCTTGTTAAGATTGCAAAGCAGTTCGACATCGTAATCGCAGCACTAGAGGCTGGTGAAGCAGTAGACTTGTCTGATATGCCAGCATCTCCTGCAATGCCTTTGACTACTGTTGCTCCTTCGAGTTCTCCAGCTCCTATGAAAGAAGAAAGTGAAGTGCAAGAAGCTTCGAGAGAAGAACCACCACCAAGTAAATCAGAGGAAAATATTATTATTAAAAAATATTAGATTCTACTGGGACTCGCATTAAAATGTATAGGGCCTAAAGGGCCGATTGCACCAACCGTGATTAGTGTAAAATTTGCTAACTATAGTTAATCTTGAATTTAGTGCAATTTATGTTACACCGATAAGAATTAAGCAAACCTCTTGCATAGTCTACGTAATGTCTAAAGTGTCATTTTTATGTGGCTTATTCTAGTAGCGCCGTTACAGGATGCGGGAAGTGGTGATGTGATCGGCGACGCTTTAAAGGAACGTCTCGAAGTGTACAGACGTACCAAACTAGCCGCAGAGCAAGAAGGAAATTCCTCGAAGGTTAGGAGGTACGGACGTATTTGTAGGCAGTTTGAAGACGCCCTGAAACTGCACGCTCGTGGCAAGCCAGTTCCATTGGAAGATTTGCCTACACCGCCTGGATTTCCACCCCTGGGAGTTGGTCCGCAACCTGCACCTGCTGGAGCCCAACCGGCTGAAAAAGTTGAACCCTCTTCGGAACCAACTCCACCTGCTGACCCTACAGTCGAAGTTGAAGACGAGTCTGAAAAGGATTCCTCGCCTAAAGAAACGAAGCCTACTCCTCCACCTAGAACGAATCAAAGTAAATATCCACCATACTTTGCTATACCATTACAATTTGTTCCATAAGGATCGCTGGTGTTACCACCGGTTAACTTTGAAAGGAAATACGGGGCAGAATTTTCCTTAAAGACTCGAATTGGAATTTTTTTTATACTGCTTCATGATCGGTACAAATATAAGGAAGCAAATTTTATCATCAAATCTACCTTTATTAGTAAGACGAGGAAAGCAACGACCAACAACGCGTGCTGACAAGCAGGCGATGTTGCTGCAGCAACGACAGCAGGAATTAAAGCAGGCTGCACTGAATGCCAAGAATGACGGAGACTTGGATCTGGCGAGGGATTATCTCCGACAAGCTAAAGGAATACAGCCCTTGATCGATGCCAGCAAAGGTGGACTGCCCGTCGACATGAGTTCCATTCCTTTATCACCTGCTGCAAAGCTGCAACTCCAACTCCAGGATTTAGAATCAAAGCTGCAAGATGACTTTACCATGGTATCGAGCGATGACTGTACGATCGATGAGCAGGGAACGGACCAGCAGATTTATGAGAATCTTGAGGCTCAGTTAATTAAACAAATCAAAGTAAGAAGTTTTAAGTTGCTATCGTATTTTAATGCCAATTAGATCCAGTGTAATTCAATGTTTAATGGGATACCAAAAATTGTGCTGTGTTGTGAAAAAGTGAGGTGACGGGCGTGTTAATTATTACCAAGATTTAAAGTTACCGTTAATCATGGATGATCATTCCTTTTTGTTCCATGAAATCAGTGGTGTTTGACTACGAGAGATCATTCTAAGGCCTTAGGAGATGTCCCAGGTTATAACCGATGGGAACGTCTCGCCTTGGGATACACTCGGGACCTGGACATGCTTCGAGTTCGAAAACGCGACGGCTTGCCATCTCCACAGCATCACTACGAAGTGAAAACATACGCTATTGTGCAGTTAGTACTTGAAATTAATTTATGCAGTATAAATATCAACTGATGTTATCAAATATCACTTGCTACGCTTCTCAATTACTGACGGTAAAAGATTTGTGGATAAAAGTGTTTTGTGGACTATTGTTAATTTTCAAGGTCTTCCACGGAATTGAGCGACTCCGACGTCGAGATATCCATCGTGAGGGGCGTGAATTACGCCAAGGAAGCGGACACTTACGTTATCTTCGAGTTTCCATATCCTTCGGAGAATCCTCCTTCGGACAGGACATCGACAGTGAAGGGGACGAATAATCCTGAATACGATGCCGTGTTTCCATTGACGGGAATATTGGACCGTACCTCGAGACAATGTCAGAGGGCTTTCAAGAGGCACGCCCTGAAGTGTCAAGTGTGGGCTAAGGGGTAATTATATAGAGTCACACCTGGTTAAGGTGAGATGAAAGGGTCAACGTCAAAATATATAACTTTTCTCCAACCTGGGTGCATCGAAACTTCAGCACGTAGTTATGGAGGCCCTAAGGGAGATCACGATGCCCGTGTAATTTCACTTTTCAACCTTCCTTAGGGTCTTCCTAATCACGTGGTGAAGTTTCAAATGATTCGGTCCATCCAGTTTGTAGAAAAGTTTTATAATTATTTTAACGCTTTTTTATGTATAGAATGACCCTTTCATATCACCTTGGTTGAGGTCCAGGGTCTAGAATTAGTCTGTAAATTGGAGGATGTCGATAAACTGGAATGGTAAAATTTCCCTAGATAATTAACAACGACGTTTAAAGGTTGTCCTCGGATGTAACGTCTATTCCAAGATCCTCTGTAGATTATCATAGTACATAGATTAGGATGTTGCTTGCAGATGCTCGCTGAATCCCATCCTGTGTTGCACCCATCCAAGGTACGACAAAAACTCGACATGACTGTCTCGTAAGGCATTATTTCAATTCGCTATGCGCAAAGCCTTTTTCCACCAGCCATCGCTATCACTATCACTTAATTTAAGAGAAATAATGGTCCGATGAGAGGATACTGGAAAAGACCCGAGCTTTCTTATGCGCATCGCTACGTGATGTATTAAGATGATACGAAAGGCGCTGAGAAATTTAATCGAGGTCGGTAAAGTTATGTCAACGTGTAAGAAGCTTGATCCATCACGAAGTAGCGCTTTTGTTAAAGAAAAAGAAAAAAAAAATGCACGTTTGTGCAGACACTTGCATGCAATTTAGAAGTAGTATCGGTACCCTTGTCTATGTCAGCTGACTGCATAGGTATCGTTCAAGCATATAAATGCCTTTTATGATTTCTTTATGGAATATCTTTCGTTACAGGGGCTTCTTGAGAAGTGACAATCTGCTTGGCACCGTCACAGTGAAACTGCAGCCCCTGGAATCGCAGTGCACTCTACATGACTCTTTTCCAGTAAGTTTCAGTAATTACTTACAATTGAAGGGGACGGAGGAGAAATATTGAACCGATGGAAATCTCATCGCATGTATATGAAATGTCTCTTAGACTTGACTCCTTCGCAGTAGACTTCTTGTTTCATTTACTGGCATCGCAAGTTCCCCTTCTCGAGAGCTTTAATCTCCGATGCCTTATTGTAATTGCTTCTAATCTGGGGATAAGTAACAGGATTAATTTTTTTTTCTTATCATCAGCTGATGGAGGGCAGGAAAGCAGTGGGCGGCAAGTTGGAGGTGAAAGTGCGATTGCGAAATCCGATTCTCACGAAGCAGATCGAGCAGATCACCGACAAGTGGCTTATCATCGATCACTGATAATTATCGAAGGAGTGATCGGTCCTCGTAGGGGAGTCGGCTTCGCGGATGTCTTTTGTAAGGCTGTAATTTTTATTTTTTACTATGTATGTATATAAGCTTATGCGCGTCTGCAATGTTCTCAATGTGTCTAATCGAGGTTCGTCCACGAATCGTTTCTACGAGTTAAACGTGCCTGGAAAATAAGCAATGGACTTAGCAAATAAATTATGCATAAACGCAGAGATTGTAAAAAGTATCTGGCGGTTTGTAACGTATTCGTCGTCTCCTCGTTATCGAAGAGGCTGTTCCGAAATTTCGGATTCCTGACGCTCGTGCCGGAGGGAACGACGTTCAAGCTGAGTCCACAATTCCCGGCGAACAATGCTTCAGGTGAATCCCACTAACAAACTATTGTCCGATAATTGTTCGGCCCCGTGAGAGCGACTGTCTCTTCCATCCTCATCATCCCATTACCCTCGTAATTCCCGTTCCAGTCGATAGAGCGGCCGCCACGCGTTGGCCGTGTTTCCTCGAGAGAGCGCAAGATGGCGCCCGCTTCTCGGCGATCTTCAGGGCTCTCGTTCCTCTTGGTTCCCGGATCATTGCACACGGAGCCCTTCTTCTCGGTTGGACGGAGAGGTTACCGGGTGCGAGGGATGTCCCGCGGTGACCAAGAGGCGCCGCATGATCGACGGGACCCCCTCTAAAGATCTCGAGGGTTATTCTCGGGCGATTATACGAGTTAACCCCTTTGAGGCACGGAATTGTAAAAAATAAAAAGGCCTACGTTGCACGGGGATTTTATTCCTTCTTAGATTGAACGAAGTTGGTTTATTTTTATTAATAAAGGAGTATCAATGAGTTACACGGGAAAGTGAAGGAATAAAGTGAAAAATATATGGCATCCGCGATTCGGCGGTGTTTGTTAATTACGCGCGCGGTTACCAGGCGGGCTTTTTCCTGGGCGCCATTTTTGATTTTGTGCCTCGGTCGACCGGCCGGCGGCGTGCGAGAGAGACGCGACTACGCGAACTGCGAGGCCGAGAGAAGGACGGAGCTAGGCGGCCGGCCTCGCGGTTCTCGCTATCGATTCCTCGCGGCTCGGTATCGCGCGGCGCCGCGCCATCCCGGGGAAACAACGGGGATTTATTTGCCAATTAGACAATTAGGGCGATCCCGCCTTGGCGGAGGAGCCGAAAGGGTGAAGGAGTGGGGCTTGTTGCTTGTGCCGGGGAAACGCGGCACGCCGGATTACGCGCGGTTCGCCGCAGATTATTTGCCGAGGGTACGTCGGGGCCGGCGCTGCGCTGTTGACCTTTTCGAGAGCCCCGCGAGAGAGACGGGCGGATGGACCGAATGAGGCCGGGAGAAAGAGAGAGGGAGTCGGCTTACCGCGTGCGAATTAACGATGTTTGCTCGCAACCCTTGCTCTCTCGGCCTCGCTGGTCGGGACACCCTTTCGCTGTACTTTGCATCCGCGGGGCGCACCCCCTTGTGGCGCCACGCCGTGAACTGCCGCGATAGGCGCGCCTCGCGAGGTCGAGCGAGAAGTGGGCCCCCTTGCGGCGCGGGGCATGAACTAATGCTCGCTAGAGGACGCATCTTACGGGGCCGAACGAGAAGTGGGCCCCCTGCGGCGCGGGGCATGAACTAATGCTCGCTAGAGGGCGCATCGTCCTCGTGACTCGTTTCATATCTTGCGAGGCAATTACATGCATATGTTGCACCACTTTGTCTATCTAGGAATATTCATAGAAATATTTCTTTGGCTCGATGACGTTTTTTTTCCCCTCAGGGTACTAATGCGTGGAATAGAAGGAAAGACATGGCACGTGAATAATTAAAGTACTCGAGGGTTTGATAATTCATTCTCATTGACTCTCAATTGCCTGACGTAGCTAATTGGAAGGTTAATCCGTTGATGCTTAATATTAATTATTTATTGTGTAATGTGAAGCTGTACGGAGACCTAGACGATCCGTTGCAAGGCCGTGTAGTGGGGAAAATGCCGGAAGAAGCGAAAAAAAATGGGGATGCCGATGACCAGCGGGTTAGCGGGGTCTTGTAGATCCCTGATAACCGCTTTATCTAGTCTAGTTGCAAAGTGCAACAATGTTGCACCATGTTGCACTTGATGTCAATCCAATTAAGTGGCCGATAAAGTGGAGGCGGATCGCTGATAATCGGTGTCACGTGGTCTGTCCCGGTTTAGCGATTCATAAATCATATCCGCATATAGACGCGCACATGCGCGCGCAGTTCGGGCTCTGACGACACGTGTCGGCAGACGCGTGTTGTTTTTTTTTAATTTTTTTTTTCCCCTTAGAAATCTCGCCGATAACTGGATTTTTAGACGGATCTCGCGGCTTGGCAACAATATACGAGGGTGACCGAGGATCTGAGGATTCTATAGAGGCGATTCATGTATTCGGACGCGCCGATCTCGCCGCCATCTTGGAATTTTTTCGTCGATCAAGTTCCTCGACGCGTTTCACTAGACTTTAAAAGGAAAAGCGAAGATCGTTTTCAGAGCCCTTTTATAGCCTGATTTTCTAGTTGTAAATGGGACGTCGTTTTGATAATTGAGGACTTCTTGCAGAAGATGCGGCGGCTAAAACCCGAGTTTCTAGGAGGCACGTCGGTACCGTGCGATTTTTCAAAATGGCCGCGGACGCTCGGAGATCGGCTCCGGTTACTCGTTTTCTGCTTATTCGGCACTCGGCCGGATGTGACGTCAGTGGTCGGGTGTAGCGCGTGCAGACTGCAGATTGCAGACTGCAGATGCCAGATGCGACCCGACACCAGAGCCCTCTCCGTCCTCGTGGACACGCTCCCGCACTGTGTACATCCAAGCACCCTAACCTCTTTTGCATACACCCTTTTTCTTCATTTTTCTTCATTTTCTTTTTCCACCGTGCATTTCACCGAGATTTACGACTGCCATCACTAGCACCGCTGGCTAATTTCGGGTTTTCAAGGTTTTTCATATTTAGAGATCACCGGAAAAAATTGGCGATTTCGTTATTTTATAAAATTCTGTCGTTATAATAAGAAATGTATATCTTGTAAGTGCATCTGTATTTGGCGCTAAACTCTGTCGAGTTTTCTGACCGTGATTCGTTTATTACCTTTGTGTGGATTTTGGGAGTAAAATGTTAATTGTTTCTTTTTTGGTAGTACGTTAGTTGTAAAACTAATTGTTTAAGGCGGTTGTTAATTACTACGCTGATGTTGTAACAATGTCTTTGGTGACGATTCCCGATGCCACGAACTACATTCGCTTCCAAGAAGGCGTCTGCGCTTTCATTTGCGCCACGCTTAATAACATTAAATCAACGATAGTGTTATTTATTAATCCGTGGCGCGTCGGAAACATTGTCGCGTCGATAAGAGGTTCGAGGTCTGATAAAACTGTCGCTACGTAACATGTGCAATTACTATTCCAGGAGATAACTCACAATCGGCTTCGAGAAGGGATCTTTGGGAATTCCTAAATTATCATAATATNTAAAAAATGAAAAATAAAAAGTGCTCGAGGAAGAGTGGACATTTGGAATTTTTTTGAGGACTTAATAAATGGAAAAATAATTGTTAATTGATGTTAATATTAGGTTGATAAGGGCAGCTAACATTCGGAAAGAGCTGGGTGACACGTGGGTTCGTATGGTGGTGTTACAAGATACACCTATTTTTTTTTTTTAATAATTAATCGGTTAATGACCAACGTTGACGCCACAAACGGCGATAAAGATAACGCCGGCACCGACGTGCACGTTTATTACCGATTGTAATTTTAGTTGCAGGATATCCTTCGTCGAGTTATTAATAAGACATTACGAGGAAGCCCTTATCGAACACGAAGAGAGTAAGGCGTATAAACACCGGATCGCTAATGGGTATCGCCATGTCGTGATAAGGGAACTTTGTAACGATCTCCTGTAAGGGGCCCGAGGTCGTTCGACGAAGTCGATAATCGTAACGCCTTTACTTGTCACGGTATTAATTACCACCGATAGTAATTCTTACGAGGGGAGCGGCCTCTACGAATGATTTTGTTATGTCTTTTTTATTTTGTTATATGTGCCCATAATTATGAAAGTGGTCTAAGTCAAAATAAAAAAAAAAAAAATGAGTTTATCAGTTATTTCACGCCATATTATTTCAAACGAAATTAATTCAATGTAATTTCGAGAAAAAAAATATATGACAGACCACTTTCATAATTATGGGCACATATGTTATCAAGAATACTTCCACGCGGTTTAATTCTGAAATTGACCCTTTTAAACTTATGTCAATTCAGAGGCTGATATGAACATTTCAAGGCGGGTATGATCTCTAATTGTTACATAACCTATTCCTATCTCGGTTTGCCGGGAGAACTGAAATGCAGCGGAATTTCTGCAAATGCAGCAAGTTCGACGAGCAATCGGCAGCAATTATGACGTCCCGAGATATATTCAGGAACGAGGGTTAAGATGAGCTCTCGATGATCATATGTTGTACTCCATTGTTCATGACCTTCGACAATCGAGTTAAAATACACAGTTACAGTGTACTCGAACAAAGTAGTACCATTACAATTCCAAGGGTATCGTAATTCGAATGTATCACGCCTTATCAATAGGGGGAGTATTAAATTTAATAGTTGCCCGAGGAAAGCTGCGATCCTTCTCCGTCCTTCCCCCGATCCCGAGACAATAAACCGCCGCCATTAATAATGACGTAGTGACAAATATGGCGGGACTTCCGGCGCGGCCCGGAAGCCGCTAAATGCGACCATTTCCTTTCTGGAAAGACGTCTTCGTACGCGCCGCCATCTTTCATCCCCGTCGAGCGACGGGGCCGAGTTTTTCCGAGAATTTCATCGCCCTCTCCATTTCCGGTCTCCTGATTTTCAAAATCTCGTCGTCTCCCATTTTTCTTAAATTCCGTGGAGCAATTTCCAAATCGTTAAGGGTGATTAAGGCGATAGGAAAGTGTCATAAGTACATACCCTAAGAGTTAGAAATATTTATACAACTTTTCCACAAATTGAGCGCACCGAAACATTTGAAATTTCATTTTTTTAAGGAAAATGTTGCATTGGTTTCCGGTAATTCGGTGCCACCCTGTTTGGAGAAAAGTTTTATTAATATTCCGACTTTTTCCTACGTATATATATATCACACTTTCATATCACCTTAAGCGAAATGTATTTCTTGGTCATTTGGTGCAGGTGTAACGCTCGAAGGAGTCACCTAAGGACTCGGGTAA